GAACATCCTTTTCTCGCAGCCGTTCGCGGTACAAACTGCGTTGGCATGTAGACAGATATCCTCTACATACTGCCCAAGAGTACAATCCGGTTCGAAAATCGCGTCACCGCCATGTTCATTATAGTATTCCAAGGCGAGAAGATCTGGACCAGAACACGGAATCGATGTCGTAGTGCAGACAAGGCTAAAAAGAACGACAATGTTTTGGTGCGCATAAGGATCGAAAAGACCGACGCTCCCAGCAACATAAGCCTCCCACTGTCGTTTCTGTGTTTGATAATGGTGAAGGGCTCGGTCATATTCAGCATCATGGGCTGCACGCAGAACTTCCTTGACCTTCAGTGGAGCCCCTTGCGGTGCCTCATGAACCATTTCGGGAGTGATGAGGATAAACTTTTGCGCCTTCGTCTTTTCATCTGAGGACAATCCAGAGTCGGGATCTTGGTCACGGAGACGCTTCAAGTAGGACAGTCTGCGCTCCATCTCCCGAGCCCTGGCGAGCAAATAGGGAGGCTCAAATTTGACAAACGGCGAGGCAGACAAAATCTTTGTTTCATGGTCGTGGATGATTTCTTCGTAGTACGTCGGCATGGGAACATCATCCGGTACCTCGACGACCTCGCTGGGAGCCACCAATGCTTCTTGCGACGAATTGCTGGATTTCTTCTCGCCAGAGTCTCGGTCGGGTTCGCTTTTCTTGTCGGGCTCGATATCTGGCAACGACGGCATCTGCGCGAATTCGTCTCGCATCAGACATGTTTCGAGCTTGAGATTGTAAACAACATAAGCCATGAATTCAGTGATCCGTTTGACCTTGGAAAGGACGTTTCCATCTCCTCCCCGCAGGACAATTGTACAGCCGAGTTCTTTGCGGCAGCCCGACAGGTACATGTATGTCTTCTTCCGGCCATTGTACACATAAGTCTTGACGTCGAAGCTGCCACAGTCACTCGTCACAGGCGTGGTCACAAGCTTATCCATCGAAGTTATAATTCGTGTCTGAGTACAGCGAGAAACAGCTTCGAGGACCGACGATTTCACATTGTACGCGGTTGCGATATTGGCTTTGTCCAGCAGTTCGAGAGCCAGGCCAGACACGTTCTTCTCAACAAGGAGCAAGTTTGGTCGGAGAGCAGCAATGCGACTAACAAGATTCTCGAGGAACTCCCGTTCTTGACGAATCACGGGTTCCAAGCTCATGAAGTGCTGTTGATGTCGTGCATACTCAAGTGGAAACGCGATAATCAAGATTTTAGGTTGCGGGATGCTTCGAGGCATACTCTTGAGTGCGAGGTTCTTGGTAAAGACGAGACCCGAAACGTATGAGGTATCCCCAGGCCTACCACCTGAGATCTTCTTGAGTTTAATGTAGTGACGAATGTCCATGTCATCACCACCCTGAACATCGGGGACAACCTCGTCGGCTGCCTTTAAGAGGATCGGCAGGAGCGCCGTTTCCCACTTTGACGCATTCGGCACCGAAGCATCTTTCAGAAGTTGTTGTAGAAGTCTTCGGACGTGATGCAGACTAGCCTTGTTCAGTTCAACCGGCGGCGCGCCTGCTCCCCGCATTGAGGAGCTTCTCGTCATTTTGAACCCACTTGGAGCAATCCCTATGGAAAAGACATGAGCGACATTTGTCGGTTCATGTGGGTTGAAGACACTATCTTTGGATGCTCTTGGGGAGTGACGCTGATGAACACTGCTCGCAACGCTCAAGTTGCGACGCCGAGAAGCCCGGGGCAAGTTTACGGCTCTCGAGCTACTAAGACTTCCTTCATCGCCGTCACGGTAAGAGAAATTAAGGTTGGTAGTGCTCCGGTCTCCGAAAGCAGACCGGCCCTTCTTCATCGCCGCGAGTAGCCCGCCAAAGGTGGTTCTCTCACTTTCACCGCCGCTCTTGGACAATGATCCCTCGGAGACTGCAGACAACAAGTTGGGCTGTTCATCACCGCTGGAGGCGTCATCAGAAAGATACTGTGCCAAGTCAGGATCAATGATATTATCTTTATGGAACGCGGGAAGGCGCTGTTCGCGGGTAGAGTCATCTGCATGGCGTCGTTGGAATGGAGCTCTATCATCGTGGAACGGCTTAAAATTTCGAATATATTGCTGACGCGAGTGATGGCGCTTGTGGCCCATAGAATGAGGTCTTCCGCTCAATGTAGACTTCAACGATCTCGAGGAGGTAGGCCTAGTCAGTGGCCTGTCAGGACTAATCTCGAGAACGGCAGAACGGCGGTTGTGCCCTTCACCTGCACGTCTCGTTGCTGGAATGGCCATAGTGGGAGTCTTCATGACATGTTCGATGGACTGAGAGACTATAGAGGAAGTGTCGTCATCATCCGGCGGCATGCGTGAGTATATACTTGCACCAAGCTCAGAAACCCGAGGGTTTATCACAATAGGGCTTTGTTCACTATCGGAGAATTCGGAGGAATCATCGTCATGACCATTGATCATAGCCTCACAGGGTTTGCAGACACGAATGGTACCAGGTTGACCAAACCTGTCACCCGGAATGAGAAGTGTACATTTCGAATCAAAGATCTGGCCACAGGTCCGACAGTGATGTTTGCGCCGGAAAGTGGAAAACGTTTCTCCACAATGGAAACAATCCTTTGCGTTCTCATCCCGCATCCAAAACTCCTTGCTGAGTAGTTTGCTCCTGAGCTGAGACATGACGCCGTCGCCTCCACCGTGAGATCGCCGACTCCGCCCATCTTGGCTAGAAACTCGTTCCACGGCCGTATTTAACGGAGGTAGTATTGGCGTCCCAGAGGTAGACTCTCCTGTTGAGGCTTGAGACGCCACATAACCGGGTAAGCGACTGGCGCTAGATATAGAGAGTCTGTCGCCGGGTTTCTGTTTGACAGGAGCCTTCGCTGGTTCTTTCGACTGGGAGCTACCATCAGTCAAAGGCAATGAGGCGTTAATGCCCGATGGCAATTTTCCCTCAGGCAGAGATCCTTCGCCGTGGTTGGAGACTTGGCCGACGCTGTTTGTCCTCGAACCAGACGCGACAGTTGATCTTTCAGGCTTGAAAGAAGCGGCCGAGTTTGACCTTAGTCGTTCATGGGGCAACGATATCCCATCTGGACCAAGATCAACCGACCTTTTAGCCTTACGCAATGGGCCAGGTAAATTGACTTCCATATGTCCCTCCGATCTTCTGAAATAATCTGGGGGTTGAGTGCCCGCTGTGGAGGATCTGCTAATTTCCTGGCCATCGTAGGCGCTAGAATGCGACTTGATCTGCATAAGAGGAGAGTTCGGTAGACGTTGGCTCCAGCCCGACGAGCTTAGAGATGCAGTGTGAGGGCCTTCTTCCTTGTCCGTACCAGCGGAGTCAACCGTCTGCAAGCTGTTGGTGGAGAAGTTGGCCGAGGCATTACTCGAGTGAAGAGGTGGTTCTTTGACAGCGTTTACATGAATTTCCGTGACTGTGGGGTCCACAGCCAACGCACTGCCTGTGGTCTTTGGCAAGGGCGGGACGGGAGATTTCAAGGACGGTTGTGGCAAGATGGAAGCTTTTGAGGATATACTCGTTGTCTTGGAAGAAACCTTGGAGCTCTTCGCCAGTCCCGACGGGGGCGGGCCAGTTTGGGCAGAGAGGTTCCCCGGCACCGGCGAGTGTAACCTTGACCCTTGAGATGAACCCGGATGGTAATGCTGCGACTCTGCGACCGAGTCCGGGGCAGATCTGGGGAACGAACGTTCTGACGGAAGCGGACTTTTGAGGCCAGAGTCTTCGGTCGAGGTGTTGTTCGATGTCTTGCCCACCCCACCAACAATCCCACCCACTGATGTTCGGAACCTAGTATACAGCCCACTCAAACCTCCTTGCAGCTCGCCTGACAAGCTCTTCTCGTCGACGACCGAGGTCGGAGCCGGTGGACTGGTGAAGTCGTTAAAAACTGTGAGGGTATCGGACTGGTAGGCGGCGCTATGAATTTGATCGAGGGTTGCATTTAGGCTTTCGCGTTCAGCCTGTGTTGAAATAGATGCTCGAGAGCCTCGGCGACCCAGAGGAAGGAAGACTGACGATGCAGATGGACTCGACGTCCCCTGGGATCGTTGGGACGCCATCCAAGCTCCGTCACGTCCACACACACACACACGGGTGGCACAGAGAAAAGTATCGCCCGCGGGGGTCCTTATCGGGTCGACCTCACAAGTTTAGGAGGAGTAAGGGGTGGCAAACATTCGAAGTATCTTGCTGGGGCGGAGCTGGGTTGCTCGGTGATCGGAGTCTGTGCGGTGAGGATCCATGCATGGAGAGGTCGACTCCACATCGTCTGGAGATGTTTATAACGAGTGGGTTTCTCGGGAAGAGGGTCGGACTGTCAGACAATCAGACAGTCAGACAGTTCAGTTTCGCGTCGGGGGACAGAAGGCAGACAAAAGGCAAAGTTTTGACTTTTGCTATGACAACGGGGCGACAGGTGGAGAAGGCGACTCGGGAGGAAGTTGGAAGATTATTCGGTGATTCATTGTCTAGACTCGGCGACACAGGCGACACAGAGACAGAGAGGAGGGACAAGCAAAAGCCGCAGGGATTGGGACGAAGCCCATGACATGTGCCGCTGCCCAATGACGTGGTTTGTGGCACCGGGAGGGGCTGTGGCTGGTGACCTCAGGTTATTGACGGATAAGCATGCGCCACACAGAAGAAAAGGCGGTCAGACGCGTCAAATCGGCAGAGCTCGCGTTACACGGCGATCAAGGTGAAAGGGAAGAAAAAAAGCATGGTTTCTACTAGGAGAGGGGGTGTTGGCGTTTTGCTCTCGACTTGTCATTCTATATTATCTTAATGGCTGCTGCTGTGGACCTTATCTAGTAGTGATTCGGACAGATCAGTGACTGTCACGCTACTTTGCATAACTAAAAGCATTCCCGTATGCAGACACCAAATGTCAGATCTTTGGTTTGATTTGTATCCCCGCCCAGGCTACTATGCGCTGCTGTAGCAGCACATTAGGCGAGTTTCCTCCTCCATGATGGATACTCCAACGAAATGGATTGCTTCGATGATTGAACGCCTCCTGAGCTCCTATCTGAATAAAACTTCGGTCAAAATCCCTTTTGAGAACGACCAGAGCAACCTCCGCTTCCGGACCGATGCCATCAAGAGCGTTCTGGTGAACAGTGTGAGCCACCTTCCCCTTCCTAGATCTCGCAGCACTGACAAGAAACTCTTTCGGTAGTGTACGGAAGACCGCCACTTTAACAAGCTCAATGTGACCGACTCAGATGCCCAAGTCGAAGCGATCTTTTCCAGAGAGGCGCTGGAGGACTATCAGAAGAGATACCCACAGCATCCGTTCAGCAAGGCGGAGATACGAGGATACCGTGTTCAGCTGGAAGACTTTGAGCTGGTCTTGGAATATACCACGGCAACCCCGAAGGTCCATCTCTATGTCCAACGTTTCAAGGTAGAATGGGGCTCGGCCAGGGTCAAGACCCCCGCAAAGGGGAAGACCCTTCGGAAACATCCGGTTTATAAGTTGATGCAAGATGCGTCCAGAGATGCCAAGCAATCTTTGCAGCATATCATGGCGCCTGCCCCTCGAGCCAAGGATTCGTTCTCTTCGCAGACCCATCAGTCGTTCCAAATGCCTGCCTCGCAGAATGGTTTCATGTCCCAGGTATATCCAGCTCCTCAGGCTCAGGCTACGCAGCGTCCGCCACGCCCGGGCACAAGTGATAGGGTCTCTACTCTCCTTGCCATGCTAGATCAGCGGGTTGGGATTAAAAGCCCTTCGGATCAACTGAGTCGCATACCTCCCCTCCCCCCGATTCCGAATCACCAGCACGGGACTGCTGTAACTACAGCAATGGCAAACATACCTTCTACCAGGTATTATACTGCAGAACATGCCAGGGCTGATATAGACATCACGCCTTTGCCCTTTACCGTGCTGGGTGCAACCGCGCAACCAGTCCCGCGCCCATCGAGCAATCAGTTCCTTCGGATAGCTTCGCAGCCTCCCGCCACGGACAGCGAATCCCTGCCCAGAGTATCAAGGAACTCTGCGCCGCCAAATGGTCGCTCTGAAGCAGAGCCACAGCCACAGCCAGCAGGATTGTCTCAGAAACGCGCAGAGAAAAAAACTAGTCCCTCACTGCAGACGGCCCAACAATCTCACAGGGCGGTAGTTAATGAGAAGCAGCCGCTGGAGAAACCGGGACTTTGCCTTGAAGACCCCTGGAAGGATTTACCTCGAATTGAGGAACGGGATATTCGTATACCCAAGGACCAACAGGATTTACTAGGGTTACATAAGCGCCGCTGGATACCACCTCTACCCGGGGAAAGCAAACCACAAGGCCACGTACCGCCTCGTCTACTTGCTCAGTGGAACACTGTTGTGACGCGAAGAGCCCGCGCCGCTAGCGAAAGGTCACCGGAACAAGCAACACCGGAATCGCCTCCGTCCGAAAGGCCTCCACTTGATCCTCCCAGCCCCACACCTCGAGCCGATTCAGACTCAGAAGGCGAGCCTCTGACGTCGCAGTGGTCAGAAAGCTCCCCGGAACAGACTATACGTCGACGTCCAGCCCTGCCTGAAGATAGTAGCCCTATAAGAGGGAGCCCGCGCAGGCTAGGGCGAAATGTACCGTTGGCAGATAGACCCGAAGTGCAAGCGGAACGTATGGCCGAAGAGTCTATTCCGGAATTCCGTCAGCGTGTTCTAAGCACGGGGTCTGAGAAGTCAGGGGGCGTTGCTGGTCGGGCCAAAACAGGTATCCATCCTGCTCGGCGAAGCATCACAGTTCGAGACCATAGTCTACGAGATGACTCGGATGGAGACAGTGATGACTCCATGATGGACACCTCTGTGCCTTGTCCACTCGGAGTCGAACTATCTCAGTCGCAGTTTGTCAGTCAGTCGGAGCGGGATATAACCAGCTCAGGCCCGTCTCTTCCTGCGCCTGCTACACAGGATCAGGTGCAGGTTCTGGACACCCCCGAGACCAACTTGAGACGGTTCCGCCATTCTCAGCCCGAACTGAGTAGCAAAGCCCCGCAAGTGCAGGCCCCTAGTACCCAGTCACCCAGTGTAGACAAATCTTCATCTCAGTCACGAATTCTGAATTCAGTCGGGAGTAGCACCAACAAGGGATCTTCTTCACAAAGTCTTCCACATGATCGATCCCAGGGCACTAACGCGGAAATTCGAGTGGACATTGTTGGGACACAGATGAATAGTCGGGACCTACCAACGCAGGACCCAACGCCCTGTTCTACCGCAGATGTGGTTCTAGATTCAAGTGCCCCGAGACTGCGTGAAGCGAGTGTGATTATGGGAGTCGTACTGCCCTCATCTCTGCCGCTCGAGACCGATGGTCAAAAAGAAGCTAGCTCCGATTTTCTGGCACAGAGATCGTCAAACCGGCATTCCGTGGGAGTGGTCTCGAAACGTCCTGCGTCTGCTCTTGAAAACGAGGCATGTGGCCCATCCAAACGACCTCGAACGCAGCCGCCTGAAACAGCGCCTGAACCAGCTTCCAGCGCATTGCATCAACAGAGTCCCCGCAATCCCGCTGATAGCTGGGAAGCTCATCAGACTTATGGGAAGTTCTGTCGTAATTATCCAAACTATAGTGGCGACTTTCATCACTTCTCCAAGCTCTGCTATAAGCTTCAGGCTGTGCGAGCTAAGGGCCACCTGCAACGGTCGTTCTTATGGGATGACTTCATTATCAAGCATCCGGAAGATTTTCCTGGCTATATACAGCACAGCCAGGCATCGGAATCAAAGTCCATGGATTACGAAGACTATTTTGCAGCTACTTTTTCCCGACCTGTATACAAGAAGCGAAGCCTGACAGCGCAGGGTATCGCGATTGCAGCAGCACAGTATGACCCAGCCAACGAGGACCATGTGCCTGCTCCTGTACCTGCCTCGCCACCTAGGCTAGACACATCGTTTACTGGCAGTCTTGTGGACCGCTTCACTAACCTGAAAGCTGACTCTTTCGAGCCAGGGAGTCAGGCCACCTTGTCCGACACTGACATGGATATATCGTCTGTAATGTCGTCACCCACTCCCCATCGCCAGCCTCAATCTGTCGCCCAGGCCGGGAATTGGAATATGACACGCCATACAGAGCAAAAGCACACTGAGGAAGATGCGTCTTCTGACCTTGCCTCAGCAGAGCGGCTTGTAATACCTACGAGCTCAGCCAGCGCTTACGAGTCTGCCCTGGAATATGCCCCCATGCACGATGGGATTACCGCTTTCGAGAAAGAGAATGCTTCAGAGTCTAGTGGTTTAGAAAGTGGGGAGATATCTGAGGCAGCGACACCAACTCCAGGCAACCAAGTTTCAGCATTTGAGACTGCGCAGCACGAACAGCACATTAAGGAGCATTACATAGATGATCGAGATACCACTCCAACACCCGCGGAACCAGTTACCGTGGTTGAGTCCGAGCAGCACGCTTCGCAAGTCGAAGACAGTTTGATTGCTGATCGTGACGATACTCCGACATCTGCGGGACCGATCACAGTGGCTGAATCCGAGCAGCACGCTTCGCAAGTCGAGGACACCTTGATGGCCGATAGCGGCGCCACTCTAATACTAGCGGAGCTAGTCCCTGTGGCTGAGCCCGAGCAGCATGCTTCGCAAGTCGAGGGCAGTTTGATGGCTGATTGTGACGCCGCTCCAATACCAGCGGAGCTAATCCTCGCTGTTCAGTCTCAGCATGAATCGCAAACTAAGGATCGCACTGTGACTGATCAAACAGCTGAGACGACAGTGTCCGAGCATGTGGGAATCAGCCAAGTAAACGAGCTTGAAGACAGCCAAGATGTCTCAATGGGCGAGTTGGAAAGCCCAGATGAATCGATCTTGGAAGATGCTGACATTATGGCTGGCCAAGAGTCGGAATCGGTGGTCCCAGAAGAACACCCGGAAGTGATCAGTGCAAGGAACGCAGCACTGTCCTCCGTGCTTGAGGCGCATGCCAACGTACCTGTTGAAGATGCCCACACTGCCGTCGATCAGGGGGTGGAAGAAGTGGACACAGCAGAACACCCGCCATCATTGATTGCAGCTAAGGAAGTCACTCTGGAAGAACAGAACGAGTCGATCGTGGAAGACTTTCATGACACAGTTGGCCAGGAAGCCGAGGATATGGACTCAGCGGAGCACCTCCAACCCGTCGCTGCAGCGGACCAAGCAGGGCCCACCACCGTGGGGGAACAAGATCAGTCTCAGGCCCACGACACACCTGACGAAGAAAGCCAAGATGTCGATATGACAGTAGAAAGTCAAGAGTCGTCGAATACAAACACGCAAGACTCTGTTGGCCAAGGAACTACGCTATTGGACGTAGCAGAACAGCCACAGGCCATTCTTGCAGACAAGGCTGGGTCTCACGAACCAGAAGAGCATAATGAGTCAACGGGGCAAAGCTTACACGATACCACTTACATGGAGGTCGAAAGAGTTGGTTCAGCGAAGCACTTGCCGTCTGATGCAGCAGGGGAGCTAAATAACTCCGAGGCGGAAGAACACGATGCGTCGATAAATCAAGACACTCCTGCCGTTGATCACAGAAGTGGGGCCTCCGAAGGACGGGGAGAACACGACCAATCGGTCATCCAGGACATCCAGAACTCATTTGATCAGGAAAACGGAGAAAAGGACTCAGCAGCTACCTCACATTCTGTTGTTGCAGAGTATAGGGCAGAGCCCGCCCAGCCGGAAGTGCAAGAAGTGCCCTTTGCCGGAGGCACCAGTGATGTGCCTGCTCAAGAGACGAGTGCGATGAATTCGGCTGAGCGAGACGCTGTTGTTGCAGGAGACGAAACAGTATCTGCCAAACAACAATCGGAGCCCTCGGACGCGGAGACTGGGAGCGCTGACGAGGAGCCGCGCTATGTCATGGTTGCGGCCGAACTACGATCCGTCAGAAATGGTTCAGTTAAGTCAGAAGGGCCCTTCGATGCTAATGTGGAGAGCGATGTTGAGCAACTGCACTCTGGTCTTGCAGGGGATGAAGCCAGCGCTCCCGACCAAGCTTTGCCAGTTCCAGCAGAGCACTCCGACACTGATATGGACAGCGATACCGAGCTTCTGCCCTATGTCCTGGCGGAGCACGCCGCCGGCTCGGCCGAACACGCACTAGTAGAACCGGCCGAGCACTCGGATATTGTCATGGAGAGCGAAGTGGAGCTTCTGCTCTTTGACGCTACAGAGGATAGAGCCAGCTCTACTGAGCAAGCACCAGTATCTCCAGAAATGCACTCCGACCCCGAAAATGCGGGTCCGGCCGATCCCAACGCGACGACCGCGTCCGAGTCCGAGGAGGATGAGGAAAACGATGACTTCATGGGCATCGAGGAACACCACGAGACCGCCAGCATCGAACTCGGCGAAGAACCGCTGTCCCCGCCGCCCGCTCCTCAACCGCAAGCGCAGCCCGAGACCACATCCGAGGTAGAGAGTGACACTGATGATGACATGAACGAGAACTGGTTCCTGTCCCTTCGCCATCTCCGTCCGACAGGACCAGTCTGGTCGGATGACCCCAATACCCCCTTCAAGCAGTGGGTTCGAGCCGACCAAGCGATTCTAAGTGAGCGTGACCGCCGCGGCGGGGCGTACCTTCCTGTGGATGCGAAGGGGGTGATTCAACGGCCGGACTATCGATGACTTCTCATTTTTTGTGGCTGGTATTTCCTACTCTTCTATATCTTACTCTCCTCTTTATCTCGGTGCATATTATTACGTGGGACTTATTTGTTATTTTGCTGATCAAAAGCGGGCGACATGAGTTGGATGATTATCCTCGGATTCGATGAGATGAGAGCGGTTCAGGTTCGGATAATGAATCCAGGTTTATGACTACTACATCTTGTGTTCTAATGAGATGCTGCTGCTGGTTCGCATCGCATAATGATACCCAAATTGTACTTCCCCTGCGGATGCTAGGTGCTAGGTAGCAAATACTCCGTAGCCTACTCTTTAAACAAAAACAAGGCCATTGATCCATCATGGTCTGGCCGCTTGCCGGATTCCAATTCCGGATTTTGATGTACTGCGGAAGGTCCGTGCGCCAGGCATCCATAATGACGTAAGCGGAAACCCCCAGCGCAGGTCGGAGCAAATGTAAATCCGCTTCCGGAAGTCGCGTCGCCAACTTCCCCCCGGGCTCTTCTCCACCTTTCCTTCTCCTCCTTCTCTCCTTCATCCTCTCACTTGTGACGAAATCCATCCCCCTCTTAGAGGAAGTATTTGCTGCTTGCCGCTCTCGCCGCCAGGCCTGCCATTCCTGTGTTCTCATAGGACTCTCTGATTTCATTTATTGACTTCAGATTGGGCACGCTCTCGTGACCAGGCCGCAAGAAGCTCTTACTACCTTTACTCCTCTCATCATCGTTGCTGATTTCATGCACGTATTACGAGTCAGGGCTGCTCACTTTGTTCTCAAAAGCCTGGGTGGGAAAGGGTAAACTCGATTCCATCGAGGGTTTTCGACTTCTTTAATCTGGCAACGACCGCACCATGACCGACTCATCATCGACAAACCCGCCGTGGGCCTCACGCGTGAAGGCCGTTCTGGTTTCTACATCTCCTCGCGAGAATCCCTCTCTTGCCGGCTTTCGTTTTGCTTATGATAAGAATACTAACCAAGGATGCATTTCTCTCAGTATCAAGGCACATCTATCGAATCGTCTGAGCGGTGAAGAAGATACGCTGATATTGAGAGTCCCTCCCGAGTCGGTCAAAACATGTAGCTTAATCTCGGCCAGCGACGAAACACTTTGTTCAGACTATTTTGCTTCGAAACTTCCGACGAGAGTAAAACACGTTCGGGACGTCTCAACACTGATACTGGAACTTGATCGGGCGCCTGCGGAGGGGACAGTTCTTTGCCCGTCTGAGATGTCATCTCCACTCCCCGCGACTCATGGAGATTGGAATTTCGCTGCTTTTGCAAGGATCTGTGAATCCAAATCTCTACGTATTCATTTTGCCGCGCGGCAGTTTGTGAGTGGCGAACTCGGGATGCTGAAGGCTTTCGTCCGTGGCCTTGAGAAAAGAAGCCTTAAAGCAGTATCTTTCGATGACTCTCGCCAAGGTCTGGTCGAGAGAGTTTGGAAGGATTTGAATGTGTTGCTTGAGCGACCGCCAGATTATGAGGAGCCCGCGTCCGAGCAGGTCAAGCAAGCAGATCCACCCCCGTATAATGAGGAACCCAAGTCAGCGCATGTAGGTGCGAAACGGGCCCGAGGTATTCCATCATCTAGTAGACCTTGTACTTTAAGCCTTCTACAGTAGCTTTGTTAATCGTATATAGACCACTCGTTAATCTCACCATCCGAGGATGACAGACGAAGGAGACCGCTCTTTACATCCCCGGAACCGCCCTGCTGTCCCACCGAAGTTAATACACCGAGTACTGTTCCGTCTCCCTCATCCGCCTCGATCCGGCCAACCGACTTCACACGCCGTTCCTCTCCAAGCCGTACGGAGCGTGACACACTTGCACGTCTCGAACATATGCTCCGTGGTGCTTCCGCCGACCTGATCCGCAAATTATTGATTCGATTAGCATCTCGATGCCTACAGGCTGTACCCGAGGATCCCGAGAGTCATATTCTGTCCGATTCCGAGAAAATTATGCCTGCCCAGATGGTGTCCATGGAACGCCGCCTCGAACGCATCGTCGAGGAGAAGATCAAGTGTTTCATCGAACCACATATCCTCAACGCGATTATCGACAGTGCCGTGAGCGAGTGCCGGGATCAATTCTTGGATGACTGCCACCTTCACGAGACCGAGTTTCGCGACCAGGTGGAGGACAGTAACACCGAGGTACGCATCACTGCCAACGACTGCATGAAGGAGATGGAGGAACAAGCCCAACGGCATCTGGAGGAGATCAAAGAGCAAGCACAGCAGTATATGCACAAGATCGAGGACCAGGGAATCGAGGCGGAGCTGTCGGCGGAGAAAAAGATCTCTGGATTAAAGCGTTGCTTGCAGATGTCGGCGCCGTCGCTACCTAATCACATATCAAGGCCTACTAGCCAGGACTTTACTAGCCCCAAGGGCAGGCGCAGCTCCATCTAGTGCTTTCAGGTAGTGCATGCATGCATCTCTTAGCATTGCTGTCGGGGACCTGGGTATATAGGCTCACGAGATGATCAGTGAAGGGGCCCAGCATTCAATTGTAAAATTCCATCCCCTGTCTCTATTTATGCCAGTTCATCGGAGGGACATTCCGAAGCACGGAGATTGATGAACATTTTGGAAGTCATGCCTTACCTAGTCTTACTTTAGGCGACAAAAATAAGATACTTCTGTTTCTATATTAGGGACTGGTGTCCTATCTTTGATATTCATTGCCGCACAAGGGGCGGGCCGGCCGGCCCTAAGTCGAGTCAGGTTCCGTCCCGTCCCGACCAAACCTAAAAATGACGACTCCCGCCTAGGTAGTTTCAGGCATACTGTAAACGAGCCTCGGTGCCTATTATCTAGGTAGCCTAATGGATTTTGGGGTTTGCTCGCTGTTAATCGTGGATACAAGGAGTTTTATATCTACAAGAGGACCAAAACAACAAGATACCACCTTGATTTAAGTATGGGCCGACTTACAAAACTGGTCGGAGCGAGAGCTTGGAGCTGCACGAGGCTGCAGGATTCGGGGGAGGGAGAGGTGTTCTGGGAACCAAGTCTGCGATATGTTGTTTCTTATCTCTTGCTACATGCACACAAGGGACGCAGGTCTTGAGACACAGAGAAGATTCAGGGAACTTATCCTGCTTCACTGATTCTACGTGACCCTATTGCAAGGTTACGAGCAGAATGTGTATCTCCTTGCAATTCGTCTCGATAAATGGATGGGATGTGAGCTTAGGGATGCTCTGATCTCTTGTTCAGGCCAGCATTCACATTGTTTTTGGTGGTTCTATTGCCTACTACAAGGAGTAACTAGTCAGTGCATGATGGGAATGTTCATGGGAGTACTATGTAGAAGTATTAGAGGCTGATGCTCCTCGACCGATACTTCATGCAGTGTTTCGATTGCATCTCCCGAGCCCACGGCAGTTCACCTCCGATCTAGAAACTGGTCTCATTTCAAATCTTCCAATCTATCCGTTCCTTCTCCCGACCCGAGCACTGCCCCACTGTGAAGCCACCATCTTTAGTATAGAAGATAGTGCCTATCTTGGCTTGCCCGACCCAGGTATCGCCGCCAAAGTTCTCGTTGGTCCAGTGGATTGACTCTCCTTTTGAAAGCTGCGAGTAACAGTACTCGTAAACTTTCTTATCGTCCACCACTTCCGGACCATAAACAATGGCTAGAATCTCGACCTAGGAATCGGCTGGCTTGGACCCCGGGGTAATCGCTCGACAGATGCTCTCTCCATCGACTGACACTGACTGCTGGATCTCCCCGGCTTTCAGGTGATGTACGCCAGTGCCCTCCTTGCACACAAAGATTCGCTTCTCTTTTCGGTACTGGTGCAAGATGGAAATGGTTTTCGGCATTCTGTGCCATGGATCGAGGAGGCCAGGGCCATCACTCGGAATGCGAAGGTCCCCACCGTCGTTGAAAAGGATCTTGGATGCGTCTGTGCAGTCGGAGGCGCCGAAATTCGCACTGAGAATTTCCAGATGCTGCCTGATCTCCGAGTTCTCATCGGCTAGCTTCTCGGGGTCGATCTCCTTGATCAAGCCATGTTGCTGGAACTGCTGTGCCAGATCGCAGACCTAGGGGGTGGCGCCAGGGCCTCTGCTGCTACTTTTTTTCACAGACTCGTTAGAAGAGAAAAAGAAAACGCTTACCTTTGCCCATGAAGCTCCTGCTTCATCGAATAATATGAATGCCCTCTTCAGCTTGATTTTGCCTCCTTGCGCCACATTCCCTTTGACGAAATCCAGCTTTTTGGCTACTTGAGCCAGATCTGTCTCCAATCTACTGAATGCACCTGCGCGTTTCTTTAGAATGTCCGGAACGCCTCTCCCGATGGGGGAGGACTAACCCATAATATGCTGCAAAGCGTCAATGGCCTTTTGGATTGCATCCAGCCCCGTCTGAATTGACCGTGTTAGATTGGCACTCTTTTCTAAACCATCATCAGCACGGGAAGTATAACGGTGGACGTCGACTCGCAACGAACCTCTGAATGCAACGATGGTGAGTAGTCTGTCTCCCGCAGACTTCTGTTTCAATCAATAAAGATCCTCAGACAACCCCAAGAAGCGCTTAGCCCTTTGCTTTAAGCGACGCATCGCACCAGATTGCTCCATGAAAACCATCAACGATCTGACTTTCCTTCGAGACGATGGAGCACCGGAGGATAGGGGTTTCTGGAATGAGTACGCTGCTGTCTTGACTCCTGTATCTGCTTTTTAAGGTACCCGAGTGCTGTTTCTGGCTGTCACAGTGACCTCCCCCGCCTCTTTCACTTCCTTATACTCGTTGCTGAGACCCACGCTTCGCGGGATCCACCCCTGGCCGTGAAACTGCTCGATTTTGTTATCGCCCTGACGGGAGATGAAGCGGCTCAGCAACTCAATTAAACGGCCTATGCTCTTCGAATTGGACTGGGTAAGAGCCCGGGACTCCAATGTTCTTCTGCATGTAGAACTGGCCAGCTAACGCGTCTTCGTCTCTAGTGGGCAATGCGGATGTGATGAATGTCCCCTCAGTCAGCATAGACGGCTACAAGGAGATTCTCAAGTCTCGACTTGATGCGGCGTTGGCATTCGAGACTTCCTTTCGCGACTTTCTTCTCACGGCTGGAACCCGCTCTGTGCAGAGTAGTGTGGCGCTCAATACGCTAGCGAAGAGTCAAGATGCGATGAAGACGTACGCGGTACTACACGACATCAAGAAGAGAGAATACGACGATGCAGTGGAGTCCAATGAGAAGGCAGAGCAGATCTTCAATACTGCCCAGGCCGAGTTGGGCCAGCTCGGTAATAAGTTCCAACAAGGAATCGAAAAGTATAAGGTCGACCAGATCAAAGAAGCCACTAGAAAGTCGCCTGGGAGGTTGTAAATATAAGCGTTTCAATTGGTGTTGCTATCGCCTCGGGGGGGCTTACGGCCGGGTCAATCCCAGCCGCAATGAAAAATGTCACAGACGCTGCAAAGGGTGCCGGTAAAGTAGCTCAAAAACTTCTCAAGGTGGCCGAAGCACTTAAAAATATCTACGACAAGATCGCACCGGTTCTCAAAAGGCTGAAAACGATTTCCGTGACAGTCAAGAAAGTGATTGATACCTTCTCTAAGGTCGACAAGAAGACAGGAACCGCCAAGTCTAAAACTGCTAAGACTCAAAGGCCAGACACTCAGTTCATCGATATGCCCAATGCCATTGCTGAATGGAGGTGCTTCAATATCGAAATCGATTACATGGAGGAGTCGCTGTCCACATATGGTATCTCGGGGAAGAATGAATACTTTCAGGCATTGAGAAAGATGGTCGTGAAGGCCGAAACATACATCTTGACGCAGGCCAGTCTCGTTCAAAGGGCTGATGACTATGTCACTGTTCTGATGCAGCAGTCAATGGGTGAGCGTGATGAGTCCCGTCTCTCAACTGCGGCGACTCGTATTGCCAACAATACAGAAATTTTGACTATCCTGACGCGTGCCATGTTTGATCGTGTTCTCGCCATTCGTCATCAGGTTTACCTTGACTTCCATGCCTTCACTGAGGCCTACCGCTATCACACTCTCTCTGACCGTGCGCCTCTCCTCCATCGCCCCTACTGTCTTTGAACTGAACTGACTCTACCCTAGCGCTAATCACGGACCAGTCCCCGATCAAATCAATTGGCGACTACCAAGAAGGGATGGCCAAGCTCTGCGAAGCAATCACTGTCTTCTCTGCCATGACAAATATCCTACGAAGAACGTTCAGATTGAATGTTGGCCCATCCGAGCTCTCAACAGAAGCACGAGTGGCCCTTGGAGAGGGCCAGGCTATCAGTTTCGATATTGATCGGGACGCGCCCCTATGGAATGGCTTCGCACGTATCAGAATGACTTGTGCAAGGTATCTTTCAAATGTCCTCAGTATCCCTTACATGAAGCTAACGAACCAGATGTTGGCTCGAGGGTATCACGACAGAGTCCAATCTCCCTGTACGTCTGGAATTGGGGACTGATGCTCAATTCGTGGATCGGAATCCCACAGATCCAGCTCCTGCACATTCCAGTTCAACTGTCTCTGATCGTACACCTGAAGATATTGATGAAGATCTCGGTGAAGACAGAGTCCTCGCTTCCCTTCTGGCCCCAACCATGCGCTACGTGGGAGTCGCACGAAAGCTGCTTTTCGAGTACGAGCCCCGCTCCAAGGCGATCCATTGTGATGGTGTCTTTAGTGAGGATCCCGCGTACACCAGATTTACCCCTATAACCAGATGGTCGGTTCGAGTTGTTGAAGGCGGGTCCGACAGCGCCAAGCGGGGGGAAATCGATTTCACGGGCTTTACGGGGATCACGATGGAGTTTGTATGCGACGTGATGTGGGTTGGGGACTGGCGAACTACTTACATATCACCTATGTGGGCTTATAAGTCTGCGCATATACCCCGTCGATGCTAGCTATGATAAGGAGTTATATCAACACTACAGCCCATCACACGGAGACTATCAATAACCCTTTCTCAACAGCCCCGGCCCCTCAAAACGCGGATCAAGTAACCCACCTAATTCCATTCTGTCTACTGGTGCTCCGCAGTCGTTCCGGTATGCCAGCATCCGACCCATCGAACTTGTCTGCAAACGAACCCTTTTCCCATCGATCTCCATCAAGTCCACAACGTGTGCGCTGCGAATCCGTCCCAGAAGCCCTTTCTAACCACCCCATTCGTCGCCCCGCTTTCAGCTTAATCGTTGTAGGATGGACTTGGTTTGATGTTATCTACTTCGACTCTCGGAAGTATAAATCGTTCTCTTCGCCCAGACGCCTGCAGAGGGAGGGGAAGAATCAGGGGCGGTTCTGTCCTCAGCTTTCTCGCCTGGGGCGGTGGCGGCGGGTTTAACTTGTTAGCAGTAAACCCTCTGGCTTGACTATAGCTTCGCCTGTGTTATCCTTTCCCATCCAGTAACTGTCTTCCAGACTTGTAGGAGTCTATACTGACTTTCGAGGATAAGACTGAAAGACAGCGTTGCCACTTCGAGCTATTTTCAGGAGATTTTACTCAAAAATTTGTTATCGTCCGGTAGAAAAAACAAAGATGCAACTATAGCCAACATAGATTCTCTGGGACTTTTCAGGTACTGTATAGGTTACGACACCAAGGATGTATTCCGTGTATGTTGACAATCAAGGACCTATAACCGGTGTCTGAACTGTTAGGCCCTGGAGGTTACTTTTTCGTATCTTTTCCCGCGGGATATGCTTGCATGCCTTCGCGAGATCTCAAGAAGAAAAAGAACAATGATCTTACGCTATCTTGACAGCTTAGCGATCTCGATACAGTGTTCAGTAGTAACCAGTATACCAGCGAAAGATCCAGATCCAGTGGATACCAAGATTTCAGTATAGTTACATACTTATCGTATCGATGGGGTGAGATATCCTCCTGTGTATCTTCGCCTGGAGTAGCTCCGCCCCAACCCTGCCCAGGGTTTCGCACAGTGCTAGAGCGGCCTCATTTGTTAACATGGACATATACTACTCTACCTCTCCACCAAGCACATACGACCACAGGGTGTGGAAAATAGGGCTTCCCGTCCGCTCAGCCGTACTCAAGCCACACGCCGGGAGGGTAGTAGTTGGGTGGGTGACCACCAGCGAATCCCTTCTGTTGTATGTTTTTGTCTTTCTCTCCTTGTTTTTATGGAACAACAACAGTTTTCACTCATTCGGGCTGATGGTACAGCGTAGTGCTTATAGACCGTAGGTAGTGAACTGGTATGTTGAGGATTTTGAGTTGGAAATATGTGTAGACTTTTGGACTCAGATCGACACAGGAGGGAAGAAAGAAGAAGAAAGAGAAGAAAAGGTAAAGAAGGAAAAGAAGACTAAGTTCTGCTGAGGTTTCTGCAAAAAGCCTTTGAATGTATATTTACTGAATCCTACAGTCTTCACCCCGGCTAGCTATGGAGGGCGGTGCTGCCTTTCTTTCCAAGCAGCTCCGGGCCACGATGGACCGGTGCGCGGACAAACTGTAGCTCTGCGGTTGTATAGACCACAGAGCATGCCAGCCGACACAGAAGTGAGCCGATCATCACGATGCAGAATAATCCTAGTGCGTCGAGGATTCTCTAGTGTGCAGGTCTGGCTGATTCCGGAAGTAAGCCGTCGCGCCGATTGGGATGCGATCATTTTGCGATATACAGCGTCGGCGTCGTGGTACCCACAAGCACGGTAATGACCCCGAACCCGTTGCGGCGGGTCCACAGCGGAAACACCGCCGTGGGGGGGGGGGGGGGGGTTTCTGACCCGCGCATCTGCGCAAAAGCCGGCTTGGAAACATTCCACCTGCCCTTGACTTTGTCGCAGATGGTTGACTGTGCCCGAAAAGGCCCGTTCATTGTCGTCAATATCGCGTATACCTCAGCGGACGCCATAATTCTCCTCTCATCTGGCATCATCGACCATTTCAGATTAGATAGCATGCTATCTCGTGGCGTAAACAGGTTCCTCGAACACTTGGTAAGACGCGAGATGGATAGGATGCACAAGAAGGCATGGAGCTACGATAAAGAGCCAGGGGTAAGGGACCTGGAGAGTGACTTACCTCCGGAGGCCGGAAACGAGAATAACTTTCTCTCCTGGCTATGGTATACCTGCGTGAAGCCGATTCTGAAACCACTCGCTGCCATGAGAAGAGCCGAGTCTGGTGGATGGGCACAGGTTTGGCTAATGGGCTTCCATTCCACGCCGCCGAAGATTATAGCAAAGACGATCTTGGCGAAGGCGAGAGTTGCCTCGACTATGTGATTTCATCGTACACGCCGACTATTAAGGCCCTTCACCTTCAATCCGCACGTGTAAAAGCGGCGCAACAGGCATCGCGCCTAGCCAAAGAAAGGCCCTCTCTTTTAATCGCTACCATGCCGGATACACCGGGCCATAGTACACTGGTGGGAGCTTAGTGGTGGATCGGGGGAGGGGGAGGGGGAGGGGGATACATTCCGAAGTCCGAATGGACTCACTCAGTGACGGGTGCAATGAGGGTTTACCTTTTCGTGTGTTTTCAGTCAATAGACCATCCACATGCATCTGATTGATATATATGCCTATCGGTTTCTTTCTGCCACATACTATACGACCACAGGGTATGGAAAACTCCGGACGGCTGCCTCAGGCACCAAACCAAGCTCTATTCGATGACATCACCACTTGCTCCTCGTATCTCCATCACTTCACCTTCAACCATATTGACTGTACGGTACATTCATCCCACACGGTCAGATTCTAACCTCCAACGGTGAAAGTAAAACGCTACGCTACCCATCATGACCGGTCACATTATCGACACGGTCAGAGAGGACCATAACGAGATCCAAGCTTGCTATGGCCGCATCGTCAGCTCGGCCGATCGACAAGAGCAGATCCGCTTCCAGAATCTCTTCACCTGGGCCCTGGCACGCAACACTGTCGGTAAAGAGCTTGTCGTCTATCCTGCCTATGAGAAACACCTCTCGGCGGGAGCGGCGACAGCCGAGAAGCGCCGCAAGCAGAACCACACCGTGAGTAACCTGCCCGATGGTGCCGAAGCCACGATTGACAGCCCAGCTAGGTCAAAGAACATCTGAAGAAATTCCAGACCCTGGATCCGACAAACCCCACTTTCATCCCCACTGTTAAGGGCTTAATGGAAGTGTTGAGTCCGCAGATGCGGGAAGAAGAGAACAATGACCTGGTCGATCTCGAACAGGTCCTGTCTGATCACGACAGCATCAGCCTGTCCAAGTCGTTCAACCGAACCAAGATCTTCATGCCGTCGCGGGCGCATCCCAGTGCCCCCAGTAAGCCGCCGTTTGAGACGGTCGTCGGACTGTTGACGGCGCCGATTGATCAGTTGGGGGATTTGTTTCGGAAGTGGCCTCATGAGAAGGATGTTCAAACGTGATCAGTTGATTGACTAGTTTAACTCGTGTGTCCTTTTTGGATCTGTCTTTGTGGGGAGCCATATTCTACTAATTCTCGGTTGCTAGCTCATAATGGATAATGTATGTACTGTACGTAACTCAGAGTGCTGTGACACCTCCTCTCTCCAATCTTAGCCCCATCAAATCCCCGTCTCTGGACCCTAGTGAGACCGCCAGAAACGCCTCCCCCACCTGAAGAGAAGAATACACCGGCCCACCAGACGCCCAAACGCGAGCGGGATCCCAAACTGGAACCAGGTCGCCGGCTGCCACAGGGCAGCTCCAGGCACCGCAATCACGGCGCCACGCGCCTTTGACGGAGCTTCATCCCTGACCGTGACCGACACCCCCGTAAACGCCTCGACAGCCTCCAGCATAATCGCGACCGTTGCCTCCGGCTGGCTCAGAAACGGGGAATGGCTCGTCTGCAGCTCGCGGTGCTCGACGCACGCCCCCATCGCGCGCGCCATACCCACCTGCATCCGCTGCGCCACCACCGGCAGGCCGCGGTCCTCGACGGTGCCGATATACCAGACGGGCACGTCCTGCCACCCGGCGTAGGCAAACTCTCCACCCTCGAACAGGGCCTTCAGACTCTGCGTCGTCAGCTGCGACACCCAGACCTCCGCCTCCTCTGGCGGGAGGTCGTGGTAGAAGAGCTCGCGCGGCGGGGTGACCAGCTCCGCGTAGCCGGTTTCGCGGTTTACCCGCCACGCCGGGGGGGGGTGGCCGAAGAACGGGTCCATGAAGGCCAGTCCAGTCAAGGTGAATCCCGAGGCGATCAGGATGAGGCCGACCACGGACCCTAAGGCAGGCGAGTCGGATTGCGTAAGCCCTTTGATGGCGCTGTTGCCGACCATGCCCCCGTAGGAGTGGGCGACGACGATCACGTTGCGGCCCTGGGCGGTTTCGTGGGTGATGGCGGCGCGGGCGGCGTCGAGGTCATCCTTGAAGGTGGCATTGGGGTTACCAGTGGTGGAGGGGAGGGTGATTGCGACGCAGTTGAGCTGATCTTCGCCCTGGAGGAGTTGGACGATGGGGTCGTAGCAGGTGGGTTGATGCCAGGAGCCGGGGATGAGGACTAGGGTTGGGGTTGGGAGGTCGGCCATTGTTGGGGAGCAGTACGGAGGACTCCGTACCTTGTGCTAGATGATAGTGCTTTATGAGATATCATATACAACATACATGTCAGATGTATGAGAAGTGATAGATAATTTATGATATATGATTTGGATATTACCACCAAACTGGATGTGGCAATGCTCCGCAGAGCTATTGCACAAACACATCTCGTGATCAGTCCATTAATCACAGCCTGAGGCAGCAGTACTTATGTAAGCTTTGGCCCTTTCCCAATCGAATCGTCCGGATCCCAACAAATGTTGCTGTATTTAGTAAGTACTAACGAGTCGGTGCTTTGATGCCCTAAGAGCATAATAAGCATCATGAAAGTAGTAACTTTATCAAGAAATATGGACTTCCCATGCTGTATGGTTTGCTCACGACAGGAAGGGAGGAGGCATGCAAGCTCCTGATAGAGCGAAATGTGCTCGTCGACTGCATGTGGAGGCTTGGAGACTTTATGCGAGAACCGATCCTCAGAGCGGCCATACAAGCTGGGCAATTACCTCTGTCTTGGGAGGCTCTCGAGCATGCCAATATTTGGCCCCCTGTCGGGGAGGACGGCAGGTCGAAGACGCTCGAGATACTGGGTCTCGCGGCGTACTGCGGCTCCGTCGACATCTTTAAGCAAATCCTCAGTCATTGTGCGGTGTCTTCGGACCCCGAAGATCCTGCATATAACATTGTCCTCATGTCGGCAGTCCAGGGCAGGCACCCAGAGACAGTCCAGCTATTTCTTGAGGCCGGATTTGATGTCAACGGTCTCTATCCCCGAACACATGAAAAGTCAGCGACCTTGCGATTTCTCGCGGTTCAAAATCCTCAGTCTGGGGACGTACCTTTGATGGAAGAATCCGTCACACTCGCCCGGCTCTTGCTGAGACACGGGGCCAATGTGAATCTCCTGATTGAGCTTCCACTTGAGATAAATGACATTGACCCTTTTACTACAGGGAGGGCACCGGTCGAGCGCATTGCAACGGGCGCTCGTAGATCACCCAGCCAATACGAAGTATTTGGGACTACTATTGACCAAGGTGTCAATCCACGATCCTCGACTACAAGATCTGACGCATTGACTTGGGGCACGAGCCCAGGTCTGGCTTGAGACTCGGCCGACCCCTAAATCGCGAGACGAACGTCAGCGCTGGCGCACACTCTGGACAGGCTCCGAGGATGCTGGAGAGAGCGTGAAGCAGTCCGACAGTGCCCCCCAGCCTCTTCAGCCAATCTCTCAAAGTCACCAATGGTGGGCAAGTTTTTATTTCTGTCAAGAAGATGCCGAGTTACTATTGGCGTGCCATTAGTCTGTGGCACCTGCTAGCATGAGAATCTCGTTTTCCTAGACTTTATCTATACGGCTACTTATTACCTTAAAATGATGCTCTTCCCTGGAATCTAGTCGTCTTTCCCCTCACCTGAGCTTTTCTCCTCTTCTCCATCTCTTCCAATCTCTCCGATCTGCAGGTTTGGCATCCAGTCGAATGGTTGGACCAAGATTGAGGAGAGGATGTGCATATGCACCACCCCCTCTCCTCTCACCGCGGAGTACCTATGGGCACGTTATCCGTCACAACCAAGTAGATTGCATGCGGGGGTTTGAGACAAGCTGGCGATTTATACTGGACTGTTGCCCGAGTGGAGGCCGCTAATGCAGGCAGGCAAGGGCCGTAGCGGCCCGCTTCACGAAGCATCAGCCATCAAGAGCCAGAGCCCAGACCAGCCCACCTTCGGGGACCATCCGCAAAATCGGTCAATTACCCCCCTCACTAACAGGCTTGTCTGATTGTTTCCTTGTTTTTGCTGCGCGGGGAGGGGTGTATTGTGAAGGAACGGTGGTTTGTGCTACCCTTATTCCCCTCATCCGAATGGGCCTGCGAGACATCCTAACCTGTTTCCTCACCTTTCCAACTGCATGATGACGTCTCAACCTACTGCTTCAGGCGCAGTACAGTCGATGTTGACCAGAATAGTTGATCTCTCGGTCACACCATTCCAAGTCATGCTTCCTCGCTGAATAAGACTTCTTCCAGCCAAGTTACCATCGCTCGATATCTCACGGAAGAACATAGATGACCCCCCTATAAAACTGTCCTCGTCCTCCCAGGCTCAAGAACCTGCCTTCGACAATAAGCATCAGATCCCGACCCCATTGACATCCAAAGAAAATCAATTACAGCGATAGCCACAGCAAAGCCTTCCCCACCAAGATGAGCTCTTTGTTGAAGAACCCAGTTCAAGAGGCGGTCCAAGGCGCAGTCAAAGAAGCCGTGCAAGACACAACCACAACAGTGATTGATCTTAGCAAGGCAGTGGAGCAACTGCTCGCCGGTTCGTTTTTCCACTTAGCCCCTAGCATCCATCATATAGACCTCGCACGTGCTAACCTCAGTCAGGTCTTGCCAGTCAGCCACAACAAGTCCTCCATGTTTATTCGTACAGTGACCAGACCAGAGCCATCGAGGAGAAATCATGCGTCTCTTTCAAGAGTCTTGACGTGAACAAAATCAAATTGTCAGATATCCGAGACCTCCTAGTTAGCGAAAAGGTCTTGGAGCCGACATTGTAAGGGCCTGCACCGAGATACAGGCAAGTAAATCCACTCACTTTCGTTCTACAGGCTTTGGAGCTCCTTCTGCAACCAGCGTGGGGCTAAGGTCTTGGACTCCACCGACTTCAATGCGTACCTTGCCATCCTGAACGAGAAAGTGAGTAACAGCCTCCCTCCTTGCAGTGCCCACGTAAATTTCAACTAACCCTGGAGATAGTCTAGCGAGGTTGGGGTATGTTCGCATCCGATGTAGCTTTACCGTGATTATGTATTGATCTCCAGCAAGGACATTGCCGAAGACAACAGCGACGCCTATCGAGTCTATCTCAAGTCCGAGAAGCTCATTGACTATGACTATGCGCGCAGCCTCTTTGATCGCGGGGTGAGGGCCAGCATTGATGTATGTTCATTGGCACCTCGCGACACACATGTCTTTTAGCATCACGCCTGACCCTTTTCAACAGAAGAAGACCCCCGATCTGCCCGTGGCTTCGAAGCCGAAGGCTGCCGAGCTGCCCACCAGCTTCAGCCACAATATCTTCATTAACCCGACAAACAGCTACTCCATTGTGTAAGATGGCCTCCCCAAAAGAAGAGAAGCCCTTGTTCTTAGTCACTCATTGGTCGCTCCGTCAGTCATCCTGCGGATATGTCGGAGACGCAGTGGAATGTCGTCTTGCGCAACAATGCCTTGCTGAACGCCTATCGGGTGGTCGACGCGGGCAAGACAATTGGAAAGATAGTGGAGCGCTCCATGCATCCAGGTAGCACAACAGACTCTCTCCCATCGAGTTTCGGTCTCATGTACTGATGATACTTGGAAGCCTTCGCTCTCAAAACACGCTTGTTCCAGAACTATGAGATTTCGGCCAGTGCAGCCTCGGATTCTATTGCTAAGAAGGAGGTAGGTCTTACTTGTTTCGAGCGGCGCTGTTGAATTGCACTGACTTTCCATGACCAGCAAATGCTGAGAGTCCCTCGATATCGGATCGAGGACGACTCCTACATTGAACAATTCGAGAAGACCAGCTCAGTCTCGCGCGCGATTGCCCAGAGCTCCTTGTCTCAGCTCGCAGCCGAATTGGCTATGTATGCCTTGTTCCCATCCCTGCGCTAATCCGTGGCGATACTAAGCAATATGTTCACAGAGAGGGCGGTGCGTTCGGGTTCAGTGCCAGTGCTTCCGCCAGCTATGGGGAGGATAAGTCCTCTTCTAGCTCCGCGAGCTCAAGTGATGACAGTCGGGTCATGACTATTACCTACAACGTACGTACAGTACATCCTTTATGTTTCTATGCCGCGTGACCGTGAAAGTCTTCGTGCTCATCCAGCTGCCATTGATCAGTTTCCTCGCGTGGTTCTGGAACTCGACGCCTCGAGCCTTGAGCTCTCCGAGGAGTGCAAATTCGACCTGGCCACCGTGAGCTCGGCCGCCGACATCGACAGCTTCAAGAACAAGTATGGCCGCTTCTTTCCCACCCGCATCGAGCTGGGTGGAAGACTGCACTCCTCCGAGAAATCGAGCGCAACCAGCACCGCCGACAAAGATGAACAAGCCAAGTCCATGCGAGCCGCCGCGGCTCTCTCCTTTTCGTCTCCGTACGTGCAGGCCTCGGCCAAAGTAAGTTACGGTCAGTCCTCGGATTCGAGCTCGCAGAACTCGGCTGCCTCGGCCACCAAGTCCATCTCCTGGGAGGCCAAAGGCGGCGATACTCTGCTTTGTAATGAGTGCGTTGCTTCCACTCCTTGCCCTTGTCCCCGTACATTTGGTGTTCGAATTGCTAATACTTCACGCCCACGCTCTAAGTCCCACTGCATGGGCCTATACGGTCGGTTCCTTTTACAATTGGCGAGCTGTCAAGGTCAGGAGCCCCATTCCTTTCCACTCCATTATGAAAAGAACCTATCTAAATGGCTACACCACAGCAATCCCGAGTGCTTGCCCTCGAAGATGTCATTGCTAGCATCCCAGGGTATCAGAATATCAAGCAGAAATTCGCGGACATTCTCCGCACTGGCAGTCAGACCCAACCGACAAGCTCTCAGGTTGCGGTCAAATTCAAGTTAACTCACCGGTGGCATGGGAAGACGGTCACCATCAAGCCAAGCGAACAGGGACCGCGGTACCGTACGTAGCAAAGTCCTTCCTTCTTGTCATCCTATTGGATGTCAAGTGCCTAGGCTAATATGTGTATGGTGTATGATCACCTTCACAGGACAAGAGATCTTCAAGCGCACCAAGACCAACGTGATCACCGAAGAACGCCGGAGATACCTGAACGAGCTATCTGAGGCCATCGCCGAGGGGGTCCCGCTGGAGGTCCAGACGGACAGCAGCTCCAACACCAGGCAGAAGCTGCAAATCAATGTCGAGAGCACCGAGACCAACAGCGAGAATCAGATCAAGTATAGATATCCCTATCGCATTTACAACCAGGGAGAAGAGAACGTCTGGCTCGGCGCCAGTCCCGTTCTTCAGGGCTATCTAAACACCTCCCTGATCTGGGCCGGCAAGCGGGAGAATGCCACAACCTTCCAGTTTGCCAGCACCAAAGCAGGGAATAAATCGGAGTACGTACAGGAGGGGGACGAGGTCTACATTCTGCTGTCCGACAAGGAAGGTAACAATATCCGGGAGGCGGCGTGGCTGCACAGTCCAGAGGGTTGCATCGGTACACATACCGACTTCTACCAAGAGACTGAGTATTACTGGTTCAAGTTCAGCTACTTGAAATAATGAGGTGGGAGGAAAGGCTCGTCAAGGTGAGGGTGGCTGGGGAAGGAGAATTTGCGTCTTACCAGGGCTTCCAGTCCAGTCCCCTTCACCTTCCAGATAAACAGTTCAGTCCAATCAAATTAATGCCATTATGTCTTTGATCTGAGACAATAATCTCAGCTTTGCTTTAGCCTAAGTGCCCAACATACCCTCCGTACTGTACTGTCTGTACATGTGAGTACATCAGAACGAGATGAGAGCTCCACGGATGGCCCACTTAGGGCAGGCCAGAACGTCTTAGCCCCAACGCCACCATGAATGGCCTCCACTCACACCCACCCCCAGAGTCTAGATCCTCTAGAGTTTCCAGTATCTTGATATCTCATTCGTGGACTCGTTTCGCACGAACTCTAAAGTTCGATCGATGTATCCCCGAGTGGTGGGGGTGAAAGGGCATCATCGGAATCAAGGTACGAAGTACGTAGATAGCACTTGAAAGATGAACACCCATGAGGCACCCTATGATTGAATTTTTCCTATTCCACTCTACACCTGCAACACCTTAGCCACCACCTCATCTGCACTCTCTTCTGCCACCCCCAACAAGGGCGAGTCCGAGTCCGACCACGAAGGCGCCACGACACAGCGGGCCTGCCCTTCATCGAACATCTGTGCGACCACCAACTCCAGCCTCCACATGCCATTTCCCCCCTCAAACTTCCGGTGTCCGCTTTCCATCAACCGCTGCGCCGAGTCACGCTGCACCGTCCACTGCCGGCCCGAAGCCCGCTGGAAAGCCTCCAACAACTCATTCTGGCTGGTGACAATCGACAGAACCTTGACGAAGCGATTCGCCGTCTCCTCCGGATGCAGCAACACCCCGACCACCGCCTGTCCGATCCCTGCCAAAGTCGTGCCGGTGAACTTCTCCGTGCCCGAGTCGTAGATGATAGCCGCCTCGTGGGCGATGTCGAAGCCCATCATGGGGAACTTTTTCATTGCCTGTACCAAACCAAGAAAGAAACAATAAAGATCAGCATATCACCCTTCCCACCCAACAGGATAAGCACAAGGAACGTCCAACGTACCCAATCAATCGGATTTCCCGTCGTGATCCCCGTAAACGTGAACCCGGGGTTCTCCCGCGCCGTTTGTTGCGCCAGGTCCCACCCCACGCGGCGCTGCGCATGGATGGCGCTGAACTCCGGCAGGCTGTGGGGGTTATGCCCCCAGCCGAAATCGTCGATGATGAACCGTTGTACGCCGGCAGCGGCAGCCGCTTCGACCATGGTGGCTTGTGCGGGAATGCCCCCGGGCCCGACGACGCAGATGGCAGCGTCTTGGCCTGTCAGGGCGGCGGTTAGGTCGGCGAGGGTGTAAGGGGTCCGGATGACGGGAAGACCCGGTGGGAATGTGGAGGTGGATTCGGGGCGGGTGATGATGGTGATGGCGAAGGCTGGGGCGCATTGCAGGGCTGCTGTGATTGGGGTGCCAAAGTTGCCGGATGCCTGTGAGTGAGGTCAGTGATTTAGGGCTGGATGGGGAGGGGATATTGGTATAAGACGGACTCCGAAGATGGCGACTTTGTGAATGGCAGACATTGTGGTGGAGGTGGAGGATGAGGTTGGAGGATACGTAGTTAGGGTTAATGTAGGAAAGGAAGGGAAGTAAGTCAATGGGAAAAGACTCTTTATGTATAGCCAGAGGCTACCAGACGACCTAATCAATTCAGGAAGAGACTGACGGCATTAGTAATGCAATAATAAGGCTACTTAACAGTGATCACTATGTTTGACTCACTAAAGTTAGGCTAGAGCTAATTTTGCATTGTGGCTGCGCGGTCGTTGTTGGGGGCCCACGCATGGCACAGAAAGTGGCTCAATTGAGGAGGCAGTTAGCCCAGAAGCAGTCAAGTTCTCTCTCAAATGTGGGGAGATGTACTTTCAAGTGGGAATTTATTGACTGAATGACTGGTGTTCTCGTATTGGCTATCCCGCACAGACGCCTGTGCCACTGGTGAGGCTCTCGCTAGTCTATTTACAACTTGAACATGGGCCAGATCTACAGTCATGACAGACTTGGACATTGCACGAGTATACACTGGAACATACAAGGGCATACTCAACAGTTGCAACTATGATTTAGACCTTTTTACAGCTTAATCCACCGACCCATCCACTCATTGACAATTGACTTGGCCTCATCCACCAGTCCCAGATCCAGCAGCAATTGCGTCGTGCCACGAACAGCCGAATCCAAGGCAGAAAAGATCCACGCATGGGTATAACTTGTATGCTCGCCGATAAAGATCGTCTTGAGCTCCGTCTGGTAGTAGGCTGGGAGGTACAGTTCCTGCTGTCCAACCAACGGATCCGCCCATGCACCCGCCTGGTGCTGATCGACCTCCCAACATTGGCGGTCGTAGATGCCGGTGAATTGCTCTGCTGCGATCTCGCCATGAACCTCCACCATGGTCCGCTGAGCAAGCGCGACGTGCTCTTCCTCGCTCAGCGCTGCGGTGGAGCGCGCCTCCGTGCCGGAGATGTACGAAGCCAGGATGACGCCCGGCCCGGTGCCGTTGAGGTTGTAAGACGGGTAACAGACGCTGCCCACCCCGGCTACATCGACCGAGCCGCAGCCACCGTAGATCGGCTCCTCCAGATGCTCCCAGAAGCGAGTCTTGTAGAGCAGCGCCATCTTACAGGCCGGATCGTAGTTCAATGTCGAGATGGCGCGACTGAGCAACGAAGAGTACCGCGGCAGTTCCCAGAGTCGTACTTTGCTGAAGGGCGCGGCCACGACGGCGTAATCATACTCCTGCGTCGTGGGCGTCATTGAAAATAGATCATCCCGCCAGGAGACTCCAATTTTGCCGGAGGTTTCATTGTACGTGAGTCCGCTGATCGTGCGGTTCAGCGTCAGTCGGTCCGAGACGTGCGGGTAGAAGGCGCGAGGCAGGGACTCGAGACCCTTATCGATGGTGCGCCATTCCGTGGCAGCAAAGTACACGTCGTCATACAGGTCCCCCCAGATGGGAGAGTCGGTGGTGCCGGCAACGTAATCGCTGATGTTGGCATTATATCCAAGAGCGTATTGCAGGTATCCAGCCTCGGACCAGTGAAACATGTTGTTGTCCACGGCCCAGCGGTGCATCTTGTACATGTTCGTGGCAATCTGGGCGATGGTCTCGCGCGAATTGATCGTCGTGTAATTATCGTAGGCGGCCTTTGCATCGGCGACAGCTGTGGCATTGGACGAGGCCGCCGTGTAGACCAAGGAGGAGTTGGCCGCGACGTCTGCGGCGGTGGGGATGCGGCCGTCGGGGAGACGAACCCCTCCCGAGTCGGCGGGCACATTGGGGGTGCTCTGGTGCCATGGGATGAAGTTGACCTGTAGCTCAGGCTCGTCGACGTTCATCTGGTTTAGAACCCCGGCCAGTTGAAAAACCATCCGGTGGTCCATGATCTCAAGCGTCTCGTTCGTGTCGGAGTAGGTAATGCTGACAGGGAATCGCATGGGACCCATCTCTTGGTACTGGTACTGATCGGGCCGCGTGTTGTTGAGGTATTTGGTGCGAATGCGGCCGCCGATTCTGCCCGAGGATTCGAAGATGTGCCAGTCATGGATCCCGACCGACTCAAGGAGCAAACTTGTCATCAGGCCAGACATGCCGCCTCCGAGGATAGCGACCGACGTGTTCTTAGCTTTGGCAACCAGCGATGCATCCTCACTCTTCGACTTCATGTATGCGACCCCATCAAACCAGGGACCCTCCATGTCGGCAACATCGGCGATGCTTTCTCGTTTGTCGACGCGCTTGGCGATTGAGACGGGCGCAGAGCGACCGACCAAATAATTCCCCGAGAATGCATGCAGGCAGTGTAGATGAGGAGCGTCAGACGGAGTGATCCAGACTAGTCGCCCGGGGCGGGCATCTCGTCGCACAAACACGCTAGTGATATCGTGGTGGCTCTGGTAGGGGTCGTGGAGGTTGCAGTCTCCATACACAACTCGCAGGGGACCTTCGAATTCGTGGTCGCGGAATTCCAAATGGATGTTGTGCAGGGAGTCGGCGGTGACGTCCATCAAGTCTCCGAATCGTACGAGGTCGTAGTCGACCTCTCTCCGCGTAATCCCAGCATCCCCGAGGCTCGCGACTGTTAAGCTTAGCAGCAAGTGTCTGAGATACCTTTTCATCTTCCACTGTGTCCAGCCAAACTATGGAAAGAGTGGTTGTGCTCTGCTGCTCCATGTCCATTGTCCCAACCCCAGCGCCTAAGGCTTTATACCCCTTCCGCGGGCATGATCTGAGCTCGCTGCCACCGCCCGTTATCAGTTGAACCTGTCCCTCTCAATCCGTGACACAACAAAACCGGGCCTGTATCTGTATCGCCGGTCTTCGATTAAGGCGCGCCTTTGTGGTGACATGACGGTGTGGAGTTCAGTCCTCGTCTCGGTTCCTCTAAGCGAGGCTGCGGGTCACTCAATCTCCCGGCCTCTCTCACTGGGAGACCGTTATCGATATCTCCGCCTGGATTTGCCGGGTAGAGTCAATAGACGAATGGGCCCCGCGCGGGGTAGAACGAATTGACGGGATGGGAGTAGTTGTGTAGGATCATCCCTGACGTAGCTGGACCTGCTTTCTTGGTGGAGGACGAGATAACAGGCGTGGGTGCCGCACTGCCGATATCTTTCTGGCTTGTGTGCTTATCATGACTTGCTCAGGGTGCCAAGCACACGTGGTCGAGCTGCTCTTGGCAGGGAGGATAGGAAGATAAGTGAACTAGATATCCAATGAATCACTGCAAGGAGAAGTTTAGACGAGGGGGTGTTATCATTTCCATGTTGTTTATAGCCGAGGGAGGAGGAGGGGGAGGAGGAGGGAGAGAGAGAGAGAGAGAGTGTGTGTGTGTGTGTGTGTCGAGAGAGGATTAGGCATGCTGCAGTGGAGAGCAGAGCTGAGGGAGACGGGAGATCACATGGGGAAGCGGGAAGAACTGGCAGAATGGAGGAAGATGATCATGTGATCAAATGCGAGTTTCTTTGCTGGCGAGCTCGGCTTTGCAAAGGTTTACTAGATTCAAATCATTTTTAGCATGCTGTCAGATACCCAGTACTCAGTATCTCGTCGAGAAGTGCGATAGTTGAGCGATTACTAGTAGTTGTCTAGTAGACTTCTAAGCCTCAGAACGTGCTTCCACCATCCGAAAGCTACAGCACATGTATATATTTTGGGCACCAAAGCCTGCAGAGCACAACCAGTTGCATCCAAACATCCAAGCATCCAAAGAATTCAAGCAGTTATCTCGATGAAAGGGATAATCAATAACAAGATCAAGTGACAAGATGGATAGCAAGGAAGTACTCGATATGATTACCGACAGCCTTACTTGATTCACACCTTACTGCCTGAGGCGTTGAATTTATCTTCTATGATCTAACTAAGTCGGGACTAGGGCGGAAGCAACACGGTCGCGCCGCCCTCTGTCTTGTTTGTTCTGTTTATTTCGTTTGTTCTGTTTATTTCGTTTATTTCGTTCCTTTCGTTCCTGTCCGTCTTCCCAACAACTTCATCATCATCATCATCATCATCTTCTTCTTCTTCTTCATCTTCTTCATCTTCTTCGTCTACAACCACGAGTCCTGGTACAGCTTGCTCTTACTCGTGGCCATTTGAGCCACCGAGGTCAATGTCGCCCCGCCCAAGATGTCGAATACCGCCATCTCCGCTTGCAACTCCTTCGCAAACCAGCTCCGCAGCTCGACCGCCACCAGCGAGTCCACCCCATACTGATGTAACGGCTTGCTCGCATCCATGTCCGTCGCCGCAATCGACAGTGCTCTCGACAGCTTCTCCGCGATAGCTGCCATGGCCACCGCATGAGCGCTGGCCAGCGACTCCGCCCGTTGCAACGCACCCGCGATCGAGTCGCTCGCGCCCGCACTGCCCCCCGCTCGTTCGTGGCCCGTGAGATGCCCGAACATGGGCTTCTTCAGCCACATCGCCTGCGTCGCATTCGGAGACAGTCCCACGGTGACTTGGCAGTCGGAGGCCTTGTCGAGATGGACTTGAGGATCACAGTAATAATCCAACAGCGCGTGAAGTTGAGGTTCAGTCACCGGTTCCAGCCCCATACTTGCGACCAACATATCCCGCAGTTGTGCATCCTCAGCCACCGCACCGGCAAAGTCGAACACTCCCAGATCCAGCGCAGTCGCTTTCTCCCCAAGCGCCAGACGATGCCGGGCCAGCGCATCCTGGAAGGCGTTGCCCGCCGCGTAGTTGGCTTGCCCCGTGGTTCCAACAATCCCTGAAATGGAGGATAACATGATGAAAAAGTCCAGGCCCCGCGGAAGTTGACGGTGGAGGTTCCATGACCCTTGCACTTTGGGTGCAAGGGACTCGTGCCACGCTTGATGAGAGATGTTCTCGAACAACGCGTCCTATCATGGTCAGCGCCAGAACGTGCATCGGGAGATACTCTATTATAGGAAAGGCTTACTCGCAACACCATGGCCGCGTTGAGACATCCCCGGATTGGAGGCATCTGAGACTTGCACAGCTGGAGGGTGTTCTGCAGCGGCACTTCATCCGAAACATCACAAGCTGGGGCTAGGACCTGTACGCCTCGCCTTTGCAGTTGCTCCACGAGCATGCGGCCTCTCTCACTCTGTCCTCCAGAGCGTGACAGCAACAGAAGGTGGCGAGCCCCTCGATCCGCGAACCAATGGGCAATGTTGCTTCCCAGCCCTCCCAAGCCTCCGCAGATGACAAACGTAGAATCGGGATTCAAAGCGTACGTTGGCTTTGTATCCAAAACTGTCTAGCCCAGTGTTAGTGTCGCAGCCAACGACCGTGGGCGCCGGGAAGAAACTCACCAGCACTTCGTCCTCGGGGCGCATGTCCAACACCATTTTACCGACATGCTGTCCGCCCTGCATGATCCGGAAGGCTTTCTCGATTTCTCCCACCCCGTGTTGATGGATGGGCTGCGATGGGTGTAGCGATCCTTGCTGCACGGACGCGAAGATATGGCCAAGAGCAGCGGCACATACTTCAGGTCTCTCCACCGACATGGCGGCGAGGTCCACGCCACTGTAGGTCACATTACGAAGAAATTGAGACATAGGCAGTCTCTGGTTAGACAGTATATCCCGCTTGCCGATCTCCAGAAACCTGCCATACGGCGCCATGCATTCCCATGAGGCCAGTAGACTCTCCCCGGCCAGCGAGTTTAGAATGATATCCACACCTTTGCCGCCCGTGCGGTGCTTGATTGCTTGCGCGAACAAAGTGGTGCGGCTGGAGAAGATGTGTGTCTCTGGGATTTGATAAGTGTCGATGAGAAATCGCTTCTTGCTCTGGGAGCCGACCGTCGCAAAGATGGTAGCCCCCGCATTCTTCGCGATCTGAATCGCTGCTTGCCCCGTGCCGCCAGTTCCCGAATGGATCAAGACAGATTCGCCGACTTGGATGCGCGCAACATTGTGCAAAGCTACGTATGCGGTGGCGTAGTTTACTGGAACCGCTGCAGCCTCTTGGAAAGAGATACCCCGGGGAATTTGCACCACGGGCCCATTCTCGTGAACGCGGATCGAGGTCGCAAAGCATCCGTCGCCCAGGGCAGCCACTGCATCTCCGACCCGGAACTTGGAGACAGCTTCGCCCACTCGACTGACAATCCCTGAGCATTCGGAGCCAGTGTGTGTAGCCTTCAACTGGCCTACAGCAATTAGTACGTCGCGGAAGTTCACACCTGCGCACTTGACCTGTATCTCGATCTCATCGGACTTGAGCGGTCGGTATGCTGTGGTATCTTCCAGGAACTGGAAGCCACTGATAAGCCCAGGCGAAGTAGCGTCTAGCTGCAAGGGAACCTGGCAGCCAAACTTCTGCATTGCGCGCTGCTGAGAGCTGGCTTTGCGTGATACCGTTTCGTTGAGTTGCGCGGGCGTCACTATACGAGGAATGTGCAGCATATCGCTTTGTTCAACATACTCTGTGTCTGCACCCTTTGCAGCTGGCGAAGCCAAAAAGTGAGCTAGCTTCGCAGCATGCTGCGCCACTTGGCTCAATGGTTTTTCGGGCTCCAAGCAAAGAAGGTGCAGATTGCGTCGGCCATCCTCTTCCATTAAGACACGGAACAATCCTTCGACCAGACGGAAATGCGGCTTGGAGGGCAAGACACCCCCCCCTTGGTTGACCCATAGCACCTGAGATGCCGATGAAAGATAACTCTGAAGCTTTTCATACAGCTCAGGTTGGATGTCTGTCCACACCGGACGCTGAAGCTCGATGACGAAAACTTGAAGCGATTTGGTGTCGCTTCGATGACTAATGGTTTCCTCAAGCGAGACGCTTCGAACGTGCGTGCATCCAATACTCTCGCATTGTTTGGTAATGGCATGTGCCAGGTGTTCCTGGTCAGGTTCCTTCGAATCGTACACGACTTCGATCTCTGTCACAGCGCGCGTTTCGTGCTTGTTTTCGACAGCTGCCGAAATCATCAAGCTGCATTCATGCGAACGCTCGCTGTCGAAGTCGGGTAACGAGACATCCACCCCAGAATATCCAGTTTGTCGGAGGATTTCATCCCACTGACCTTCGTCCACGTACCGGGATGAGTTGCAATGGGGCTCCGAATCTGTATCTACTTAGTAATGCGACCCTTTGGACAGTGCGAAGAGCTTACCTTGCCACCATTGCTCAAATAGACCGGACACAAATGTCGACCGGCACTCAGGAACTACTCCTTCGTACACGACTAGCTTGCCATCTCTACCTGCCGTGTGAGAAGATATAGCATAGTAGGGATAGAATTGAACTTACGGTTTTAGCAGCCTTCGCGCATTCTGCAACGCCTTTCTGAAACAAGCTGTTTTATGAAAGACCTGCGCGACTATCAGTTTCGGGATCGAAACAACATACGGGGGGGGGACATACCATCGAGGCCACGACCACATCATACGTGCCACATTCAATACCTTGCGTGGCTGGGTCTCGCTCAATGTCGAGCACGTTGAATCCCATATGCTCTGCTTCCGAAGCGAACCTCTCTTTGGCCGTAGAGATGCTTTCAGGCGACACATCAGTGAAATCCAGATGTGCGTATCGCCTATCACGCATTGCATCCCCTCCCAATGTAGCCAGAATAATTCCCGTCACAGATCCAGCATCTCCCCCTAACTCCAGAATCTTCATCTTGGGGAGGCGATGAGCCAGAAGATCAAGGTATTTGCCCAGGCCCCGGATGCCGTGCGATTCAGCGACCTGACTTGTTAGTTGGAGGCACGGTCCGTGGTGTGAGAGGGCAGCCACTTACGTGTTCCTGATATGCTGCCTTCAGCATATCTTCTTTAAGCAGACTGGACGGATCCAGCTCCCCAGTCAAAAGTTTTGTTAGATTGCGAGCAACTATGGCGTACAAATAACCCTGTTTGCTACCTAGAATTCGATTCCCAGCCTCCTCAAGATACGATGGATCGGTCAATTGGCTCGCAACATCATCGGAGACCGTTTGCTGGTGATGGATCAGCCAGGTGTGGTACTTCTTGAGCTTCGGATCTGTTGGCTGGAACCCTGTCTCTACCAAGGCAGAGAGCGTTTCTTTCCCTCGTGCTGCGAGCAGGACATCCAGGTCTTTATAGAACCTTTCGTGGTCGATCGCACCAGCAGATACAGTATTGCATAAACCGGTAATCTCCGCATTGCTCAGCAATTTCAAGTCTGGCTTCCACTCGATTCGATGGCAGAGGCTGTCCGCAGACTCATCGACCCTGTCAATGAGAGCTGATGTGTCAACGATGTTCATCCGCAACCCAGCAACGGACACCAAGGTCTTTTGCAAGTTCTCGTCAAGTACAACGATGTTCGATGATGGGCCAAGGAATTGCGACACTTCGGAGCATGTGCCATGGACCTTGAGCATCTTGGATGACAGCGCATGGCTATCGACCCATAATGTCTCAACGTAGGTCGGCACCGCAGTCGGGATCCTGTCCATTTCCGAAGGTACTGCTGCCCAGATGGCCGTTTGAAGGATGGCGTCCAATGTTGTGGGGTGGATCGTCTCTCCCAGAGACGTCGAGAAGTTCTGAACCAGAGCAGTCACCTCTGCCCCCGCTTTGCCCTGGCAGAGCTCTTTGACCAGTTGGAAAGCTGGACCGTAGCCATAGCCTGATGCCTCCAATGTATGATACAACTTCTCGCCCCCCATCGTCAGTCTAGATGTTTGTGCTGCCGCCGAGTAAGCGTCCCGCTGAGCGGCTTGCAGTTCGACTGCGAGCGCTTTCTCCATCTCCTCTTCCTTATCGCCATAGACAATCTGGATGGAGCCCGTGCAGTTATCCGTCCAGACCTCGTTCTCGAACATGCAGACGTTGAAGTCAAACCAGCCGGACCGTTTCGACTCCATTTTCTTGGAAGGCCGGAGATGAAAATTGGTCTCAATGCCGTGAGCCCCCGACGGCACCCGAATGGCCGCGCGGAAGGCGACATCTCGGACATTGAAGCCGGAGATCGGCCGGCTTGGATCTGCCAGCTGCTTGGCTGCCTCGATGGCCATGACCACCATTCCAGCTCCAGGGTAGAGAATTGTTCCGTTAATCTATGCAGATATTAGCAGTGACCCCAGTCGAAGCCATTGGTGGCAGCCGTACCTTGTGGTCTTGGACCCAGGGCATCTCAGACACTCGGATGATGTTCCTCCATCTCGCTTCTAGCGGGTTTTGATTCTGTTCCCCCAACCCTAAGAGGTCGTTCCGGGCGAACTGTCGCAGACGGTGACCCTTGCTTATCCTGCTCTCGTACCAGTAGACCCTATCGTGGTTGAAGGGGTATTCAGGCAGATCTGGCAGAGTTCGACATGTGGAATCATCCTGGTTGACCAGGGCCAAGTCGATGGGATATCCTGCGGTATACAGATCACCAAAAACCGAAAAAGCGGTTTCCACGGCGGACATGTTACGCACCAGCAAGGACAGGTATTTGATGGATGAGCTCTTGCCGATGTCTCTCAGGATATCCTTGCAGGCACCTTGCAGAACCGAATGAGGCCCGATCTCCAGAAGGTGATCGATCTTGCGTTTGCGTCGGTGGCTGCCGTCTAGCGCATTCGTGGGGTTGGACGAGGCGGAGCAGAGCGTGGCGAGTCCATCAGAGAAGCGCACCGGCGATATCATATTCCTGACCCAGTGAGAAGCCTGACGCGGCTCATCGGGGTCGATCCACTCGCCGGTGATGGATGAGACCATCTGAGGCCGGGTGTGCGGCTCTGAAGGGTCACCTTCCAGCTCGCCCAGAGCTTCGAGATACTGGGCCGCGATTTCCTTCATCTGGGCGGAGTGGTAGGCTAAGTTGACCTTGAGCCTGCGGCAGAAGATCTTGTCCAGGTCTAGTCGAGCCTTGAGTGCGTCGAGTTGAACCCCTTCACCAGAGACGGTCGTGCTCTTGGGACTGTTTATGCAGCCAACGGTCAGTCGTGTAACCTCAAACTCGGCGCTGACTGCTTCGATGTACGGCAACACCTCCTTCTCGGAGAGGGCGACAGCCAGCATGGAACCTTTCATCTGTGCGGTCTTCTCCAACCGACTGCTCATGTTGCCTCGGAAGTACGAGACCTTCCAGGCTGAGCGGCGGGATATCGCGCGGGAACAGTACCTGGTCCATAATCAGCAGAACTCTTGCATTCTAATAGAATGGATCCTCACGCCGCAGCAACCTCACCAGAGGAGTGTCCAAGTACGGCTTTGGGAACAATATTGAATGAACGCAGCAGGTCGACCAGAGCTACTTGGAGAATCGTGCACAAAATCTGACTGTACTCAGTGCGGTTGACGTTCGACTCGCTCTCACTTCGTTGCAGCTCATCTGGAACAAATTAGTACCAGCTAGTACTGGTGTCGGAACATGGAACTCAGCGTACCAATGGGATCCCAATCGCATCCCAGACTTCGGAGATATTCCCCAGCTTCTTCGATGCTTTGACGGAATGCAGGAAACGTGTGGAGTAGCTCGCGTCCCATCCCGTACCATTGCGCTCCTTGCTACGAGACTGTCAGCGACCATGGCGGTTTAAAGAACAGCCCGAAATCAGATTGACTCACCCCTGAGAAGACCATGGCAAGGTTTGGCGAAACCCGCGATTGAACGGCCCCGGAAAAGCGCTCAACGACTGCTTCCAGGTCGTCCGACGGCCATGCCACGGCAAAGGTTCGCCACGGTAGGTGAGTTCGTCGTGAGGCCAGGGTATGTGCTAGGCTGTTGAGGAAGGAAGGTCTATACTCGGCTGATTTGGAGGAAAAGAATGAACCCCAACTTTCTTGAAGGCGAGGGATACCCGCTTCATCACCCGCAGACCAGACAAGGAGCTTTGGCGCATCAGTCACAGACTTCGCAACTCCATTGATGCCGTTTGATACTTGGTGGTGGACCTCGCTCTGAGTAGTCGTGCCGTTGCTGCGCGCTGAGGCCAGCGGTGGCATTGTGTTATGGTTTCCTTCCAGTTGGTTGAGTTGGAGGAAGTGATAGGCGTCATCTAGGACGATGTGTGTATTTGAGCCTCCATAGCCAAAGGAGCTGATGGAAGCACGTCGCACGTCGCCCGTTGGCCACGGTAAGGCTTCTTGAGGAAACTTTGGCAGTGAGCTTAATGTTTTGCCGTCATTCAACGGTGCGACGAGACGGGGCGTTACCTTGACATTCCAGAATTCGTCATCAATTCGCGGATTCAGAGCCTGTAGATTCTCACTGTTCGGCGGAATGATACCCTTTTCCAGCGCCAGGATGACTTTGATCATTCCGGCGATACCACTTGCTCCCTCGAGATGGCCAATATTCGACTTCACGGATCCTCTGCGGATCACATCAGTTGGAATGGACGGACTACCAAGAGGTAGCGAACTCACATGTACAACGGCTCGTCCGGCGAGCGATGCAGTCGGAAGACGGAGCCAATAGCCCTGGTCTCGATGGGATCGCCCACGGCGGTGCCTACAATTCATCAACTTGGCTCATACCGGGAGTCTAGGCGCAGTGCATGCTGACCAGTCCCATGCGCTTCAAAATACCGCGTCTGCCCAATATCCAGTCCTGCATTGACGTAGGTCTCGCGAATCAACGCTGCCTGCATCTCCGCGCTGGGCTGGGTGATGCCCGGCGTCTTGCCATCCTGATTCGAAGCTGAGGATCGGATCACTGCTCGAATGACGTCTCCGTCGCGCACGGCGTCCTCCACGGTCTTGATGATCAGGACCCCTACACCTTCGCCGCGCGAGTACCCATTAGCACGGTCGTCGAAACTGAAGCACCGACTGTCCTTCGACAGCAAACCCAGGTTATCCATCATCTGCGTTACCTCAGCTGCCAGAAGGAGGTTGCTTCCAATCGCCATGCCCTGGTCGCATTAGTACATAGCCTTGCGTAAATTCGAGAGATCCAGACACACCATCGTCGCCTGGCCACTCCAGATCGACTGACACGTCATATCGATGGCCATCAAACTACTCGAACAGGCGGTGTCGACGGTCGCACTCGGTCCGGTCAGGTCAAAGAACCAACTCACGCGGTTGGCGAGCATATTGCCCGTCGTCCCCGTGATATCGTATTTATGCTGGTGCAGGGGATCCTTCGCCCGCGACATCAACCAGTCATGGCCGGACGAGCCCGCAAACACCGCGGTCCGAGACTTCGCGATGCGCTGCAACGGAATCCCCGCGTTCTCCAGCGCCCGGAACGCGGCCTCGAGGATCAACCGCTGCGGCGGCTCCATCGCCTCGGCCTCGGCGGCAGTGATGGAGAAGAACGGCGCATCGAAGCGGCTGAGATCCTCCGCCAGGAAATGCGCTCCGCGCATGGACAGCGTATCGAGGCGATCGGTGTCTGCGCGGTGGTGTGTGTCGATGTTCAGTCGATCTGGCGGGAACTCTGTCGTGGCGCATCGTCGCTCCACGAGCATCTGCCAGAAGGACTCCGGGGTGACGGCATCCTGAGGCAATTTGAAGGACAGTCCAACAATCGCTAGTGGTGTTGGAGGCTCTACTTCTACTGTTTGCGCCATGGGTGGAGGGAAGGTGTAGATGTGAATGGGATGCCTGTGGGAGGCAAAAGCAAGAAGTCTATTCTAGGGAGGAGGGATAGGCTTCGAACCGACATGACAGGCCAACTGCCTTTATTACTTCTCACTAACAGCATTTTGGGATTTCATCGTCAGGTCTCCATTCCGAATTCTGCTTAGGAGGAGCTAGCGAAAGAATGAGATCGCCACCTGCATGATGGGGTTGGGGGTTTGGGGGTTGGGGCCTTGGACTGGGCACTGAGGCGCAAGTTGCAGGACGTAGTCGAAAGTCACCGGTAATTTACTGGGTGCAAAATTTCAGCAAAAGTTACCGAGACCTGTCAGCTCATCCGCAAGCGATTCGCAGGAGCGATTCAGCCCCGAATGCGAATTGTGGGTCTTTTCTGCAGCAACTTGCTCGGCGTGCAGGAAGGTCAAGGCTGCCGAGCGCGACGCCACTTTCAGGCCATACGCACGTACCGTACCGGTACAATGGATCAGACTGCAGTAAGGTATATGTAATCTGACAGATAACTTGCCTTGACTTGAGTCGAGCATTTGATCATCCTCAGCTGAGCCCGGCCTGTTTGCGGGTCGTCGGCTATGCCGAAGACTTGATTCTCAGCCGCGAGCATAGACTCATTGCAGGGGCTCTTCCCTTATCTTTTCCTTTTTTGCTTTGTTCATCATTTCTCGGTACGGAGTAGAGTGCAGGGTTTTCGAATTTGCGGGATGCTGCTACTGTTCAAGTTATAAGTTGATTATCTAGAGCTTCTTTGCGGGACGCATCTCGAGGGACTGACCTGTTTTTCTTCCAACCCATCCTCCGGAACCTTCAACAACAGCAATTCTCAAAATGCGTTTCTTGTGGTAGGAATAACGAGGCCCATGATCCTGCCTTGAAGTTAACCCAAGTTCTTTGCCAGTTTACACGGACAAGGCAGCAATGCCCGAGTGAGTGACCCGACCCGTCGCGGACGTCCTTACCTGACTCTTCGACGCAGATCTTTCAACAGCAGACTGGTATGGACCCAGCAGCCTGCTGGTCAATCCAGTGGTACTGACAATCGCAACAAGCCGCACTGCGGTATGAACTTGGAGACGATCACAGCTACGACTTCGTCAACGGTGCAGTGCCATGGAAAACCGATCGAGGTGTGCGCTTGCCATCTTGCCCTGACTGATCCACCCATCCGCTCGTCCTAATCCCCCAGCAGATCTGGATCAATTCGCAATGGGTGAAGAGCAAACTTTCGCGCACTGTGACCCCGAGGAGCCCGAGTCATGCCTCCAAGCCCTAGAGAACCTCGAACAGTACATCGCCGCAGAAGGACCCTACGACGGCATCATGGGATTCAGCCAAGGGACCAACGTTGCCCTGAGCTGGCTGCTCAAGTTACAACAGGAGGTACGTCCACTGCCCTTCAAATTTGGGGTCTTTTTCTCCAACCCCTGGGCTGTGTACGATTACCAGGAGTTGTTGGGCGGTCGCATTGTGCCCTTGCAGCATGACGCATACGTGGGGTTGCTGGATCTGCCGACGACGCATATCTGGGGGTCAGCGGACAAGGACGCAAAGGCGTCGGAGGCGATCACGGCGGCCTGTATGGAAGCAAAGCGATCAGTCTGGATCCATGACAAGGGCCATGAGATTCCCGTCAATACTGACACTGTGATCGCGATGGCGAAGATGATCAACCGGGCGCTGGTCCGAGCTTCGACGGCGGAAGGAGCATAGAGATTCTCTCGTTCATAGTGAAAATACAAAATGTACAGGCTATCAGCGCTAGTTGAGCATGATCTATGATTACTGGGTAATAGGGTCTGTCTCCCTTGGTCTCCGTCCCGCCTGAGCAAACGGCGATGGGTGATGAGATGCGTATAGGCGCGTAAACTGAACTACCAAGACGGGAGAGAAAGAGGGGAAGGGCCAGAAAGGGCCAGAAAGGGTCTCCCAGCCGTGTTTCGTGCAACTCCTGGCATTATCCTGACTGGTGGGTGGTGGCCAAGAGCTCCTAGGTCGCAGGCTTCTGCAGCGTGTGCGCTGGCATAAGCCGGGATACCAGGTGTCAGTGCAGATGGGCCCAACCAATCAACCCGTCCCAGCCTCTCTGCGAGGGTGAGTGACTGCAGTCATCATGATCACTGCATGGATTAGTTGCACCTGGAAAGCCCTAACAGGGTAAGGACTGGTAAGACCAAGAGGGGTTTCGATCCGCTCGTATTTCCGCCATTTCTATTGCCCGGGAGGAAAGCATTCCGATTGACACGACAGCTTACTGGTCCTCTTGTTCTAGAACCGGAAAGCCTGAAGTTTGGCTTGCATTATTTAGTGGAGACACTACCCCCTAACCTCTGGTCCTGCTGGACTCGTACCGGACGCATACATCCTGCAGATCTAAGACGCCCCACCCCAAAAGTCACAGGAGTCTTGTATCGTCATGTTTCCGTTAAGGACATGCAATTTGCAATCTGGGTTACACCCCGTTTGATGCGATGGGCTGGAAAAGATTCTTGGGACATGTAGACGAACCAAAGGACTCACACCAGTTTAAAAGAGCACTGGGGTGAGGAAGAGCATCTCACAGTGAACCTAGGCCCTTCTTTGAACCCCCATCTCTCGATCATGCCGTCCATATCTACCGTTTCGGTGGCACAGTACCTGTTCACCCGCATCAAGGAAGTTGGCATCCGGTCCGTCCATGGCGTGCCGGGCGACTACAATCTGGTTGCACTCGACGACGTGCTGAAGGCGGGTCTCCGGTGGATTGGGAATTGCAATGAGCTTAATGCTGGTGAGACATAACTACACCCCTTTGGTGCTCCAAATAGAACAGGCGCCTCGACTGACAGAGTCCCCAAGGGTACGCGGCCGATGGCTACGCTCGGGTTCACGGGATTTCAGCGCTGATGACTGTCGCCGGGGTCGGGGAGCTGTCGGTCTCCAATGCCATCGCCGGCGCGTACGCCGAGTTCGTCCCGATCGTGCACATTGTGGGACAGCCGAGTTTGGCCCTGCAGAAGCAGAAGAAGCTCTTGCATCATTCGCTGGGCGACGGGGACTTCGAAAGCATGGCCCGCATATCGCAACGGACGGCCTCAAAGAGCGTAAAGCTCCAATGCGTCAACCAGGCGCCAGGGCTCATCGACGCTGCAATCACCCACTGCTGGAAGTCTAGTCGACCCGTCTCTATCGTCTTACCTACGGACATGGTGCATGCGCCCGTCATGGCAGAGAAGCTCTCCCAGCCGCTGGACATGCTGGCCACGCCCAACGATTTCGCCACGGAGCGGCGGACCGCCGATGCCATTCTGAGCGCACTTCGGACCGCCCGTCAGCCCATCCTGTTAGTTGGAGGATATAATGTCCGGTTCACGAAGAAGCGGGAGGTGCAGGAGCTTGCGGAAGCTCTCGGGCTGCCAGTCTTTCTTTCGGCGTCTGGGAGAGGCATCATTGACGAAGAGCACCCCTGCTTCCGCGGATTGTATCTAGGGGACTGTTCCGATCCATACACAACCCAAACGGTCCGGTCGTCGGACCTGATCATCTCCGTCGGCAATATCCATTCGGATTTGAACGTCGCCTCCGTGTCGTGGGAGTTTGATCCCATGAAGATGGTTGAGATCCGCGACGGACTTGTGCAGGTCCAGAGCAAGGCCTACTACGGGCTGAACAGTCCGGGCCTTCTGCAGACTCTCATCAATCAGACAAAAGAGTCGACCCAGCCTAAACGACGCAGCACTCCGGTTACTGTGCAGTCTAGCGATGCTACACGCACAAATCAGATCTACGCACCTCCCAAGATCACTGCCGCGATCATAGACCGCGAGCCAACCTACGGCGGTGGGGTGGTGATGCATGGGATGCTGACACGCAAGTCCCATACGCTGAGCTACCGAGAGAAGACCGGAGTGCTGAATCACGACTGGCTCTGGCCGACCCTAAGTGACTGGTTGCAGCCCGGGGATACGGTCATTGCCGAGACCGGCACCGCCAACTTTGGTATCTGGTCGACCCGGTTCCCTCGCGACGTCACATATATCAGCCAGTATGTTTGGGCGAGTGTGGGCTATTCCCTGGGCGCCTGCCAGGGGGCTGCAGCAGCCATTGAGGACTCAGCCCGCCCCGGTCGACGCACGGTCCTGTTCATCGGCGATGGAAGTTTCCAATTTACGTGCCAGGAGTTGAGCACGATCGTCAAACACAATCTGACCCCGATCATGTAAGTCGATCGATCTTCTGTTGAAACATTTTCCGGAGGCTGCAGTAGAATTAATCCAACCCTTTCAGCTTTGTGATCTGTAACAACGGATACACCGTGGAGCGGCTGATCCACGGATGGCATGAGTCGTACAATGACGTTCAGGATTGGAAATATCGAAAGCTTCTGGAGGTGTTTGGGGCGGAGCGTGGTTCCTATCAGACATATCAGATCCGCACCAAGGAGGAGCTGGCGGCGCTTCTGCAAAATCCCGCGTTCCACAATGGGCGAATGCTTCGGGTGAGTTTTCCAAAGCTCGGCTCCAGTAGCACGCAGGTGACTGATCCCATTGGTCATTGGCCATCGACCATCATAGTTCGTCGAATTACATATGGATCAGAATGATGCACCGTCGGAGCTGAAAACCCTCACTCGGCAAATAGTGACCCGGGCAAGGCATCCGCCAGACTCCAGGCAAGGGGAACGAGTAGGATCGAAGTGATGGGATGGGATCAGATTAGGGGAGGACTCTTCTGCACCTGGCAGAGGAATAATGTATAATTACTCCATAGACTTGGCTTTTCCACCGTGCCTGTGAATGAATGGTACTCCGTATCTCTGTGGCCAAAGTAAATAGGTATGCTCCATGAAGAGGCTGCATGCAGACCGCCAAAGGCGGTCACTGAGTGTCATTCGGGGGTGGGAATGCAAAAATACCACCTGTATTACCGGCCCTAATTGCCTGCCCATTCTCTTCTCAGGCCCTCACAGCTGCTTACCAGGTCCATGCACGATGTGTGGGAATCCCGGCCGACCCCAGAGCACAGGCATCCCCGTTCTGGAGAGTAAGCCAGCCTGATCCGTCACACCAACCGAGCAATCTTCTTTTCCTCTACCCCTCCCTCCCTTAGAGCACCGAAACAATTCCTCCAGCTTCTCCAGCTTCTCCCAAGGCCAATCCCCTCCTCCAGATTTGCCTGCTTTCTTCATGGAGGAATCATCGATTGTTCACGGACCAGATGAGCCCGCGCTCTGGTCCAAAACCTTGGGTCAACTGATCGAGGAGCAAGCCACTCGGTACGGCGACCGCACGGCGCTGGTCACCCCATGGCAAGACAAGCGGTTGTCCTTCCGCGAGCTGGCGGAGAGTAGCAAAGTGCTGGCTCACGCGATGGTGCGCGCTGGTCTGCGTCTGGGTGACTGCATTGCTGTTCTGGCAGGCAATCGCTACGAATACATCCAGGTGTTTCTGGCTGGGGCGCGGATCGGATGTCCTGTGCTACCCTTGAACAACGCCTACACTCCGGCGGAGGTGCTGCGCGCGTTGCAGAGAAGTGGTGAGTGCATGTGCTTTAGACAGGCTACGCCTGAGTTCCAGCCGTGTGCTCATGGATCTCCATTCCAGCAACCAGATTCCTCTTCATCGCCTCGCAGATCGGTCCCCGCAGTCTGGCCCCGCATCTCCAGAACTTGCTCTCGGTCGCGTCGCAAGCCACCTTGCCTGAGCTGAGTGGAATCGTATGCTTTGATAGTGGCGAGCCTTACACACAATCGCACATTCAGGTCTACGGGTCCTTCCTGGCCTCGGGCCGGAGTGAAGCACACGATGCGGGTGGCCTCCTGCGAGCTGCGGAACGGATCGTGCGGCTGTCCGACAATCTCAGCTATCAATTCACCTCAGGGACTAGCGGCGAGCCGAAGTTGTCTATGCTCACGCACCGGTAGGTGATTCAAATTCCCTGGGATTGCGTGGGAGTGGAGAATCTCTGATACTTGATCCTTGTGTCAGCGGCCTGATCAACAACGCCCGCCTTGTCGGCGACGGCATGCGCCTGACCCCCGCCGACGTGGTGTGCTGCCCCCCACCCCTCTTCCACACTTTCGGTCTGGTCCTAGGCTTCCTCAACGCTTTCACGCACGGCAGCGCCATTGTCTTCCCATCCGACCATTTCCACGCCGACAGCGTCATCGACGCCGTCATCCACGAGAAGGCCACCGCCCTGCTAGGGGTGCCCACCATGTTCGTCGCGGAACTAGAAGCCTGCGCGGCCCGGAAGGTCGACAACATCACGACGGTACGCACAGGGCTGGCAGCGGGGTCGCCGGTCTCGGAGACGCTGCTCAGTCGCCTTGAAGAGCGATTCGGCGTCAAGGGGATGCTGATCGCTTACGGGATGACAGAGACCAGTCCAGTAACATTTATGACCTCACTGGATGATCCCAGGGATAAGGCAATGACGAGCCTCGGACGGGTGCTGCCACATACCTCGGCCAAGGTGATCAACAAGGATGGGGTTGTTGTTCGACGGGGCGAGAGCGGAGAGTTATGTACGAGTGGGTACGGGCTCCAGAGAGGTTACTTTGAGAATGAAGCCAAGACGAAAGAGGCGATGCAACGCGATGCGGACGGGAGGTTGTGGATGCATACCGGGGATCAATGCTATCTCGACACAGAGGGCTACTGTCATATCAGTGGGAGGATCAAAGATGTGATCATTCGAGGTGAGACTGACTGCCCTAATACCGCACAACACACAAGACAAAGTCTAACCGCGGACTTTTGTAGGTGGAGAGAACATATTTCCCCTGGAGATTGAGGAGCGCCTTCTGCTTCATCCCGCGATTGCAGAAGCAAGCGTGGTCGGCGTTGCGGATCCCAAGTACGGCGAGGTGGTGGGTTGCTTCCTCAAGCTGACGACCGGGCACATTCAGCCACAGGATCAAGAGCTACGGGACTGGGTGCGGGTGGAATTGAGCTGGCACAAGGCCCCGCAGCATGTCTTCTGGATTGGAGATGGAGGTGTCTGTCCGGACTTCCCTAAAACCGCCAGTGGCAAACACCAGAAGCACATCATGAAGGACATTGCGAATACCTGTCTGTCCGGATCGAGCCCAGGGAAGGATCTGCCTTTTCGTGTGCAAGTGATTTCGCTGTTTGGGCTGTCGGTGTGTTTGATTCCTGTTGCATTGTATTTCTCGACTCTAGCGTAATCAACTGCAAGCATTGACTTCATTCAACCCTAGATCATCCAGCCCGGTGGTTGTCCCGGCACTGTAAAATGATCATGCTATAAGCAGCAAGTTATGCCTTGAATCGATCACTCAATCGCACCATCAAAGATGGCTTATGCCAGAGGAAATACGTGTATTGATCATTTCACCCCTCAGACGCCGGACACAGCTCCATATCAAAGTGATATACCAGTTTAGCAAGCGTGAGACGCATTTCCAGGTATGCCAAACTAGTGTCCTGTCGGCCGGCACTCATGCTGCACACCAAGGGAATACCCACCTCTTCCCCGGACAGTTCCTGGCCCCCACGGAGAACGGTTAGAGCGTGTCTGTCTTATATCCTTCGAACTGGGGGTCAGTGCCCAGCCAGCGCTCCGGGAGAAAATCCGTGGCCCGGAAGAAGCTGGCATCACTCATGTATGAGCCGTAGTGCGGGACGTGAACGTCCGTCCGAGCTTTCCACCGTCCACTTTAACAATTGAGGTAGACGCAGAAGCTAAACTTCGAGCAGATCTCATGACAGGACATGCGCGTCACCTTCTCCTGAGCCTGCGGATGGTCGTCCACCAGCCCGTTCTTGATCATAGCTGACATGAAATCCACTCGATCCACCCCAAGGGCCACTCGCCGTTCGGCCTTTTCAGCATTGATGGTCAATTCTGCATAATTTGTCGACGAAACAACGGCGGCGTGTAGGCCTCCTGCAGCATCGCGAGCGCCGGAAATTGGTGTATGGCACTGAGGATGGCCGAGCCCTTAACACTATTGAAGATGAACTCCATCCGGGGATGAGGTCGGCCATCCTGCAGACAGCCGAATGTCTCGGCAAACATCAAGTCCCGTGATGTCAAAAGCGGCGAGCTCTAACCACGCCTTGGGGTCTATGTCCGTACTCTGGTGAGCGAGGTCTCGCAGTCGCGAGATGAACACGTCGATGAACGAGAAAAGCCGCGGCTCCTGTTCGCGAAGTGCGCGGTCGGAAAATGCATGCGCCAAGAGGCGCCGGTGTCGGCGGTGAGCCTCGTTGCTGATGGGACCCCCAACGGAGTCGCGAGAAGGGATCATAGGCCCGTAGATCTTGGGGTTTCTCGGAAACTGGGCCACGCCCGGTCGAGACCCGTAGACGCCCTTGAACCCTTGCGCTGTATTGAACGACAGGGTGTAGGGGCCAGTCCGCACGATCGGATCGTACCGATCATGAAGAGCGAGCATCTTCAGGTGATAGTACCCTCGTACCAGACTAAGCTGAGGGGCAATGTAGGACAAGCCCACAGCCGGGGCCCAGGGTATTTGGCCACCGGCGAGAGAAGCAGCTCATACACCACCACGTACGAGACCCATAATACTACCTGAGTTAAGCTTCAGTCCAGGCTCCGTGGGCAGAACGGTAGACTTACCAGAATTGCCATAGCAGAGAACCATAACCAGCTTGCCAGGATGGTGCCCATCGCCCGGTGGGCAAAGTCGTTAGTGGCGCCCATTGTTCGGTAATATTGATAAGCTGCGCGCGTAAGTGGGCCTTGGAGGATTGATGTCTACGTGACCGGCTGTGCTGCCGAGACTCGCTTCGCGGTGACAGGTCGTTACGCTACGAATTGATCCGACCGATTTCATTCAATCCAGAATTGTCCCCACGTCTCCCAAAAGTTGAGCGCCGACGATTCATCTAGAAGAGCATCCACCATATCGTCCATATCAGTACCGACTCCTGGGTTGCCAGCTGCCATGGAATTGACTATATCATCAGGCTGTGCAGCAAGAGGTGCAGCCGCAGGAATAGAGACTGAGGTGTCGGGGTGCTCATCGAGGCGATCAGGGCAGATTTCCCGAATGGCCTTGGCGAATATTCCGCGATAAATGGACGCAACGGTGTAAACCTTTTGGAATTCTTCCATGACCATCATGCATACGTTGAGCTTGTTCAGTCGCAGACGTCGTGATAGAGGGTTGCCTGTCCGACAGCTCAGGAGGTGCATTTGCATGGCCGGGATCAGGAGAGGCGGTCTGTCGAGGAGCTTAGTGTTACGGAACAGATTGCGTGATGGGGGTGACCTACGTCATTGGCAGGGCAAATTGAAGCAGATTCTCCTGTGCGAGCGTTTCCAGGATCTCGTTTGTGCGGGAGGCAGCGGAGTCGGCCTTGGAGCGAATGATTTCCTGCCACCGCGTCTGATGGTTTGGCGACAGTTCGTCGGGTGGGTCAGTGATACACGGCCGATAGAGAACGATGAGAGTTGCTCTGCTGATATCAGAAAAGTCGCGGCTAACGCCAAGGCTTGCACATACTGGTAATGTAGTTGGAGGTGATGCAGGTAGAATCTCGTGGGACCATTCCAGTCTGCGGCGGCCTGGCCTGGAGGTTTGTGACAAGAGATCTCGGCCTCAAGGGCCTCAACCTGCTCACGCGAGGGTTTCGGACGAGCTGTCTTGTAGCTCATGGATAGAACTGCGCCTAGCAATCTGCTCATGCCTATTAAATGAATCCAATATTCAGCCAGAAGAGAGACTTCGTCCGGGATAAAGGCGGATAGAAGGGACTCCGGAACATGGTTGAGGTCATAGAGAAGGTCGCCCACTAACGGCATGGCTACGTCGCAGTCATCAAGGTCAATACGTAATGGGCGTCCTAATGTTAGACTCAGCCAACGATCCCGGAAGAAGCATGTCCACCAGAGGCGACGCCAGAGATGTCGCTGACGATCGGTAATTGATGCATTATATCGTGCGGCGTCCGGATTGCGGTGCAGGCCGAGGATCTGACAAAGAGTCACGGATATTCCTGTCCAGTACCAAGGCTGGACATGTTCATCTACTTCGGAGTGCCAGAAGCCGAGCATCAGAGAGGATTGTAGAAGAACGACTTTGTCTCGCTCTCCGCTGTTGTTGTAGAGACACTGTTCCTCAAATTAGTGATTTAGCCCGTACAAAGTACCGCTACATCGACTGAGACGTGGCCTGTGACGAGTCCGACAAGTAGAGGTATGCAAAGCGCTTTCTGAAGGTACTTGTCCAAGCACTGGGGTCTTTGATTAGACTTTTGCCTGAAACCTCGACTGGGTGGGAAGCTGCCTCGAGTCCATCGTGATGTCTGCAACACTTCCAAGTGATAGAAGCGCGGTTGGGGTACATTGGTGGTATTATCCGAAGCTTTTTCACCAGGAAAGACAGAGGAGGAAAGGGTACGCAAAGGATACGCACGCTATCTTACCTTTGCATGGGAGTACATCGCTGCTTTCATTGCCTTGCGTGAATCGTACCCTTCCCTCTCGCAAAGAGAGGAGGGAACAAACTGTGAGGGCGGTTAGCTGTTTTCTAAAAGGCGGACTCCGATTGCTACTAGAGCTGCAGCACCTAGGCCGCAGACACGCCATCGTTCTTTGATGTCATAGTCTGCAGCAAGTACAAGCCCACGGAGCAAATAGTCCTGAGACACAGATATTGTATGAGGCACAGAGCAATACCGCTGCGGCCTTTGCTCAACAGGAAGACTGGTGGTGACTCACATTGACGGCAACAAAGAACACACTCCACACTAAAAGCAGATTGAACTCATGCAGCCGCCCAGCATGAAAGAAGTGCAGGATCTGATCGGCTTCGATGATCGGCATGATCGTATGCACATGACGAAAATATGCCTGAAGCAGGCAATGGCATGCTTCACTGCTGGGTAGATTGAAGACCCCTTTGCTTGCGAGATAATTCCGATCCTCCTCGGACAGGGAGGTCGTTGCGCGCGACGGAATCAGGAAATGCCGGGGTAGAGTTCCTTCCGGGGCAAGGAGCGTCAGGGTTGAAGTTATTCCGGTCTTGTCCCCTGGCCATGGGTGTGGCCGTTAGCCTTGCGTATACTTCAGCCAAGACGTTATGCCGCGGTTGGCTGTAAGGAATGAGTGATACCGGTGTAGAAAGGCACCTGTCCGGCTTGTTCGGGGTTGCCCAAAGCGGCCTCTGCGATCTCGAGGCCATTGCGTTCCTCGTCCTGAATGCTGTATCGCTCCGAAGCCGAAGTAGCTGGAGCTGGAGCTGGTACTGGTGACTCCGAGGGGGGTCGTTGGAAGGCTGGTGTGCGAGGCGGGCGAAGTACATTTCCCCCGGTGAGTGCACCGCGAATAGACGGGCTACTGGTGGCCGCGCGTAACCGGTGTCGAGCCGATGCATTGCGCCGGCTGGTCCTAGCACTTTTTCCCCTTTTGGTCAGTCTATAGTTGCGGGAATTGCGGGGAGGATGCTCTCTGCTCTCTCACCTCTCAGCCGGAAGCGGATCCACGACACATTCGGCATGGTCTTGGGCGCAGCGAATGCAGGGAACGCCGGTGACATTGATGCTGCATCGTACCTTGCGCTGACGGCATGAGTGACAGGCCACCGTGGATCGGTAACGACGAGCTGACATGAAGGTGTATTGGGTGTAGAATAAGAGAAAAAGGTGTAGACGGCGAGAGTGGTTGATGGATGGAATTCCGCGGTAGGAGGAGAGAGAGAGAGAGAGAGAGAGAGAGAGAGATGGAGAGTTGATGGAGAAGTGATGGAGATCCCGCGGGAACGAACGGGAGGAAGCAGAACAAAGGAGGCAAATGAGGCAAATGAGGCAAATGAGGCAGACGAGGCAAATAGTGCAAACAGGGCCAACGGGGCAAATTCCTGCCTCAGACTCTGCTTGGTGCCTGACCGACTGCCTGATTACCTAGTAAGCACATGTTATATCCCTCCACGTATATCCCAGTTCGCAGTGCATCTTCAGATATAGGCAGGGAACGGGCTTCTGGCATATTCAGAAAACAGGAAGGAAATTGTCTAGTATGACTTAGGTACGAACTTAGTACCTGCATCCATCAAAATCGCACGATATATAGGTGAATAGGTGGATAGGTGGATAGGTGGATAGGTATTCCTGGCGCTGACCAGAACTTCGAACTCGACAGACCAACTCTACTAGTGAACATTGAACCACCAACACCCTGAATGAGTGGTTTGAGACTAAAAACAGAAGATCTGATCCGACATCTTGGCCACCGCCCCAGGAGTCTGGAACCCCAGAGACACCAAGGCCTTCTTGGAGGCGTTCACCATCCCCGGCGGCCCGCACAGCATGACCTTCGTATCTGGGCCAGAAGCAGGCAATCGCTCCTTCATAATCTCCGCCGTGACATACCCACTGCCAAATGCCCAAGTCTTCGGTGGCGTATCCAGCATGTACCAGATCTGGAGGTTCCGAGGATACTGCTGCGCGAAACCATCCAGTTCCCGCCGCAGGAGAATATCGTCTTCCGTGCGATTCGCATAGATCAGGCTGATCTCGGTGAGGTCGGTCGGGTCCTCGCAGATCGCCCGGATCAGCTGGTACATGGGGGTGATTCCCGTGCCACCGGCAATCATGCCAATGCGTTTACAGAGCCCGGGGGTATACTTCATCGCCCCCTTCGGTCCCCGGAGCTGAATCTCTTGCCCAATCTCCAGGTGGGCGAGATACCGGCCCGTTAGCAAGCCCTCGGGGTAGCACTTGATTACCAGCTCCAGGACCCCTCGATCCAGGTTGTTAGAGGTTGGGGTATAGGATCTGGAGACGGCCTTTCCGTCGATGGTCGCCTTGATGGCAACATGCTGACCGATCGGCAGTCCGATCACCTCCTGCGGGTTGGGGAGCTGCAGCACAAATCTATAGACGTTGGGGGCCAGCTCTTCTTTGCGGATTAAGGGGAGACACTTGTACTCCTTGGGATCAAGAAACCCCTTGACCAGATGAGGATTACTCCGAATCCGCGGGCGACACTTGATGTAGGGCGGATACCTGGTGAAGCCCGACTTGATCTGGGTCATTTGTGATAACTTAGATGCGACCATCGAGCCCACGAGGGTCGCAAGTCCGGTTGCCGCGGCAAACCCGGTATAAAAACCCCCGGAGGTGGACAGCGCATGGGGCGATTGGAGCGAGGGTAAGAGACTTCGAAGCTCTGAAAGTGCCGGCCATCGTACCGGTACAGTGGCATGAATGTAAGCGCCAGAGTACAGGGTCACAGCCACCCCGCCGATGGAGAAGATGGTTAGGGCTACCGGCGTGATAGAACCGGCCTTCCGCGGGGCTATTGGTGGCGCAGGGCTCGTGGACTGGATCAATCGGACGGTCTGGGGTCGAACGCGCTCGCGTGCATCTTTCAATGTGCCAATGAGATATGTTTCGAGGATCTCGTCTGCATCCTGCAAGTGTCGCGTTAGCCCATTAGCGTAGGTGGTTGGATATGAGGTTGTCCCCGCGCATACCTCGGAATGGCCAACATCCTCATACGCTTCGGTCGCGTCCAGTCCGGCGACATCCATTAATACTTCTGCCCCGCCAGGATGATCTCGAACATATTCGGTGACATTGTACACTAAATCAGGATCTCGCATTAGCACTTGACTTGGCATGGAAACAAACAGTCCACGAGTAATTAGGGTACCTTTGCCACGAACAGCGATCCACAAATCATCCTTGCACTTGTGACCAGCGACCTCGTCCGTCGTATATTGCGGTAGGCTCTGCATTGCAGGAGAGAGAGAGAGAGAGGCACAGACAGAGAGAAAAGAAACTTCTGCGAGGTCTAGAACTTATTACGGAGTGAGGTCTCATGAGTTGATCTGCGGGCCAACGGTGCAGACAGACTCTTTTATATGGCTATAATCCTAGAGCGGCAGTATACCTTGGGCTTTCAAACCGTACTCTCCCTGACTCTGTCATGGCCCACATTCATCCCTCCCCCACTAGCATGATGGCCAATCGTCGAAGGGGAAATGGAAAGCTGGCCATCCTACCTCGGGATGTAATCGTGGAGCCCTTCCGCGGGAGGCGCAAAGCCGCGGGAACAATGGATGCGTCTCCACAAAGAGGTATATGAGACTTCATTAAGAGTGGAAATTTAATACTACCATTTGCGCAATTATAAAGACAGGGGCAAGTTCACTTCCCCCCAAGGCATATCAGGTCCAGAAACCAGCATATCATCGGGCCCATACACCATGTCAAGCCAGCAGTTCTATCTCCTGGGCGAGGCGACCACGTCCGCCAGGCACGTCACGATTGACGCATCGGCGAACCTGGATCAACTGAAGCATACGGTGGCTGCTTACTTCGCCATTGTCGAGCCAAATGGTCGGTCACCCACTACAGTCATAGCAGTCCGGCAGCGATTCTCTTCATTTGTCGCTAACCTCCTAGTCAGAGATCGGCTTTCAATCCGGCAATGAGTGCCTCGTCGATGTCGGCGATGTCCTGGCTGCCACCGGACCCGTAGCTATCACGATCAATGGTCACGCAGTCCGAGAGCCGGAGGGTCCAAAAGGTCTGCCTTACGTGGGGAATTACTTCGAGGTTTATCCCGACCACCTGGGCAACCACCAGCGGCTCTACAACCAGTACGGCCGGATCTTCAAGACCACCAACCTGGGGCGTACCACATACCATACCAATGATCCGCAAATCGCCGCTGTCGTCTTCGCCGAGTCTGACTTCTTCTCCAAGAAGATCAACGAAGCCCACCCACTCCATGCCCTGAAGACCCCCTCTGCGGGGGTCTTTCTAGGAGATACTGACACCCCGGAATGGAGGGTGGCCCATAAGTTCTTGCCTCCGGCCCTCGGTCCCAAGGCAGTGCGGCATTATGCTCCGACAATGCAACGAACCGTGGAAGACGCGTTCAGAGTCTTTGACGCGCTAGATGAACAAGACTCCGCCTTTAATGTGTACCAGTATATGTTGAAGCTTGGATCCCAGGCGGTGGGCAAACTCACGTTGGGACTGGACATGGAGCATTTCACATCCCCTGATGCCCCCGTGCACGACATGGTTCACTCCATTGCGGAGATGCTGTCCCTGAACAAGAAGGTCACCTCGCGTGGTGACTGGTACGGCAAGCTTCCCTTCGGGGATCCCCAGCGGTTGCGAAACCTCAAGGCGAAATTGGAGGCGATGGTAGAGCAATCCATCCAGGATGCAGAGCGAGGCGGTGTCACGGACTTGCCTTTGCAAGAGGCGGCATTACAGGCCTCGAACATGGTTGGTGAGTCTTTCTAGGTGTCACTCTTGACTCCCACGCGATCTGACCGGGCTAATGCCTAATTTTGTAGACTACGCCATCCGTGCGACCGACAACAAAGGAGAAAAGCTGCCAAAATCGAGTCTGGTTTGGGCGCTGATTGTGGCCACAGCGGCAGGATTCACGACGACGAGCTCCCTGCTGTCGTGGTTGATATATGGTCTCGTAACGTATCCTGGGATGCAGAAACGATTGCTGCAGGAGTTGATCGACAACGGCATCACGGAAGACACCGAGCTCACTGCAGAGATCACAGATCGATTGGTCTTCCAAGACAAATACATCAAAGAGACGATGCGCCTCACCAATCCGTCATTCCAGCCCGGCCGCACCGCCAAAGTCGATTTGATCCTGCCGGGTGGCTATAAGATCCCTAAAGACGCGGTCATCGTGCCTGGTCTGCACCACATCCACAACAACCCCGACCTCTGGGACAACCCCAGCCGGTTTGATCCGGACCGCTGGGACACCCCCCAAGTCAAGGAGAGACACAAGGCAGCCTACATTCCTTTTGCCATGGGCCCCCGCATGTGCATTGGGTTCAACTTTGCTCTGCAGGAGGTGAAGATTTTCCTCCCAAAGCTGATCTATCGCTATCATTTCAGTCGGGAGAATGATCTTGTGCCCGTGGAGTATGACCCGATGTTCCAACTGATCCGACCGAACAATCTGTACGTGCGTGCCGAGCGAAGAGTGAAATGGCCGCCCAGGACAAGCCACTGAGTACGGGGTTGGCGGGGGGTGGAGATCAGATCCATGTACAGGGTTACGTATCGAGTTGTACGTATATTATACAGCAGTATGAAGCATTCAAGCATTCCATAAAGCAGCAGTCTTTGACCGGATTCGAAAGCCTGGAGCAAGGAGGGTAAGAAGGTCACGGGATCGTCCACGTACCCTAAGTTGTAGCGACAGTCCAGTAGACTGACACTGACTTATCCACGACTTATCACCTAATTGTGTGATTGTATTGCTGACTTTGCCTGACCTGGAAGGGTCGAAGACTCGAAGAATCCATGATGTTTCAAAGAGGTGGGCCTCCGACCAACGAACGCGCCAACATTGTCAACAGCACGCGTAGTCCCACAGGGTGCGCGGTGCCCGAGGCAATTCGGTTTCCGCGGTAGGGCTGGCCTATGCGTGTGCGTATCTCCGGTTGGCAAGACCTGAATAATCCCACCATAGGCAAACAGTAGTTACTTCCTCGTAAGCTGGTCACATCTGGCCAGATCCTCGCCTCCGCAGCCCGGGCAGCTCCCACGTTAAACCCATTCAAGAGATCTCGCGTGTCGATCGGTGACCAACAAGGTTTGCCAGCACATTTAGCCGGCGATGCTGCATGAGGTGCCACGTCCACTACGCCTCGAACTATTTTAATCCCACTGCAGTCTCCCAAATGATGTGATTGGTGCAGGCAATGCACCACGGTCTACGTAGTAATAGAGCATCGCTCTTCTGCGGTGACGTACGACTCGTTCTCGGGGCGAAATCGAAGCTAAAGCTCTGCATTCCCCGGACGATCACTGTTCACCTCTCACAGAGCCAACGAAAAACATACGCAAAGACTGAAGCACTGCAAATGGAGACTCCAGTCCTCCTCACACTCCTAACCTTGACTTTGTCTCTCTGCCTATATTATGGCGGCTACATCCGCTCGCCTTCATCAGGGACACTGCCACTGCCACCAGGTCCGGGGCTCATCGCCGGACTCACAGCCCTCATCCAGCAACGAGACCTTGCCTCGACCTTCCACGCTTGGAGCCAGACGTACGGCCCCGTAGTACACCTCCAAGTCGGAACTCGATCATTTATTATCCTAGGCACTCGGCAGGTCGCACAGGAACTGCTCGAGAAACGTGCCAGCATTTACAGCTCGCGCCCCCCGTCAGTATGGCTGGACAATTACCTTCACAAAGGGCTGGCGGCCGCCTTCATGCCGTACGGACACGAATGGCGCCTCAATCGCCGGCTGCACATGTCGCTGCTCAACTTCCAATGCACCAACGCTTATCAGCATCTGCAGGATATTCAAAGTAAGCAGCTGATGTACTCGTTTCTCCCGTCCGCAGACAGCAGAAGCAGCAGCAGCAGCAGCAGCAGCAGCAAGACCCCCAAATTCTCCGATCTCTTCTACCAATACACCGCCAATGTCATGTTCACCCTCGTCTACGGCAAGGGCCAGGGCCGCTCCGACAGCGACCACATGCGCCTAGAACAGATCAACGAGATGGCCGTCTTCATTCTCCAAGCCACCTCATTCTGGACCAATCTCCTGGACCTTTTCCCCATCTTGGACCGCCTCATCCCCGCCCGCAGCCTCCTCACCTGGCGCACCAAAGCCAGCGCCCTGCACGAGCAGACCAAATCCGTCTACCAGGAGTGCACCGACAGCGCCCTCAGCGCTCCCTGCTGGAACTGGAGCCACGAGATCACCACCAAGTCCGACATCATGGCCTCTCTCCCGTGGGACCACGTCTGCTACTCGCTGGGCGAGCTGTACGTGGCGGGCATCCACACCACTAAGATGGTGCTGGAGAACTTCGTTCTGGCCAGCCTGCTTCACCCAGAGACGGTCGAGGCAGGGCAGCGCGAGCTCGACGCCGTGGTTGGCGCCTCACGACTCCCCACCTTTGCCGACATCCCGGCCTTGCCCTACCTCGATGCCATCATCTCGGAGCTCCTGCGCTGGCGGCCCATCTCTCCGATCGGGGTGCCACATGCGGTCATACAGGAGGACGATTATATGGGGTATCGGATTCCGAAAGGTGCGACGGTCATCGCAAATCAGTGGGGGTTCAACATGGATGAGGAGGTGTTCGAGGAGCCGCAGGCCTTTCAGCCCCAGCGGTATGTTGAGGACCCCGGGCTGCCAGTTTCGGCGTTTGGGTTCGGGAGGAGGTTGTGTCCGGGCTATCGACTGGCACGGGCCTCGTTGTTCATCGTGGTGGCAAGGCTGCTGTGGGGGTTTGACATCGTTCGCGATGAGATGGGGGAGAGTGAAGGGGATGCGCCTCCTCTAACGAAGCATTCGGATCCCGCTGCTGTCAAGGCCAAATTCAGCTTGCGAAGCGAGGACAGGAAGAAGATCATTGAGGACGAGTGGGATACCAGGGAGAAGGATGAAAGAGTGATTCTGGAAGAAGTGAGGGCACGGATGGTGGGGGGCTCACGGTGACTCTTGGGATCATCATGACAAAATGCCGCGGGAGTGCTGTCATGTCGGTCCCAACAAGTGCCCTGCAGAGAGTAACTAACTTCAAGTTATAGTATAACCATAGTATAACGAGAGTAAAAGTCTGGCAGCAGTTCTCCCGCGGGATCAAGCAAGCAGTGGATCCAAGCCTAGCACCTCACCTCGGCAGGCCGCGGCAGGCCGGATATCGGCATCCCGGATGTACCTCAGGAACTATACCACCACCCCATTCATTATATATAGCATTTTCGTCTTGGAGTCTCAGATCTCTGTTGGTTTGCAACGAATCAGATAAGCTTTCTACTTGCTGAATTCCGAACTCGCAACTCATCGTCTTTCTCACACACACACAATGCATTCCAGCTGGTCACCACCACACGACTACCGGAACCGCCCTGTTGCGGTCTTGGGCGCCGGGGTCCTTGGAAGACGCATCGGTCAGTATTCTCAACCCTCATTCTCGGACATGTACGCTAATACATGCAGTAAACAGGCTGCATCTGGGCCTCCGCAGGCTACGACGTCCACCTACGCGACCCCAGCCCGGAGCAGCTCGCCTCCGGCATCGCCTACATCCATGAACAAATCTCCTCCTACGCCAGCAAGACGGGCTGCACCCCAGGCAAAGCACACAGCTTCATCAACCTCGAAGAAGCAGTGGAATCCGCCTGGCTCGTCATTGAGGCCGTTCCCGAAAAGCTGCCTCTGAAGATCGCCACCTTCGCCGATCTATCCACCCTAGCCCCGAATGATAGCATTCTTGCATCTAATTCTTCCTCCTACAAGACCTCAGAGATGCTAGACCGGGTCCCGGATGCAGTGAAGCCACGAATTCTGAACATGCACTACTATATGCCACCGCAGTGCATGACGGTGGAGTTAATGACGGACGGCTTCACGCATGAGGCCATCTTTCCCTTTATGGTGGAGCGGTGCCGCGAAGGCGCGACTTCGCCGTATGTCGCGCGCAAACAATCAACTGGGTTTATCTTCAATCGGCTCTGGGCAGCGGTCAAACGAGAGGTGTTGACCATTCTGTCGGAGGGAGTATCCGTCCCCGAAGAGATCGATGCTATGTGGGAGGAGATGTTCATTCGGGGGAAGACGCTGCCGTGCAGGATGATGGATAGTGAGTTTGATGCCCTGAGTTGCATGGCTGTCCCGTCATACTAAGTCTTCATGGTGGAACAGACGTTGGCCTCGACACCGTCGCCTTCATCGAACAGCACTACATCCACGAACGGGGCCTTTCCTCCGAAAAGACCGTGGACTACCTCACCACCAACTACCTCGAGAAAGGTAAATTGGGCGCCAAATGCGCCTTGGGCGGGCTCTATCCCCTGTCTAGCGCAGCCGGCAACAGTAGCAGTGACCCCACCACCCACGATCGCCATCTCCTCGTCTTAGATGTCGGACTCGCCTCTTCCACCGCGGCCTCCTCGATCTCCACCCCAGTCGGCCAAATCCTCTCTCTCGCGGCAGACGGGACCGATTCCAAAGTGTTGGTTGCCAACCAGCTCCTTCCTGACGGCATCGCAGTCGATACCACGACCAACCGCATCTTTTGGACCAACATGGGGGTCCCCGGCCGACAGGATGGTGCAGTCTACTCCTCAGCTCTAGACGGGAGCGACATCCAGACCGTCCTTGAACCGGGCGCGATCAACACCCCCAAGCAGCTGACCCTCGACCAGACAGCGCGGAAGCTGTACTTCTCCGACCGCGAGGGCTGCGCAGTCTACCGCTGTAACATTGACGGGTCAGGTCTGGAGACCCTCGTCTCACGACAGCGAGGGAGCCAAGGCAAAGGGGTGACTGACGTACGGGACTGGTGCGTCGGAATCGCCGTCTCGACTCGGTTCAACCGGTTCTACTGGACACAAAAGGGCGCGCCCAAGAGCGGGAAAGGGCGGATCTTCTCGGCTGCGATCCATGCACCACCGGGAATTGTGGAAGAGGCCGAGGACAAGGAACTGTGCATCCTGAGCGGATTGCCTGAGCCGATTGATCTGGAGATCGATGAGGAGAAAGGCGAGCTGTACTGGACGGATCGCGGGGAGCTGCCTCTAGGCAATGCACTCTATCGAGTCAGCTTGGATGTAAAGGGTCGACCAGTGGGCAAGCCGGAGGTCCTGGCTCGGGGTTTGCATGAGGCGATTGGGGTGAGTCTTGATCGGAAGTCTGGGACTATCTTCCTGACGGACCTCGGGGGTGGTGTCTATCGCTGTGATCGGGATGGGAAACGGAAGGAGATTTTGTATCAGGAGGATGGGCGTGCGTTCACGGGGATTGTTTGTGTTTGAATTTGGTGAGATGCAAATACCAACGCGCTATAGATTAGATAGTGAGAACATACTTTTGCCTTTGACTATATAACACCATTTTGTCGTTCTGCAGGGGCATAACCGGAACAATGCCACCATCCAAGTGTGATATCATTCTAGTATGCCACTTGTGGTAGATCATGCATATGAAGGGCGGGGAATGGGATAGGCAACAGTGGTAGCCCTGTAACATTGGCAGCTCAACACCATGCAGATGTCAGCTCAAAGAGCGTCCTACCCACTGGCTGCACTCTGTTTCAAGATTGATCTCATGGCGTAGACGCGTGACTGCGTAGCGTAGGCAGATATAAACACTGGCGTAATCTGGCTCGGGGCTTCAGATACTCCGGACGCAGTGGATCAATGGTTGACTCCTCCTTGCCATTCTGCAACAGGGGAATACTTGCGTCACGTCTGCGGCTGCTGATGGATCAAGGTACAGCAAAAACCTAATCAGAGATGGAATCAGACGACCGAACTGACATGGATTCGGGCTCAACATTCGCAACGTTGGTGATCGGCCCGCCCTGCTACAAAAGTACTCGACCAGAGCCACCTGATGTGATGCATCAAGGTCCAGCACAGGCTGAGGAATATCCTTTCATTCGACTACTTCTTGCTAGGCAATCAAACGCACCCAACCCTGACACAGCAGCTTTAGGATGGCCGTGCGAGTGAATTGCTCATCACAGGACCCCATCACCAGACCGGACGCCTACCTTACCTTCCACACTAACATGGAAGACTTCGATATTAGCGACAGCTGCCATTGGATCATAAGAGGAATGTTCCAGTAGCATCAGCCTCCGCTTCTCAGCACTTATTGCAAGTTAAACCCAAGATCAACTGGCCTACCGTCAACATCATACCCGTCTCAGCATCTTCCTGTGATCAGCCTTCCTATACGATGATTTTTGTTGTGAACTCGAGTGAAACCGACGCATCTGAACGCGTTCCAAAGGTCATGCCCATCCATGGCCTGCCGCTTTCCCGGTGGCGCGTCCAGTCCCGAAAGGCTCTGGGATCTCTGTGCCAACGGGCAGAGTGCCTGGTCTCCGATTCCGGAATCTCGGTTTCACGCGGAGAGCTGGTATCATCCGGATAAGGAACATCTAGGGACAGTATGTCAACACTTACCTTGCATGACTCGCCTGTCGAGTGGGGAAGACTGTTGAATTTTCTGCCAACAAATCATAGTCATATGTGAAAGGCGCGCATTTCCTAGCGGAGGACATTTCCCGGTTCGATGCTGCGTTCTTCAATCTCACAGCCGACGCGGCCAGCGTGGGTTCCATTCTTGTTCGTGCCTGCAAGTGTAGAGACCATTGACATTCGCAGACAATGGACCCCGAAGTGCGCCTGCAATTAGAGACCGTCTACGAGGCCCTGGAAAGTGCAGGTCTCCCCCTCGATCAAGTGGCTGGCTCTCGCACCGCGTCTATGCAGGCACCTGTTTCCGACATAACCACGACAGCTTATTGCGCGACCCCGATACCCTAGCTCGGTCCTTCCTCACGGGCAATGGCGCGGCAATGATCGCGAACCGGATCTCGCGGTTCTTCGATCTCCGCGCGCCCAGTCTGATGGTCGACACCGGGTGTTCGACGACGCTGACGCTGTTGCATCTGGCATGTCAGAGTCTCCGAGCGGGCGAGTCAGACATGGCCATCGTGGGTGGCTCAAATATCCTACTCAACCCGGATATGTTCATTGCCGGATCAAATCTCAGCTTGTTATCGGCGCAAGGGCGCTGCTTCGCCTTCGATGCTCGAGCCACGGGCTATGCACGTGGGAACGGAATTGCCAGTATGATCATCAAGCCCCTGATAGCGCAGTCCGAGATGGAGATCCCATTCGTGCTGTGATTCGCAACTCAGCCGCAAACCAGGATGGCAAAACAGCGACTCTGACTTCGCCCAGTCAGGAGGCACAGGAGGTCTTGATGCGAGAGTGCTATGAGATGGCTGGTCTGGATCCGCGCGACACCGGTTTCGTCGAAGCCCACGGGACAGGCACGCAAGCGGGCGATATCATCGAAGCTCATTCAATTGGGCGCGTGTTTGTGCTCAGACGCAGCACTGAGTGCCCACTTGTCATCGGCTCGGTGAAGACGAACATTCGGCAATACGGAAGCTCCTAGTGGTCTGGCGGGTGTTATCAAAGCAGTCATGGCGATGGAGAAGCAGGCTATTCCTCCGCATCTGAACTTCGAGTCTCCGAACGAGAATGGTGCATTTGATGCATTGAACTTGGAAGATCCCCCTCAGTCTGCAAGAATGGCCTTCACTGTCGCTGCGGCGGGCATCCATCAATAACTTTGGTTATGGAGGTGCGAATGCCCATGTTATCATAGAGAGCCCATCGATTTTGCAGCGGACTACTTTTTTCTCAGGAGCGGTGAACACCCCAGACCACAAGAAGCGGTCTCGTGTGTTTGTGCTCAGTGCCAAAGATCCCGGGGTTGCTCGCAGAATGGGCGAGAATCTCTGCACTATCTCGCGACCAGGGTCGGTGAAAGCGAGGAAAATGAGGAAGAGTTGCTCGATCAACTGGCTTTTACCCTCGGACAGCGACGCACCCGGTTTCCTTGCACCATAGCCTGGAGTGGCTCGTCAATCACTGAAGCATACGCCACCCTCGATGCCCCAGGTTTGACAACCCAGCGCAGTATGCGTGTGCCACGCGTGGGAATGGTATTTACTGGCCAAGGCGCGCAATGGTTTGCCATGGGTCGCGAGCTGCTCGACGCATACCCGGTCTTCTGTGATACCATACACGAGGTCGACGCTTGCTTAAAGTCAATGGGGGCTATGTGGTCTGCACTCGAGGAACTGCAGCGAAATGCCGAGGAAAGCCGTCTCAACCAGGTCGCGTATAGTCTGCCACTGAGCGTGGCTATTCAGCTTGCTCTGGTCGACCTGCTACGTTCTATCCTGCAGGAGTCACCGCTCATTCCAGTGGAGAGGTCGGTGCTGCCTACGCCGCCGGAGCCATCACCCTGAAAGGCGCATTGGCAATCGTGTACATCCGAGGTGAAACATGGTGCGGCCGGTGGAGTTACTGAGCGCGTTGCGTAACTTGTGTCATGATGATTCTGACGGTACCAAGACCGCTATTGACATGCTTGTTGAGGTCGGCCCGCATGGCGCTTTGGCTGGTTCTGTCCGGCAAACGTTGGCGTTACCTGGGCTGAGTAGTGGGGGGATCACCTATGCTACGTGTCTGTCGCGTGGCCAGAATGCTGTCCAGACCATGTATCAGCTCGTCTGCACTCTTCTGCAAGCCCACTCTTCTGCAAGCGGGCTATCCTGTTGACCTGAAAGCCGTCAACTTCCCCTGCGGCTGGAGCACCTTGCCCGTCTTGACTAATCTTCCATCCTACCACTTTAGACGCAGTCTTCCAAGCAGCCTACCAGACTCTTCCCGTTGGGGGAAGCGAAGAACGCACCGCAATGATCCCGACATTTATTCAGGATCTTTACATTTCCGCGGACTTGACAGCGTCCCCAGGTCACCGGTTCCACGCGAATTCAACCTTGGTGAGGGTAGACAGACGCGGGTTTGAAACCTCAATTCGGGTCACCAACAAAGGTCCAGAGTCCGAAAAGGCGGTGCTCACTGTCCAGGGGCTCTGGTGTCAGTCCTTGGGTCAGAATCTTGCGATGCGGATGGCCGACGACAGACTCTGCTATACCTCGGTCTGGAAGCCAGATATTGATTTTCTCCGACCTGAGCATTTTATTGAGCCAGATGCACCAAGCGGGATCCATCCCCATCTTTCTCAGCTACAAACCGCGGCTGTCATGTTCATTGTGGATGCTTTGCATCAATTTCAAGGTGAAGATCGTGTCGCATCTGAGCATTCAGGTTACTGGAAATGGATGACAGACGTTGCAGAAAGGGCTCGTCCGATTCTCGACATCCTGGGGGTTACCGCGCATGGAATGGCAGCGCTGACACAAGAGCTAAAACAATGTGTCGAGGAAGATTACTGTATCGATTCGGAGAGAAGCTTCCTGATGTCCTGTCTAGAATAGCCGAGGCGAAGGACATCCTGCTGGAATTCATGGCCGAGAACCAGGCTGAGTGGTGTTCTGTTTCAGAGGCTCGAATCGGTATTAACTCGGCTGCTCGAGCTTCAAAACGTCCTCGGGCTAGGATCCTCGAGATTGGAATAGGCAATGGTGCCAATACACGGAGATTTATCAAGGCCTTGACCCAGGACAATACGCGACTGTTCTCTCGCTACGAGGTCACTGCCTCTAGTGCAGGACTGGTCAAGAACGCGGATACGGTCCTCAAGGATGAGGCAGACATCGAGTGCAAGATTCTAGACTTGAACGCGGAGCCTGATGCCCAGGGATATGCCCGGAAAAGCTACGATTTGCTTATTCTATCCGCATCAGTTTTGTTGACGGTGAAGCAAATGGTTCAGACCCTCAGCTCACTGCATGCTCTTCTTACTCCTGGTGGGAAATGCATCCTCTGGGGCCCCAGCCTGGGCGATGGTGCGTTGCAGACTATTTTCCGACTTTCTCCAGGATGGCAGGGCAGTGTTCATGCCAGTGGCCTGTGGAAGGAGCTCTGCGCGCAGGCCGGTTTCGAGTCGGTCAGCTCCCACCTTCAGCCAGATCTCAACGCAGACGGGTACCAAGGAGAAGTAGTCGTTGCGACGGCCAAGACAGACGTGACATCTGCCACTCCAACAGAAGCTCTTCTCATTTCTAGAACCAACCCGCCGGAAGACTGGCAGCAAGCACTTCAGCACGGGCTAGCTGCTGAATTTATGTCTGGCCTCTCCGTTGTCTCCTCGCTTGAATAGGTTGCTGCCGATGGCAAAACTTGTATCATCTTAGACGAGCTCTTTCAGCCAATGCTCGATGACCCTTCTGCTGAGCAATTTGACGCCCTTCAACGGGTGCTCCACAGCTGTTGGGCTACAGTGTGGGTATCATGCGGTGCACAATGCAATGCTGAAGAACCTCTGAACAGTTTGCATCAAGGTCTTCTCCGCACACTACGCTGTGAGAATCCTCTCCACCGATACGTCTCGGTGGACTTGGGCCCCAATGCCCCCGTGTGGTCTCTCTCATCTGCGACCGATGTCGCACACATTGTCCGCAACGCATTGGCAGCATCTTCGGCTCCTCTGCCAGAAACCGAGTACGCCGTGCGGGATTCCATGATCCATATCTCACGAGTATACGAAGACCGACAGGAGGCCCGACTGGTGGACACCACGCGGCCTCAGGCCCCCGAGATGCGCCCTTGGTCGACCCCTGGCCAGAACATTCGGCTGGAAGTTGCCACCCCGGGTCTGCTGAACAGCCTTGTGTTTACGGAATATCCCACTATCGACGATGCTCTTGCCGACGACTGTGTGGAGATCGAGCCATGCGCTTTCGGACTCAGCTTCCGGGACATCATGGTTGCGCTGGGTCAGCTCGACGAAACGCGGATGGGCTTTGAGTGCAGTGGAGTGATCACCCGCGCCGGACCGGGCGCACGCGCCGCTGGCTTCACTGCTGGACAGCGGGTGTATGCATTCATTCTCGGCTACTTCGCGACCAGGGTGTGTATCCCCTTCACCAACGAGAGATCTTCGTGACGGTCGGATCAGAGCGCAAACGCGACTTCCTGGTAGAGGAATACGGAATCCCCCCGTCGCACATCTTCAGTAGCCGCAACCGTTCCTTTGCGAATCATCTCATGTCGGCGACCGAGGGGAAGGGGGTGGACGTGGTGATCAATTCGCTTGCGGGCGCTTTGTTGCGCGAAACGTGGCAGTGCGTGGGGACGTTTGGACGATTTATCGAGATCGGTAAGCGAGATATCGAACAGAACAGCATGGTGGAGATGGGGCCGTCTACGCGGAGTACGGTTTTCGCGTCGCTGGATCTGATCACACTCGGGGAACGGAGGTAGGGAGGTGCAGCGGATCTTGGGAGCGATCAATGGACTGATGGAGAAACGGGAGATTCGACCGGTCAGGCCGGTCACACGGTTTGGCATGGGAGAGATTGAGACAGCATTTCGCACAATGCAGACCGGACAACACGTTGGGAAGATTGTGATGGAGGTGAAGGAGGAGGAGAAGGTGAAGCTGCAGCGGGTTTTAGATGACATGCGACCGGTGATCCTATCACGTGAGGAGACGTATCAAATCGTAGGCGGTGTGGGGGGAATCGGGCAGTATCTCGCCCAGCGGCTGGTGGTGGAAGGCGGTGTCCGTTATCTCTCTCGATCGGCTGCTGCTGCTTCGGCTTCTGATACCTCCTCCACTACTGGAACTTCTCCATGGCTTGCACATATACGACAGGCCACTGGGGCCACAATCGTGCTGGCCAACTGCGACATAACTAACGCGACTCAGCTGCAGTCGGTTTTACGGCAACATGCTTTCCACCTACCGCCCATTCGTGGTGTCATTCACGCCGCCATGGTGCTGAAGGTACAGTACATACGTATATAGATCGATCCGTCAACGTGAACAGACCACAAGGACTTTACTAATCTCCCTTATCAACTCTAGGTTGGAATCTTCGAGGCCATGACCCGTGAAGACTATCTCGCCGCCATCAAGCCCAAAGTCCAAGGATTGTGGAATTTGCATACTCTTCTTCCACCCGACCTTCGCTTCTTTATCCTTCTCTCCTCCATCAGTGGGTTCGGCGGTAACGCAGGCCAGGCCAACTACGCCGCTGGGGGGAGTTACCAGGACGCATTGGCCCGCTGTCACGCAATTCAGGGTCTCCCCGCCGTCTCCATAGACTTGGGAATGGTCTCATCCGTCGGCGTCGTCGCAGAATCTAGACCCCTCACGCATCACCTCGAGAAGCTCGGACTACGCGCCGTGTCCGAACAGGAGCTGTGGGCCTTGGTCGCGTCCGCCATCCGCCATCCCATCCGAACCCCAGAGACTTGTCACATCGTCACCGGGCTACCAAGGGGGTTTGTGCGGTCGGAGACTGCTGCTGGCTGGAACCGCGACGCCAGGTTCGCCATTCTTGAGCAGCAAACCCCCTCTTCATCTGGTCCTGCACCTCATCCGCACCTCTCGCCGGGAGCTGGTCTGAGAGATCAGCTGGCTGCCGCTACCACTTTGACAGGAGCAACCCTAGTCATAGAGAACGCCTTAGTCACGAAACTGGCCGAAGTGTTCAGTCGCACCCGGGAGGGGATTGATCCCTCCTTGCCTCTCGCGCAGTTCGGCGTCGATTCTTTAGTGGCGGTGGAATTGCGCAATTGGTCGGCTGCGACGGTGCAGGCTGATTGCTCCATCTTCGATGTCATGCATGCGGTTTCGGTGACCGGGCTCGCAGGGAAGATGGCAGAGAAGAGTCGATTTGTCAAACTGTAGATGGGGAGGGGGGGGAGAAATCAATGCATTTTATGGATACATCTATGCTACCATCAAGTCAACCCGAAGAATCTGTGTGCGCTGACCACGCCGTCTCTATAGTTGGCTCAATCTAAATGCATATGCCAAAGCTCAAACTCTTTTGACCCAATGAACTCCTGACTCGAAACCCGTCTCAAATGGACGAAGATGATTCTAATCTTCCTGAGGAGCTTTACCCGGCACCACCCGCTCGACAGAATTCGGTCGATCGGGGTCAAGGTCCAGTGTAATATTGGTGAAACCGCGATGTCGTCGCTGCCCGCTCCGCAGGCTATAACTACTCAAAGCCCTCTCCCGACTGCCACTGCTGCCCCACGAGCCGGAGAAGAACACCTGGCGGAAGGATGGTACGCAAGCCGTGACAATAATCAGACTGGCTTCAACGTTGCTGTAGGACGGTCAGCACCCTGCCAACACCACACGAATTCATGATCACCTACATCCACAACACCATAGCCCCGAGCCGATAGGATTCATCGTTGGTATGCAGCATTGGGACGACCGACGCCAATCGCATACAACTCGTGACCAGGGACCTACCCACGATCATGAATTGGTTAGCCGCTGCAGTGCGAGACAGACGAAGACGAGGAAGGATGAAGCATACAGTCCGCCAAGCCCGAACATGCAGGCCACCCCCACGCGCTTCTTGGGCGCCATGTTGAGCCCCACCACCACCGGGAGAGGCGTGATCACCAAGACAATGTCGATGAAGATACTGGCGCACGTGCCGGCCAAGAAAATCGAGGCCCGGCTGATGCACTGCCCCTCAATGGCTACGTCCCAAGCCTTCTGGATCGGGTTGCAGCCGAAGAGGAACAAGCATTCAAGAATGACCATGTAGGATATGACAAATATCGTGAAACTCCACAGGATGATTCGCCAGCTGCGCTGCATATCGGATAGGCGATAATAGAGAATGATGAGGCCGATCTTGGAGAGTCCGAGGGCTGGGATATACATGACTGCGCCAGCCATGAGAACCTGCTTGGCCATCAATGAAGGGTGCTAGACGAACCAGGCACGACTGGAACTCCCGTACCTTCAGTGACTTGTTGTAGTCTTCTACTGTGAGCTCCCATTGATGGATCCCAAGCCCAGCGTGTGTGTATCCGTCTGAAAATCCCCGGGGATTGTTAGCGATCCATATTTGGGAAGCGGGCAGACACTTCGGAACACCTCACAGAGTAGGACAGATTGGGTGATGGCTGCGAACATCTGCACCATGAGCGATCCAAATTAGTCGATGATGCCAGTCGTCTAGTCACCGACACTCACCCATGAAAGCACGAGAACAGCTAATGATCAGTTGGTTAGATGTGATTACCCAACGCACCTATGCCACTTACTGTCATCCAGCATCCATTTCTTCACCACCACCAACCGGCTGTAGATGCGCACCAGTAGAGAGATGGCACTGGCAGTCGTCCCTACAATGACGACCACGCGATTCGCCGTGTGCAGATGTCGTGTAGGGTGCGCAAAATCCGGCGTGACCCCGGCAGGCGGTGCGATCACTCCAGTCTCATTGAGGGCCATGGTTGGGTACCACCATTTGAGTTCGATAGCTCGATGAGCATGCTTTGAATCTTCAAAGAAAGTGAGGAAGAACTGAAAATACAAATCCAGTCACCAGGAGCTCAATGGCCAGGGTTGACCTAGTCCAGCCCCTGGACTAAGAATTTTAGCTGATGCCCGACACCTTCCGCGCATGGTAGCAGGCTGGAACTAGAACCGAGTCTGACCTCAATACGTGACAGCTAAGCCCTGGGTTTGCGCCTGGGTTTGCGCCTGATCTGCACACGCTACGGCACGTTGCAGTGGGTTTAATCTCGAGTTAATCTATCTTCCACACTTGGCGTGGAACAACTTCGGCCATGCTCGTGCGTTGACTACTTGCTCCCTGTTCGAGCCTGAAGGATCTATAGCTTAATGCGAAGCTATAGAGGTAAAAATAAGCACCGTCGGATCGCATAGATCAGTAGCAAAGATCTTACCCTCCGAGCACAAACGGCTGGCTCTATAGCTAAAAGCAAAACGGCTCGGTGACCTTGACCAAGACCCGTGCAGAATACCGGAAGTTGCTATGAGCTAGGCGTATGGTCTAGTATGGTCAATGCTCCAACCTCATCTACAACCTCTCTTCGTGAACCTCAAAGATGGAGCTTGGTCATCATCTGTCCATTGCTACCTCGCCATCGACAGAGGCCCCATAGGATCATCGTGGGTCTATTTTGGGTTCACGCACATGCTCGAGCATAATTCTTTGTGCATGTACAGTACATATGTATGAGTACATGCATACTCCGAGATAAGGGCCATGCAGACGTAAACCAAGGCGTCGGTCCACCCGATGTCTCATCCTGGACTGTACCGGTCGAACCTAAATTGATTCATTGATTCAACGGTTCCGCCCTTCCGCGGCGGCACGGTTCGTTTGAGATACTCAATCCGGCCGATGATTGCCAAACTTCGGGCATTCTTCGGAGGCTCGTCACTTCCCAGTGTGAGTGGACAGTTATAGCTGGTTTGAAAAAAGGGTCAGTACAGTACTTTTGTCAACCTTGAAGATCAGCTTATTACTCTGCTGAAGCGGCCCAAAAAAGACCTCGGGCGGATAAACATGTGCCCGGAGGCAGGTGGCTACCGCCTTTCTCTCCGCTCGGTTCTGCCCGTCTTTTCAGCCCCGCTTGGTTCTGTACAATCCATGATAACTAAGTTGACTACAGTACTCTCATCTCTCCAACTCAGGCTGCTTCGCTATGCTATCGACCCGCCACAGCTTAAACATTGACAGAAAGACCATCCACAGTCGAGCATCCTGCGAAAATCTCCCTCGTGGTGGATGCTCGCTTCCTGCATGGTATGGCTATCTATGCCTCTGGAGTGTTTGCACACAATGTGAGCTAAGGCCAGATATTCCACCGTACTGCCAGTGAGCGATGCCGCAATAAACACCAGAAATGTGAGCCTGAATGAACGCACTCTTGAGCTTAAGAGGTCTTTGTACTCAGTTGTGCTGTAGGTGATCTTGCAGTCAATCGCAACACTTGCTCCCCTTGCGAGCGGGCGGGTCTGCCTTGCAGCCAGAGTCGTCAGCCAGACCTCCGCATCAAATTGGTGGATATACCATCGACCAAGCGCAAACGCCGCAAGCCCACTCCAGGGCGGACGAACGCGGGACTCGAAGTGATCCAATCAGCCACTCGATCGGAGCTGATGGACACGGAGGAGGTTGACTCTGGCAATAGAAGCTCCGCAATCCCACCGACTCGGTGTCCTAAGGAGCGTTCTCTGAAGCGACCACTTGCATTGCAGAATCAAGGATCAGCACTTCCGTCCGACCATGGCCCTGACCTGTCAGTCTCAACCCCTGCGTCGACCGCCTCGCCGCAGTTCTGGCCACTTTCCAGGGAAGAGGCCCAGCTGGTGAAGTATTTCTTCACCAATCTAGTGTCGTGGGTAAGCCAGGTGCTCAATCGCACACATGTGAATTGCAATAATGACATTGGCCGAGTGTAGTTTGACTATTGCATTCCTGACAGGCACTTCCAAACCGTTGTGGGGGCCACCGTTACCAAAGACCCGTCCATCCTATTTGCCGTTCTGGCAATATCTGCCCGACATCGTGAGTTGACGATGGGGATCAGCTCCTGCGATTCGCATGAATATGAGGGGCGATGTCTTGAGGTCCTGATCCCGAGTCTCAACGATACGTCGAAGGCTTTGGACGATAGCGTGCTGGCTTCCGCCATGCTCTTAAGGTTACTCGAAGAAATGTCCGGTAGGTATTGAATCTCATCCGAAACACGAGCCCAACCGCTGACTTTAGCATAAGAGCCAACCGAAGAACAAGTCTTCACCTCGCATGCGGTCTCCACCCAGATTTTGCTCCAGATCAAGGGTGGTAATGTCCGACCATCGGGATTCAGTGATGCAGCCATGATTGTGGCTTTGCGGCAAGAGATCGTCATTGGCAACATGGTGAAACGAGCCATTGAACCTAGCCTTGCCGCCTGCAGTGCGAATTGGTCATTGGCACCCGCTGACGATGCTACGTGGACATATCGCATGATTGCACATGCAGCACGGGTCACCACCTTTGCCTACGGTAACGAACCCAAAGACAAGTTGGAGTGGGATCGACTGTGGCAGTATGTACTGGACTGGGAACAGCGCAAGCCCGACTCATTCCAGCCGATACACTATTCACACCGAACGCAATTGTGGACCTTTCGCTTTCGCCCGGAGAATCCGGAAGATGCACCATCCGCCAGCGCGAACAGGGACAGTATACTCCCGGTGATCTACTACACCTACGACTGCCCAATTGCGGGCCAGCAATATCTCCAACTCTCTCGCATCTTATTATTGGCGCATGACCCCCGCATGCCCAGCTTAGGAATGGGGCGCGCACAGTATCTGCAGAAGCAAGAGGAGGAGATGCGTAATGCGGTTCGTGTCGTTTGTGGGATAGCCATGTCGAATCCGGAATATATGCCCGCCAGGCTGACCGCGGGTCTGGCAATCGCATTGGGTGGTGAGCTGTTCGACGATCCCGAGGAGACTCGAGAGCTGATGAACCTGGTTGCTGAGGCAGAGCTGCATGTGGGGTGGCCATGTCTGAAAGTGAGCCATCGGCTCCGAGCTTTCTGGGGTTGGGAAGGCAACCCTCAATGATGCATTGTGAGCAATGATGCATGGAGTCGGACTATTATACCGCAAAGGGAAATTTCGGTCCGGGCGCAGCTTATGTATTGTAGCATAAGTAACCGGGATGATATGCCATTCTGGGTAATCTTCCCCCGGATTGCCCTATACAATGCATCACCTAGTATATTATGGATGGCCCAGCAATCATCAACTCTCTTTCTCAATTCACCTCTCACCCTGGCAACCCATACAATTTGAATCCTCATCATGCTCCATCCCGAGACCGCCTTTCCCGACCTGTACGTCAACGATGGCCAACTAGATCCTCAAAGCACGGGTCTGCTCGAAGCAACTTGTCCGCGTACAACTCCCCTGGCTGAGATGCGGCACCGATTGGAACGAGACGGGTACCTTTACCTGAAAGGGCTTCTGCCTCGCGCCGATGTCCTTGAGGCTAGGAGAAAATACTTTGAGTTGCTTGCGCCGACCGGGATTCTGGATCCCCGAACTTCCCCAATCGAGGGGATCTTCGATCGCTCTCAGGACGCCACCGACTTCCCCGGCTTTGGAACCGGTCGCCAGGGTACCGGAACCGCCACGTCCGATACCTTCATGACACTAGCCCTTCGTGCCCATGCTGAAGACTGGTATCGCAATGATCTCTGCAAACACCCTGCTCTAATCGCCTTCGTCGAGGAATTCACCGGTTGGGGCAAGAGCACATGGGCTTTGGAACGGACTATATTGCGGAATAATCTCCCTGGAAATCCAGCCACTGGGGTACACTACGACTATATCTTCTTGCGGCATGGGGAAGACTCGGTCTTGACAGCGTGGGTTCCGGTCGGGGATATCGCCCTCAACGGGGGCGGGTTGATCTACCTTGAAAATGGTCTGTAGTTGCTGGAGCTGGCTATCGATCGCTTTGAGCTAACACGACCAGGCCACGTCCTAGGTAGGGCCACCGAAGGCCAGTTCACTAGCAAGGCCCAAGCGGCAGGACTCTCGGAAGAGGAGGCCAAGACCGCGTTCAACCAGAATATGATGTCCAATGGCATGCTCAGTCAGGATCCGAAGCATTTTGGGGAGGAGCACCAACGCAGGTGGCTGGTTTCAGCTTATGAGGCGGGGGATGTGGTTTTCCATGACTCCTACATGGTAAAATACTACTGGTACGATGAAGGACTCTCACTGATGCTGTATGGAGATTCATGCCTCGACCTTGAACCACGACGAGAACGGTGTCATTCGCCTCGGTACCGACTTGCGGTTTGTTGATGCGCGTGGAGACTGGGATACGGTCAGATCGGTCCTTCTACTATGTCCTGTCCCGCACTGACCTTTCTCATAGCGATGGGCCGGCATCTACAGAGATGATGACGGGCTTTGACAGTGTCATTAGATCATGTTCAGTCGCAGCCTCCGCTGAGAAATCCGTGCTACAAGAAATGGAAGACAGCCGATTAACAGGAGGCGAGCTGAGAGGGCAAGGTTTAAAGTCGGAGCCTGGGTGCATTTGATTGTTTGTCCACATTGGTGGTCTACTCTGGTAGTCTAATATACTTTTACTATAAGGGCTTCTTTACGGTGTATCGGTTAGTTTCCAGGTAGTCTGGCGGTTCTTGCAGTGTTCTCGAGTTCAACTTTTGCAGGTTATGAGCGTTGTTTTTGGCTTATATCAGCCAAAAAAAGGCTAGCTGTCAACAGCTGGCCTGCTGGCCCAATGGTAAGGCGCTTGACTACGAATCAAGAGATTGCAGGTTCGAGCCCTGCGTAGGTCAATCTTTTTGCTCCTCAAACTTCAGTCTAGTTCTCCCTCCCATCTCGGTCATTTTTTTCCAATTGGAAAGAAAGAGGTATCTCCCTCCCTCCCTCCCTCCCTCTCCAATTCCTCGCAGACTATCTTGGCAGGTAAATCCTGCCTTGTTGTTGAGCGTTGTCTCCTCCTGTGGTATGTTCCCGCGGCCGCACGGACATTTCCCCGGTTATATATTTGATATTTTACGCAGCTTCGCCCCAACGGTCACCCCCAACACGAGGCTGCACAAACAAAATTGCAAATATTGATTCATCTCTTGCGCCCAAAGAATAACAACAAGACCAATTGACTACGCGGCTCGTCAAGCCAGTTGCAGGTCTTGGACGACGAACGCTCACCGGAGAACGCTCGCCATCACCACAACCGGATGACCCAACTCCACCCCTTCGTGGTGCAATTTCAAGGCTGTGATGGCATCAATGCGCTCCGGGAGTAATTCCCGCTCAATCTGCAGCGCCCAAAGAGCAGCACCTGCCGGAGTCCGACCGTGAAAGACGCGTCGGAGAGTGGTGGTGCGATAGAAGTAGAACTGTCCCGGAAAGCCACGTCTGTGTGTCAGCATGCGTCTCACCAACTCTGTAGGACTCCGTAGGCAGACTACGAATAGTCTGAGGAGACTCGGAACCTACCGGACCCAATCCCTTCTGCTGCTGGGTTGCATACCCCCCGATCACCGAGTCAGGTTCACTTTGCTCTTTCCAACTCATGGAGAGGGTCCGTCCGGCGTAGCCGGCGGCGTCCGCGAGAGCGAGCATCTTGGCGACCGGCACCCGTCCGCCAATACTGGACAGGACGACCCCGGACGGGCTGAGGAGGCCGAAGACGCGAGCCTGGACGAGGCTGGTGTAGTGTAAGTCGAGGAGCGCGGATGCAACGAAGGGAGGAATCTGATATGGGAGATCGGCAGCAGAGAAGTAGGTCGATGATGTCTGTTCCTCCAGGAGGGTGGCCCCCTCGGGGAGGGGAATGTTGGGCAAGTTCCTTGGGCCATACGTTAGGTGGTAGGCGACGAAGGAGTAAATGGAACGAGATCAACACACTCGTAAATCAGGTCGAACACTGGCTGTCCTTTCAATGGCTCTAAACAGTACCCCGTCAAGGCAGTGGCCTCGAGCGCCACCGTCTGGATGGTCTTCCGGGAGTCATGGACCGCGGAGATCAGATTCATTTTGGCGGTTGCAACCACCTCAGGCGAGAGGTCGGTCATGGTGACGCTGGTCAGCTCAGGGAAGAAGACCTCGAGGGCGCCCACAGCATCGGTTCCTGACCCAGTCCCAATGGTCGCGAACCGACGAACGGGGCTGTAGCCAGCGACTTGGAAGGATCTGAAGGCCTGGAATGCTGCAGTCACAGCCCAGTCCGCGGTAGGTCTCTCGACCTAGAAAGTCGAATGTATAAGCATTGTTTTTGATGGTTAAACACGAATACAAGCTTCTCACCTTGGGTTGATAGCTGAGATCTGACAGACTGATCTTGAACGAAGAGGAGACATGACGAGGCTTCACCCCATAAAAGGATTCGAAGTGGATAGACAGATCATTGCGAGCCTGGGGCTTGGGCACCAGATCGATGGTAGTAGCCGTGAACACGTCGTCAGCAACGATGACCTTCTCTTCCAAAATGGCGGTAGACATGCTGACAAGTGGATGGGTGAAGTGAAATACCAAGCACTCGATATTGCATTCTCTGGCCGACAACAAGATTAAGTATCGATAGCATCGATAGCATCGATAGCATCTATAGCACCTGTCAGCTGTGCTGACCTGGGCATGAGGTTGGACTTCATGTGTCTTCCAGTCCGTGAGCTCGTGTTCATATTACTCCGAGATGTCATGCTGAGGAAATAAGCATATAATTGTTGCTGTCTATTTCCCCGGACCGAATGCCTGGATTAATGCTTCTGGTGCGGCTGAAATCTCGAAGGTTTCCACCTCAAGTAACCCCGGGAGGTTTCGCTATTGGACATCCACCTCAGTCTGACAAAACGCTCGGATCCTCCGATTGGGAAGGGCGTGAGTTCGTCAATCCATTGATTCATAATGTAGTTGATACGATGAGAATGAAAATCGGCCGGGGAAACCGCGCCCCGAATGTTTGCCATGGACGCCACTTGCCACTAAACTACAACCTATTGATTTATAGCGCCGGCACCTGCAGCCCTGCAAGCGACGAAGAAGCAAGCGAAGCGAATGGTTCGTGGCTAAGATGCCACGATGCAGTCTAAGATCCCCAAGGCAATGATTGCCGAGGCTGCTTCGGCCCAGACCAGGCGGGGATCCCATTCTTCTTCAGCTGCGATCTCGCGCGCCTCTGCCGTGCAGCTGCACTGGCCGCCACTCCCAACCGATCGCTTATCTCTTTCCAACCCACTTTGGGCTGTCATAGGCTTCTGGTGGGGGGTTGACCGACTCGGTCAGTTTGTTTGACAGGTTGGGAGGTCGGAGGCGGGCAGCTTTTAGGGCTTGTGCAAAGGGGACGGACCGACAGTCACAAACAGCTAGCGATGTCGAGGACTATAAAGCGCGATGAGTTGCCTGCACCGCTGGAGTCCATTGACCTTTCATTTCCCATCACCCTCACAATGCAGCCTCCAGGGTCCTCTGAGGTACAATGCTCCCACTTGGACGTCTCCGATGCCAAGTTGTACTATGAAGTCCGTGGCCAGGGCCCCCTATTCCTGATCATGGCCGGGGGCAACGGCACCGCAGCCTTCTTCGCATCTTTCGCATCCCTCCTGTCATCCCACTTTCAAGTAGTGACTTACGACCGACGAGGATTTTGGCGGAGTCCGATCAGAGATGCGACCAACCTCGACGCATGCAGATTGTTAAGGGCTAACGTCGCGGATGCCGCTGCACTGATCCAACACCTCTCACCCAGCGCGCCATCGATTGTTTTCGGATCCTCTTGGGCAGCCAACATTGCCATGAATTTACTCAACACCCATCCGCAGCTGGTTCGGAAGGTCATTGTTCACGAGCCCGTCCTGGGGAACCTGTTCACGCCGAAGATGCTACAAGGATTCAGTGAGGATATCGACCGAATCATTGCTGCGTTCCGCCAGCGTGGAGTGCCGGCGGCCAACGCGATCCTGACTGCCATCACGAGCAGTAAACGCGATCGAGAGCTGTTCGTGGGCTCGCCGGTGTTCAAACAGCTGATGCTGATCCCCCCCAGCAACCAGGACTGGTACTTTGGCGTTGAGATGGTCGAGTGGCGGCAGTTCACCACCTTCGAACCGGAAGTTCTCCTGGACCATCGGAGCAAGCTCATGCTCATGCGCGGGGCAGAAGAATCCCCCGATTTGACAGCGCAACCGATCTGCGTCTTGTCCGACCGACTGAATCTGCCGGTGGTTGACATGCCTGGAGGTCATTTAGGCTATATTACCCATCAGCAGGAGTTCATTGATAGCTTGGCGCAATTGTTGTCGCATCACGAGCGGGCTCGGTTGTGATCCATGGTTCTGAAAGAGTTTCCTCCAGTTTCTCCGCGTCATTGTCGCCACTGCCCTGCCCCCCAGATAAATCGACCCTGACCCTCTCCACCCTCTTTCATTCTTGCTGATGCTAGACGTCCCGAGTCCTCCTTGACCACACGTCAAAACACACCTCAAAACCCAACCCAACCATGTACCAGGCATTTATCAGTCGCTCAAGGCCAGCTGTGTCCAACCTCGGCCAACGCATCCAGTCAGCGGGTAGGGTTGATTGCAATACAACCAGAGACAACCAAGAACCTCATCACTGAGTGAAGGTATTAGATTCCTCCCAGCGTCGAAGACACATCGTACGCTCGGATACCTATCGCCGGGATAGCTTCGAACCCGGTCACATCCCGCTCAGTTCGCTGCGGGTGCAGGCCGCGGCCTGGGGCGTTGCAGGGGCAGGCATCTTCGCCACCCTGCATGGCGTGTATATGATGGTGCGATCGTTTCGGCAAATTCGCTACATCTAGGATAAGAGTGGAACGAAAAGGATGGATGGTCTAGCGTGCGTGTGGGGTGTCGCATTGCTTCCAGCTTCACAGTCTGTACAGCAGCGTGTTTTGATTCCATAATCTCCCAATGTCAAATACCACTGTTATGCTACTCAATCTCCTCTACTGCACCACAAACTGCTCCGTATGACTCTTGTACAGCACACTGGAGTCCAGAACCGCGCCCGTCTCGGATCGAATGAAGTCCACCTGCAGATGCGTCTCGTTCAGCACCCGCACAGTACTGTAACTGTAGTCATCGGCGTAGACAAACGCCGTGTACGAGGGCTCGGATCCGACCGAGCTCAAGCCCTCGATATTGCCCGCTCCCCCGGCGACAATGTACATGGGCGCCGCCGGGTCATTCAGCCCGTTGGCATCGGCGGTGCCGTTGTAGACGGGCTGGAAGCGCTGCGAGTTGTGCACGTGGCCGAACACCCCCAGGTCCACCCCGTACTTGTAGAGGAGATCCTCGAAGGCTCCCTGGCACGCGTCGCAGATGTTGCTCGAGCCGCCCGTCGAATACCACGGTCGGTGACCCGCCACGATCACCCACGGGGTCACGCTGCGGTCGACACTGGCCAGGTCCGCTTCCAGGAACTCCAGCTGCTGCTGGGACTGGCCGAAGGGCCCGCCGTCCAGCCCGGCGGAGCCGTCCGGGCCGTCCGGGGCGTCGGTGAAGTCGGTCTCGGTGTCGATCATGGTGAAGTGCACCATGCCGTACTCGAAGGAGTACCAGAACGGGGGTTTGGAAAGCGTGCGCGCGGTCGCGGCCAGGCTTTGCGCGGTCGTGTTGGTGGAGGACGAGGCGAAGGCTGACGGCATCGTCTCGTCAAACCGGTGCATGAAGTCGGTGAAGTTGCGTTGCCCCTCCGGGCAGAGATCGATGAGCAGCGACAGCTCGTCGCAGTCGGCTTCGTGGTTGCCGGGACTGACCATGTAGGGCTTGCCGGCGGCGATGGGAGCGAGCTGGTCGTAGAACTGCTCCAGGATGGCTTGGTAGGCGTCCTTGCCGTCCAGCAGGTTCTTCAGCTTCAGATACCAGTCGTCTGCGTAGGCGAAGTCGCCCGGGTGAATGACGAGCTCGTAGTCGTCGAAGGTGTCGGCCATTCGTCCGATGGTGGTGTGGTTGAGGTCGGGCTCGACGTACGGCGTCTCTCGCTTGCTCGTGGAGGAGTCGCTGGAGATGGTGTAGCCATCAGCCCCGTACACTCCCAGGTCGATCACCACGTCGAAATTGAAGGGGGTCTTGTCCCCGGGGGTCCGGGGGCTGAGAAATCGCTCCACCGTCGAGTTGCCCGACACAATCTGGTAGTAGTAGGTGGTGGCCGGCGTGAGGCCCGTCAGAGTCACCGCGTTGGAATACGTGCGCGAGGTGGCATAGGTCGTCGACTTGGTCGAGCAGGCCTGCTGGCTCAAGTCATTGCTGGAAGTGCCGTATTCGACACAGCTCGAGTTCAGCTTCTCATAAGTGTTCCACCCAATTGAGACCGCTAGACCGAGGGTTGGATTAGGCATCGTCAGTTGATTGTCGTCGGGAAAGGAGGTGCTCACATGTAGGCCCCATGATCGCCAGACGCTGCTGGTACGGGGTGGTCAGGTCATTAGGCAGAGTGGGATAATCCACGGCCAGGGCTGCAACCGCCAACCAGGGAAGTCCCTTAAGTAAAGTGGACTGGTGCATCATCGGTGGTGTCGCTGGAGTCTGATGCTTTGGATCCTGTGGTTTGTCCTGACATGCTCGACTTTATAGTCGCGGGCAGGCGTAAACCGGCCGTCGAGACTGGCCCGATCCAGTGCCACCAAGTGCATGCTGGACCTTGCAGATCCAAGCTTGCATGATTCTTCTTTGATGCAGAATCAAGGTTAAGGCCGAACGTGCCTCGGTCCGAGCCTCTGTTTGGGGCTGGAGTTGGGACGACATGGAATGACATTGATTAGGGTACCTGATCAGCCAAGCACGTGGGGAAAGCGTTGGCCTCGCCGTGCTTCCTCCTCCGTGCCGGTTCTGCCGCATAAATTGCCCCCCAGGGACGGTAGACTGTTTTCTGCAAGCATCTCCGACGGTCATATTGGTGATTCTGCAGGCACCAAGCTTGGTGGAGTCATTCGCCCGGACTACATGCCTATTTGGGTGGATTGTTGCATCACGCACCCATCCATCACCTCATAGTCCGGAGAACTAAGACCAGGGCATAACTCGTTAACCAGTGGCACAGCTGAGATAAGCAGGCCTTATCCACAGATATACAGTACAGTACAGTACAGTACAGTACAGTACAGCGGAGGAGTGAATCCAGTGCAGTGTATTAAAGTATATGGTTATAAGATCGGTCAATGCCTGTTAGAATGCGTGCTTGTTTAGCCACCAGAGCGCTACGTGGCCGCCGCTAGCCCTGCCTCATAGCTTGGCGGCGATAGCGATTGAGCCACTTCAAATGCTGGGAGCTCCTCGCCGAAGACGTCAGCGTACAGATTGTCACTGCTGCTAGCTAGCTGTTGGATGGGTAGCGGAAAGATCGCCCCGTAGGACTTGACCGAAGTCTTTCGGTCCAATAAACGATTCATTCGGTCATTTACAATATCCTCTCCCGTGATGACCTCAACCTTGAGGTGGTGGTCGACGGTGATGGCTGGGGTCTTGGCCACCTGACTCGGATGAAGCTGCCCACGACTCGGGCCCAGTGACTCTAGGTCTGGGTCATCCACAGCATTGGCACTTTGTGGTATCGTGACATCGAATTGGATATGAGCCCGATCATCCGTCCGACTCGGTAGGTTGGACCGTCGGTGGTTGCTGGTTGACCCCGGGATCCTGTCCTCTCCGCGAGTCAAGGCCCGCGTTGATCTCTGACCAGGACTGAGGCTTGTATGCCAGTCGCCGCTGGTGACCTTTGTCAGAACCGCTTCTTCTCCCACTTCCCACTTGACTGCGTTGACTGTCACATACTTCGCTTCCCCCTCTCGGTCTCCGGGTGTATATAGATTCCGGACCAGCAGTGCCACCGAGAATTGAGCTCTGGTCGTGCTGTGAGGGGGCTGTCGTTGTGTGATGCTGACGTCGAAGATGAGAGGCGATTGGGGAAACCTTCGAATGTGTTTGGCTGGGAGATATGAGCTGGGTATGAGGCGGTAGGAAATCCCAAGCGGTCTGCATAGGATTTCTGATTTCCCCGAGGCCAGAGTCACCGTGGCTCGGATCGCGTAGCTGATGGTCCCCAGGTCGGTGGTCGTCGTGGCAGGAAGGTTATCCGGCACTGGTACACAAAAGGGCAACTTGAGACTCGTGTCAGTGATTGTGCTCCGAGATGTGGCGAAGACATCCGGCGAGGACCAGAGGTTACACTCGAGCACGGTCTCGCAATATGTCCGAGTCGTCGTGTGAGCTGTTCTGGGTGGGATCGTCCGACGTTTGAATGGGAGAGAATATCGCTGGTGACTCCCTGTCTCTCTGCGAGCTAACCCGCTGGCTGCAATCTCCACAATTCGTAGAAGACTGATGGTAATCCCGGACGGGTTCAGGGTTTCCCACGCGACAGACTCGGTTGAGATCCAGAGCGAGCCTGATAGAGGCCGAGAGTATGATCCGCTATCCGCATGGACGAAGATAAGGTGCGAGGTGGGAGTGTCCAAATCTAAGCGGAGACGTGGTTCGGCCATAGTTGGTCAACATCTAGGGGCTGGTGATAGAAGAGATCCCGAAGTTGACAGAGGGAGGGGTTGCTTAAGAGAAGAATTTGAAGCCACAATGGTTCCATATGTGACCATATGTAAGATAGATTGATGCCATCCATAGTTAACTAAGGGTTAGAGGGGGTGGCCGCCAGGCTAAGCCCAAAAGGGCAGCCAAGCTGGAAATTTAAGCTTTGGCGGCTTTTTGCAACTCCGCTGTGGATGCCTGAACTGCGCCCGCTCCTTCAGGCTGCAAGTGCAGTCACTCTCTCTCTCCAAAACAACTCAAAACAAAAGCATCACCCTGCCCTGCCTCGCCCTGCCCTCCCCTCTCCATTCCCTCTCTTCACTACCGGACTCTGGGCTTCATACTTGGCCATGGCTCCCAGACTGCACCTGGTCCGCCACGCAGAGGTGCGATTCATGGCCATCTGCTTCCCACTTCTAACGTGACCGACAAGCAACTCTAGGGCGTGCATAATCTCGGGATGGCCTATTGGTCTCTCGTAGACCCGCCTTTGACCGATCAAGGCAGGGAGCAGTGCTCGAAGCTCCGAGCGAATTTCCCCTCACATCACCGCGTCGAACTTGTCGTAGCCTCCCCCATGCTCCGTGCCCTAGCCACCGCCGTGGAGAGCTTCCAGCCGCTGTTCGATCGTTTCCCCGACTCGAGTCTAGTAGCACTACCCGATCTCCAGGAGATCAGTAGCTTCCCCTGTGACATTGGGAGTGAGCTGCCGGCACTGAAAGCAAAAACCGAGGAGTGGGGGGTTCACATCGATTGGAGCCATGTCGAGGAAGGGTGGACGAGCAAGGTGAGTACTGTACAACCCGGACACCCTATGGTCGCCGGAAAGACCCACGGGGGCTGACTTTGAACTCCTATCATTATCGTATCTAGGACGGACGATACAAGCCCACCAGAGAAGCCATCCAAGAGCGGGCTCGTGCCGTCAGGCGGTGGCTCTACGAGAGGCCGGAAACAGAGGTGGCGGTGGTCACGCATGGGGCCTTCTTACACTTCCTGACCGAGGATTGGGAAGACAGTTGTGTGTACGAAGGAACGGGCTGGGCCAATACTGAGTATCGCACGTATGACATGACCGCTGCTCGGGAGGAGGACGAAATCACGCTGGTGGAGTGTGGCAGCTCGCGGGCCCGCCGTGGCAAATCTCACGGGGTATCTTCACCAGATGAACAAAGTAGATTGTATGGGATCACGCTGCAGGGGTGGGAGGAACAGGGCTATTTGTTAAATGGGATGCAGGAGCAGGAGATCTCGAATATCACCCCAATGGAGGTGGTGGGATGAGAGTGAGAGCCCGTCTCGAGAGGCTCTCATCACGAGCAATGCTCCTCATTTACTATCCTTAGCTAGCTTTAACGTCGAATATTGGTAACGTGTCTAAACCCCTATACTGTATGTACTTTTGATGCCTCGAAGGCCAGAACCCCGCCCGATCACGTGTGGCATCACATGACCCAGCGAAAAATCGAGCATTCACCCTCGACCTCAACCTGGGCTTCACAACCAACCGACTGTCGACGTAGCTTTTGACATATCATCCCGCCTGATGCTAGGCGTCTTCAGTCATTTACCCCCCAGCGCTTCTTCTGACAAAGGTTAGTCACCTGGATCTGGCCAGCATCTCCACCTCCAGCCACACTAATCGCGAGGGGGAGACCACCAGACTGTTCAAGGTGCAGATCGCGACGGATCCAATGTGATAGGAAATTACCCCAGTGCCGGAAATGCATTTCCCGTAGTCTGGACTGTCCAGGCTATGGGCCGGTATTCAAATGGGTGCAAGGGGTGGCCAGTCGTGGCAAACTTAGCGGCCAGGCAATTCCCGTGCCCAAGAAGAACGAGAAAAATAAGAATGAGGAAGAGCAACACCGTCAGTTGCGGATTGCCGAGCCCCCGGAATCGGAGATTGATTTTCAACTTGAGAGTCCGGCTGAGACCCTCCTGTCGCACTTGCTAGCCCATTTTGACCAGCATGTCGCGACAAGGCTCGCATGGGTGGATGGGCCCGACAACCCCTGGCGAAACATCGTCATGCAATTGACGCATTCGTCTCCTGTGGTCCTCTACTCGATTCTCGCCATGGCTTCGGAAGACCTGATTCTTCGATACGAAACCGGGCACCGGCTGCGCCGACTGCAGGCTGCTTCACTTGACTATAAAAGCAAGACCCTGTCGCTTCTCGGACAGCAGCTGGACATGCTGCCCCGGAACGCCTTGGCGTTACCAGGGCATACCCACCAAGTACGATGTATTCTCGCTGCAATTCTGCTTCTGTACAACGTGGAGCTGCTTACGGCCGAGGATGCGCGCTGGCGAGTACATATCCACGGGGCACGCGCAGTCATCCAATGGATGTCACAGGCCATCGCTCGTCGCAATGTGGATGACCAAGCGGATGTCTTTCTGCTCTACGAGTATTACTATTCCTCAGTGTTCATGAGTCTGACGACTTTCGACCCTTCGGAGGACATCACGAAAACGATTCAAACCCACGATACGTTAACCGTATTCAGCGACTTTGTTCAAGTCATGCAGACGGTCACTCGTGCGGAGCGGGAGAAGCACGCTGGGAATCTCAACGCTATGATGCCCGCCCTGGATGGTATTAGGAAGGAGATTGATGCGGCGAGATCGAGGACTTTGCTGCTCAGTCACCGTATCCAATTCAGGTCGGCTGAAGCACAGCGAGATTTCGACCATCTTTCCTCCATGTACTACCATGCGTGCTTGATATATAGTTATCGGGCCCTAGGGGATGGTCCCGTCGGAGAACCGTTCATTGTCATCTCGCGAGACGCAGTACTGGACCATGTCTCTTGCCTGACGGACAGCACGTCGTTTGCTCAAGATCTGGTCTGGCCACTTTTCATCGCGGGCACGGAGTGCAGAGGATACCCCGCCAAACAGGCGACGGTGGAACGTGCAATGTTGATCGTGATGCGGATCAGTGGTCGGCTGGACCGGGATCGCGTGCTTGCCTTTCTGAAGGCTTACTGGGAAGCAGAGTTAAGCCCCAATGTAACCTGGATCCAATTCGCCCGGTCCAGAGCGGCGGATTGTAGCTTTCTGATCATCTGAAGCGAGAAGATCAGGTGCATGAGTCACTCCGTTCGCTGGACATGACACAATGGCTGTGTTCGGGGGCATGGTCCGGTGCCAGCTACCTTGGGTAGCAGAGAATCAACCATGGCATGCCAGCCCTCTTTTACTCACCATCACCCTTCAACCAAGGAGGCAGATGTGGCCTCCGAATGAGTCACTATTCCCGCGTCTTCAGGGAATATTTATACATGGGCCGAAGTCACCCACGCGAACCACGCCCATAATACCAAATCAAGGACCCAGCACCAGCTTCGTCAACAACGACAGCGCTTCGACATAGCCTAGCACGATGAATTCGATCAGCGGTTGTTACTATTTTCAGCGTGATGCTTGCGCCTGGCAGTATATTCCACAGGTTGCCCTCAAGGCCCATGCAGTCCTACGAGCCACCAGCTCGCGCACAACTCTGACCCAGATCTTTAAGAACCCGGGACCTAGGCAGCTTCACGAGGTCTCGTATCGGTTTTCACTCTACGACGGGGTCAGTGTCGTCGGATTTCGATGTAAAGTGGGCGATCGGGCCCTGCGCAGCGAGGTCAAGACCAAAGGACAGGCTAGCAAAGACTATCAAATCTCTGTCTCGCGCGGCGCCTCGGCTGGGGTGCTTGACCAGTCCGGCCAAAACTCGGACATCTTTCTGCTGCGGCTGGGCAATGTGCCTCCTCGGGAGACCATCACAGTGAGCATCACATTTGTGGGGGAGCTGAAGACCGACGGGCAAACCGAGGGCATTCGATACATCTTGCCAAATGACATTGCCACTCGCTATGGATATAGGATGGACCAGGTCGTGTCCGCTCTGATTGACCCAGTGGACAAGCAATGCTTCGACATAATTGTAGACGTCTTCATGGAGAATGATACCACAATTCGGACGGTGCAGTCACCCAGCCATCCCATCTGCGTCAGACTGGGCCAGACTTCATCCACTCCCGAGGAATGTACCGAATTCGCAAAGAGCTGTGCCTTTGCAACGTTGCATATTGCCGGTGAAAGCCCTATGTTGGAGCGAGACTTTGTCCTGGTAATCAAAGCCGACAAGACAGATGTTCCTCGCGCTTTGATCGAATGCCATCCCACATTCCCCAACCAGCGCGCCATGATGGCTACCCTCGTGCCCCGTTTTCACATCCCTGCGTCCGACCCGGAAGTGGTTTTTCTGATTGACCGTAGTGGCAGCATGTGGGACAAGATTTCCACCTTGAAGTCTGCTCTGCGGGTCTTTCTAAAGTCAGTGCCCGTAGGCACCTATCTCAACATCTGCTCTTTCGGGACGCAGCACCAATTTCTCTGGGCTCGTAGTCGAGGCTACGATGGCCCCGGTCTACAGAAAGCATTGGCTCTGGTGGACCGCCTGGATGCAGACATGGGATGCACGGAGATGACGGCTGCTGTCCAAGCAATTGTGAAGCGTCGTCTCAAGGGACGAGAGCTGGAGGTTCTGATTCTCACCGATGGACAGATTCACCAACAGCAAGAGTTATTCGAATTCATCCGCGCCACTGCTGCCAAGCACACAGCTCGCTTCTTCGCTTTAGGCATCGGTCCCTCTGCTTCTCATGCCCTTGTGAATGGTATTGCACGTGCCGGTGATGGGATTGCCCAGTCGATCATGCTTCACGAGGAGCTGGACTGCACCGTTGTGCGTATGCTCAAGGGGGCTCTGAGTCCGCACATCTATGATTATTCTCTAAGTGTCAATGGCGAGGAGCCGAATGATGGTTTTGAGGTGGTTGATCATGAAGAGCAGAAGTCAGTGCAGGAGCCAGATTCAGCCACTTCCCCAGAATCGTCCCCTCGGAGATCTATCCTGCTCTTTGACCCCGACCTAAGGGAATATGACACTGATATCACCTTGAGCGAGCCTCCGATTGTGCAGCCTCCGGGCATCATCCAAGCTCCACACCACCTTCCAACCCTCTATCCGTTCATTCGAACCACGGTTTACCTTCTCCTCGCAACCTCTCGAACTCCACGCTCGCTGACTATTCGGGCTACCTCCAAAAACGGCCCACTGACACTGGAAATTCCCGTGGAAGACGTGGGTTGTGGCGAGACCATTCATCAACTTGCTGCCCGGAAGATGATCATCGAGTTGGAAGAGTCTGGCGGATGGATAGCCGATGTCAAGGACCAGCACGGTCAGCCCTACCATCCTGTAACCCAGTCAAGGCTAGTTATACAAGAATGTCAACGTCTAGGACTACAGTACCAGCTCTCTGGCCATTATACATCTTTCGTGGCAGTCGATGAAAGCGCTCTTCTGTCAGGTGAATGCTCGTCGCCTGCCCCAACTGTCGTGGTGACTCTCCCGCATCGACAGGACACAGGTCCAGACTCAGTGATGGGACATGCCTTACCTAGTTCCCCACGGAAGTGTTATGCTATGTCGAGTGGTTGGAGAGGCGGTGCCAGAGGTGGTGTACGAGGTGGCGGGCGAGGGGGCGGGCGAGGGGGCGGCGGGACAGCGAGTCCCAGAGGTGGCGAGTTCCCCACCCTACGAGGCGATGGCAGTCTCCCAGTGGCAGTCCCCCAAGCTGCGATTGTCCCCGGCGCACCTCGCCCTCGGATGTATCGCGTGATTGACTTGCAGGTCTTCGACGGAAGCTGGAGATGGTCACCGGAGCTTTTCGAGGTGTTGGAGCTGGATGAATCTCTGATGCGCAGGCATTTTATGCGCTGGTGGCAGCAGGCCGGCTATCAGCCGAGTCAAGCGTTCCCAAACTGTGACGACGGATGCCTCCTTGCCACAGTCCTAGCCATTGAATACTTGCACGGACGATGTCAAGGTTCGAGCGATATCTGGGAGTTAGTGTGTACCAAGGCAGACCGGTGGTTGGAGGAGAGAATTCGGGTCATGGAGGACAGGGGTTGCAATACAGTCGGACGATGTCGGGAGCACATTCATTCCCTTCTTTCTGACAAGCACACTGAAGGGCAAATGAAGAAGGTATAAGTGGACAAGCTACTATTTTGGATTTCGTCCGGGTTTTCCCTTTTGTTTGTGTTGATGGACGAAGGAAAGCAAGTGCAGATCCTATTGCCTCAAATGCTGTTTAGGTTGCAATCTTTGCTCAAACCATCACTATAAAAGTTTACCACATTGAAATCATAGCAAATCTCATACAAGGGCCACTCCAGCCCAGAACATCAGCGCCAAAGCCCCTAGACTCGCAGCATTGACCCGGTGTGCAGCCGCACTCGTAGCGCCACAGCACTTGCCATTATACGTGACATTGTTCATCTGGGCGGCAACCTCGAAGACCGATCCGGGGAAGTTGCCATCATTGTAGTAATCAACGAGGAGGAAGTTGGGGGGACGATCCCATTTGGCTGCCACGATATATATTCCAGGTCAGTGATGAGTGTGCCGCAGGATGATTCGATTCCCACACTTACCCCGGCAATTATTGGCCATTAGCCCTAGACTGCCGAACCCGGATACAGCATTGGTGGTGTTCAACTGCGCGGTATCGGGGATCAAGATCTCAATCCCCTCCAACATCACTTCAATGTCGAGGTTATGGTTGATCATGTACATTCGCTCCTCGGCCTCGGCCGCGGTGATCCCCGGCGGTCGCTGCACGGTGCAAGGGAACGAGGCGTTGAGAGGAGAAAAGGGCGTCTCCCACATTTGGCTGAACTCGTCGAGAATGTACGGGATCGAGCTTTGGTCGGCCTGATAGTCCATGAACATGACCACGCGCTTCTCGGCCAGAATCATCTCCGACAGGGTCGGCCAGTCGCTGACATTCATCGGGATTTTCCACGGTTCGTAAACGTAGTCGATCAGGCCGGAGTTCTGGATGGGTGCCGTAAAGTTCGAGGGATCCACGTAGTCGGAATTGACAATCAGCACCGTCACCACGTCGTAAGGGTTCTCTTTGACCCAATCGGTGATATTGGCGAGGTAGCTCTCCAGGGTGCCCATGTTCAGCAGTTCGCACGAGGTATGACACAGATAGATCTCGTCCTGATAGTAATGCGCTTCGAAGGAGACTGCCTGATGATGAGTGGGAGGGTGGTGGGCAATGAGGGTGGGGAAACTGACCCATGCGTACGCCGTCATCGAGCTGAGTGCGGACGGGGTATGCCTGATTGGAGGCTACATTGTTTTTCTTCACAAAGGGACTGTTGTGAGCGGTCACCATCGTGATGTTCGAGTATTTTCTTTCGCAGAATTCGGCGTAGCCATTGCAGGGCTGCGAGTTGGCAGCCGTGGCGGCCGTGGCGGTGCTGCTGCTGCTGCTGCCGCTGCTGGTGGTGGTCACGACCCGCGTGCCGCTGAGCTGCACTGCGGTGTCGGTCGTAGTAGTCGTCCCTGTCACTGTCGCTGTGCCATTGCTGATCGTGGAGTATGTCACCGTACTGGCAACTGAAGCCGTCGACAGCGATTCATTCTGGGCTGCCAGTGTGATAGTGGTAGTATAGCTGAGATAACTGCCAGTGGGGACCACCTCCGAGGCGGAAGTAACCACCACGAGAATGTCCGAGCCAGTCTCGGCCGATGAGGTGCTGGTGGTGGTGGTTAGGTCGGAGGTGGTTGATTTGGCGCTCACCAGGAGCATGAGCGCCTGCAAAATGAGCAGAAAGAACCCCATCATTGCCAGTGTGGTATGTTTCGCGTGGAGATACTGGGCAGGGTGGGTGTGGGTGTAGGTGTCGACGGGATCAAATACAACGGGAAAAATGGAAGGAGTGACGTCGTGGGCTTGAGTCCGAAAAAAGCTTGGCCAGTCTGGTGGTACTCGTGCCTGAACTGACGGAGACTGAGCCTGTGTCGAGACGATGATAAAACCTTGTTGCCTGCCGCGTCATCATCGCTTGGAGTGCGTGCGTGAGTGACTGGAGTGACTTTTTCCGGGTGGAGCATGGGAAGCCAAACCTCTGGGAACCCAGTCTTTTCACTTCAGCTGGTTCAGTAAGCCTTTTCATCACACCACTTAGTACAGTACAGATACCTATAGGTTAGTTAGGATGTGTACTACTGTATGTTTACCTAGTATGGAGGGTGAATCGAGATCAAGGTTATCGGTTATCCCGATCGCCATTTGCCAAGTCGGATCTTCCCGAGTCATTGGAAGCCCCAGGCACCAAGGCTCTGGGTCGGCGCGTGTGGCCTAATATCGTTGGGTCACGTGATGCGGAAACATCAGAACACCACGTAGCCGTAGCTAGTTCTGACAGGAATCCGAGGATCCTTTGGAGCAGGCGATTAGTCAGATCGGCGTCTTGACACTCTTTTGGCCGAGCGGTCTCTCGTCAAGTTCCTTCCTCAGTCAAAATATCAACCAATTCAACAAATTTGTATGGGCTCAGTTCCTTAGCCCTTTGACCTGTATCCTCCAACACTCTTCATGCTTCGGCCTGATCCGGCATCATGTTGTTCCGATTTTAACGGTCAATGCCCTCTTGAGGACTAGCATACCAGCAATAGCAGCCTGTGCTATTGACCATTTGGCCATTACTTTTCTGATTGAGAGTGACAGCAGACAAAAATAAAATTAAAAATACAAAAAATAGATGAAGGCTGTCTACGCCTACTGCTGATCTCACGCTAATCCGCAGCAACCTTAACCTTAAGCTCAGCAGTCAATCTGGCCTGACCAGGAACCAGGATACAGCGGGCGAGCAGGACCAGCAAGCAAGAAAGAAAGGAAGGAAGGAAGAAAGAGAGAAAGCCTGGGGGGCGGGCGAGATAGATACGCAGAGGTGCCGAGAAATGCCATGAATCGCAGTGTCTCAGTTGTAGTCGGCGGGTGTTTCATCGCGGCTGCAAGGCGCCAAGCTTGACCGCATGGATGACAGCTTCAGGAGAATCCCTCATGGCCAGCCACCACCAATTCATCTCGACTAATCCACCAAGGTGCCTGTGAAACCACCTTCAGAAACTACTTAAACTATGTCTAGTTCCATTGACTGGTTTTCCGATCATACAGGTTTGTGTGGAGAGAGCATGTTCTTGATTTAAGGCTGGGCCGAGGCCGGGCTGCAGAATTAAAATGAAACCTCATTTCCCCCTCTTATACCCTCTTATACCCTTTTATACTCATTTAAGGTCTCACCCAGGGCTCCACCCGTGTTGATTGACTCCACAAGAGCCAATGAACGAACAGAGCCCCAGGCACCAACCACCCTGAACCATCCAGGTCAATCTCCGACAGACCCTGACACCACAGCACACTCGGCCTGACACCTTGCCAGGGTAACCCGGCTGGGTGGATTCAGGGATAGCAGAGTTGCCCGCAACTATATCTAGCCCAGGATCCCACGGGGTAAGATCACTGTCAACCTCCTTTGCAGACAGCAGCTTCACCAACTACCGCCCTCCATCATGCGTGGGCTTTTCCCTCTTTCTTTGCTTTCTGTGGCGCTGGGCGCCTCTGCCGGCTTGACCGCATCCAACCTCGAAACCCACGTCGATGTGCTGGCACTCGACAACTCCTTCAACCCGATCGAAGCGGCTTACTGGACGAGCTTGGCTCATCACCGTCGGACCCCTTTTGCGGTGTCGCCCAACGGCAAGACGGCCTATTTGGCCTATCTCGACTCGAGCGGAACCGATGTCCATGTCACCGAGCTGGACCCCACCACTTTCAAGGCCACGGGCACTTCCGTGACAGTCAGTGGTGGTAAGGAAGGTAAGTCGTGCTGGAGCATGAGGTCTGGTTGACAGACAGGCCAGCTAATTCGCACGACAGCTGGGGGTCTCGTTGCCCACGATGACGGCTTTGCTCTGTTGACCAACGAGGTGATGCCCTCCGGGACCACCAACGCGCCCCCCAGCGACACCCCCGTCCCTGTGTTGCACCGCTACACCAACGGCAAACAGACCTGGAAGACTTGGCTTGGGGGTCCCGATGTGCATGCCTCGGATGGTCTGGCCGAAGCGGTGGACATGAACGGCGACCTGGTCTACTCGGAAGAAGCGGGGATGTACGGGGCCTACTTTGTGGTCAGTGACTACTCCGGCTGGGCCGAGGGTCACTACGGCGACAGCATCGAGTACGTGGCCACCAATGGAACTTTGTTGGACATCAGTGGGGCCTCCAGCGCCTGGGGTTGCAGCCACAACACCGGCATTGCCTTTGAAGCGGCCGACGAGCCTCCCTTTGCCAGTATCTGTGCGGAGGACCAGGGTGCCATCTGGCTGAACACCCAGACTCAGGGCATGACCAACAACGGGGTCAAGATCTCCAACGAGAATACCACCAACGGTGCCTCAGGAGAACCCATGGGTGGCATGTCCGGCAGTTACAGCGGCTTGGCGCGCTTTGCCGACAGCAGTCGCTACATCTTCACCTGGGTGTCGCGGGGTGCGATCGACGTGACGGAGAATAGCTGGATGGGCGATGGATACACCCACGTCAACAACCGCACCAACCCCCGCAACGTGGCCCTGGCTCTCTTCTCCGACAAGTACACCAAAGTAGGCGCCCAGGCAACCTCGACCGTGGGCGCCGAGGATGGGGACAGCCAAGTGACCTGGGTCACCTCGGGCTCCAACGACTGCTCCAACGCCCATACCGCCACCTTTGGGAACAGCTCAGCCCTGATTACTTGGGAGGAAATCTCCGACCCGACCTGTGACTATATTGCCATGGGCTGCCAGGGCAAATTTGCCGGCACCTTCTTCCAACAGGTGGATGCGAGTGGACAGAAGGTGGGGGATGCTTTCTCCAGCACCGATGTCTACATCGCGGGTGACATGGTGATCATGTCCGACGGTCGCATTTGCTGGCCGTATGTGAGCATGGACTGGGATCTGTCCGTGGTGGTCTATGAGGCCGACTCTTCCAAGTTCACCAAGCAGATCAGCTTTGCCTGCATGTCGCCCAGCGGCAGCTCGAGCTCGAGCTCGAGCTCCAGCAGCTCGTCGAGTGCTGCTGCTGCTGCTTCTAGCACGGTTGCGAGTGGTTCTACTACTCACGCTGCGGCTGCTGCTACTTCCAGTGCAGCTGCCGTCTTTGTAGAGACCACCGCAGCTGCAGCTGCAGCTGCAGAGACCAGCGTTGCTCACACGGCCGTCGTCAGTTCTGTCGTTCCTGTTGCTACCGAGGCCAAGGTGGCTTCTTCCATTAGCCAGGCCCCAAGCTGGGCTACCGCAGCCGGTCAACGGACTACTCTCGCCACTCAGGGTCACTCCAAGACCTCCTCCGTTAAGTCTCGGCCGACTGCGAGCTGGAATGAGGGAAGTGCGCCCCAGTGGCAGCCCTGGTCGGAGGAGCAGGAGGGCAGTTGCTCGTACTAGATGGGAAAGCCTGAACTAGGAAGGTTAGCACCATTCAAACCCATAGAGTCCGCTGCTATATGCGTGAACTTTTGCTGCATGTCATGTCAAATATAGGTGCTAGCGTGAGAAGTCCCAGAGAACGGGGACATTTTCTAGCTTAATCTCATTTTGTCTCTCGCCAAGATAGTACCAATGGCCACAAAGTTGAGGAGCGGGCAGGTATGTACACTGCACCGTAGATCTGATGACCGTGATCAGGGGATCTCTTAGAGAAACCGACTTCCTGCGGTCTTTAGCACGCTATATTCATGTTCAGGCGGTTGTCTGGCCATCTAAATAATGGTGATAGTAACAATGATAAGAATAATCCAGATCATGTGATGGAGCAAGTCCCTTTGTAAGCTATGCAAATAACGTGAGCACCAATGTATGCAGAGCATACCTGCCCCAGCATAAGTTGAACACACAAAAATGCACCATGACACATTATCAGCTTGATTCATGTTGATCTACAAAGGCAATTGACTAACTACCTTCATCTAGTCATCCCCACCTTTCATTACTTGACAATTTCCGCTTCTTTCCGTTTCTGCCCAGTCCTTGTCCTCAATCCGACTGAGACTTGCCCAGCGCTCAAGCAGGCCCTCGACGTCCCTTGGGCCTGTCCCATCCTCTTCGTCGACAAGGGAGAGAAGAGGTTGGCCGAATCGTCCAGCCCTCTGCATCTCCCGCTATAATCCCGCAAACCGGGAATGGATTGCTGCCCGATGATTGCGTGCACCTTTCTTGGTGACATTGCCAGGAATCCTGTTCAGTGCCATCCAGTCCCCCATGTTTCCCTCCGACACCTGCTGTGACCCGGGCTCACTTCGGATCCAATCCGGCTTGTACTTTCGCAGGCTTGGGTTGGGTATCGATGATCCAAATGATGGAGTCGCTTTCAGAGCCAGAATCACCAACAGATGTCGACATGGTGACTATCCGATGTGCCGTGTAGGTTACTGTAGTCTCCCTTGACCCGACAGTGCAGGGTAAGGAGGCTCATATAGCAGAGCCCTATCAATGTTTGTTCTTTGATGTCCGCAACAAGGGAGGAAACGCGCCAGGAAATACAAGCAGTCCGTCCGTCACAGAGACCACGACGCTCTTTCATCCATTCATCATATTTTATCGTCTTGTGTGTGCTTTGTCCTACTGAATAGTGATGTTGGTGGGTCCCTGGTTAAATTCCATGCGACTTGTTTCTGCTCCTGTAGCCAAGATCGAGCGTTGACTGTGCTTTCAGGTTCAGTAATCTGCCCCCGCAGGTCCAAGATTTCATGGAGTGGTCCGAATCGATGGCGTGGCTGAGGTATGCACCCGCCTGCGCCAGCTCCCGATCCTCGTTCCCCGTGATGAGACGCAGTTGATCCTCGACCTGGCGATTGACCATGGTGTCGAATTCTTTGGGCCTGACATCGGACCCCAACAGACTGCGGAGATCAGTCGCCACTTGAACCTTCAATTCGATCTGGAATCGTTCCCACAACACGGTGGACACCACCAGCGAGTCAAAGGCGCCTTCGTTGTGGAGCCAGGACCGCAGCGCCTGGAGCGCCCGCCAGCGCACCGTGAAATCCTGACACGCCTCGGCGGGGTGATACAGGGTGAGGATGACGCCCAGATCCACCAACAGCGATGGCCTGTCCGGGAACTTGGCGATGACCTGTTCTGCCATGGTGGCAAGGGTGGCATATTCCGGGGTGAAGGGCTCCAGACGGGCGGGATCATTCTTGAGCAGACAAGTGCGGAGTCCCAGGGAATGGGTCCGTAAGAGCAACTCCGTGATGTCCGCGCCGCGCTGCTCCTTGAAGCTGAGAGTGCGGTAGTGCATGGCTCGAACCCCCGCAAAGCTGGCTTGCGTCTGCTTTGACCTTGGACAGCAGCGCGGTCGGCTCGGCGTGGAGCGCCTCGTAGTGGGCGGCGATGATCTCGGCGGATGAGCCCCATCCGCGCAGCATAAAATGCAGGACCCCATGATGCAGGGGCTCGGAGCGTCGGGACTCTGGTCGATTGGTTGTGTGGGTGGTCAGAGGTTCGCAGGGAGGTGCATGTAGTTCGGCTCGTGCAAATGATCCCCAAGACCGAAGTGGATGGCTTGCGTTTCGAGGTGCCGAAAGACGGCAACCAGGGTCGGGCTAATGCGGGCTTCCAGTTCCTTGACGATGCGGAGACCGCTTCGCAGGTGCCGGATGACACATTCGTGGTCCTGTCGCATCAAACTGGTGAGAACAAAGAGCAAGCAGCAGAGAACCATGACTTCTCTCAGCTGGGGATCGTGCGGGTTCCGGCGACGCAAGAGGCCAGAAGCCCGCGCCAGCTGCTCGGTGGCGACCCAATGCCAGCTGGTTCGTCGCGCCGTTAGGGCTAATGGTGATTGCATGCCGCCAAAAACGGTCTCCTGGTGCGCTGCCCCCAAGGCAATCACCGCGTGACACACGGCGGGCTCAGTGTTGGCCATGTCGAGCACCATACACGCCCATCGCGCCGAGTCATAGAATACCACCTCATCGCGAATCGTCCGATCGCAGAAGAATGCAAAGCACCGACGCTCGTCCGAGGTGACCACCCAGCGGAAGCGGCTGGTCGCAGCCGGGGTCAGTGGGGGACCCCCTCCTCGCTTGGTCCTGGGCCCTCCTGGCAAGGGTAATCAATAGACCTCGTAGCCTTCGCAGGGTCTGCCGGTTGACGTACAGTTGCCACATTTGCCCGGGGTTTCGTCGCATTTGACGCGACGAGCGCTGCATTGCGGGGTTAGGGTTAGTTGGTTAGACGGCCGGCGGGATTCTAATTTGGTGGTGGCGAGTGTCTCACCGACAGGTCCGACACCCGGTTCTCGACCGACTACCGTGTTGCTGTCGCTTGCGACGGGGGTTCATGATGAAGGTGACTAGGGGAAGCAGCAGTGGGATGTCCTCTCAGCCCTATCGCAGGTCTATCGTTGGGGTTCGTGGTGGGGACGGGGAAGGGGAAGGGGAAGGGAAAGGGAAAGGGAAGCGAACGAGGACGGAACAAAGAGAATCAGACTGGCAGTCAGTGGATTTCTTTGTACGAGTTACTGATTACAGCCTGGATAAGTGGGTCGACTAAAATCCCTTAGTGCTTACGAGGCTACGAAAGAGGGGATCGCCGCACTAACCAGGCTGAGCCCAGCTTCCTGCGGATAGGGACGACGCAAGCCAGGCAATGTGACATATATGCCAGAGTATCGACTCCGCCCATATCTCCAGTCCCAGTCCAGATGAAAGGCGATCGATCCGTCGGCAAAAGCAGGTGGGGCCCAACAACAGCCGACCGGGGTGGGAACCAGTCGGGAGAGAACCATGGGGGGAAGTCCGGGAATACTGTGGGGGAGGGGAAAACTCTGACATCAATTGAGGATCTGGGATCTGATCGATCCTGAAGGTTCCCTCCCCTCCCACCCCCCGTCTATCATCATCCTCTCCCTCTCTCATCATGAACAACAAAGACAGTCGCATCGTGATCGTTGGGGCGGGGGTGTTTGGCCTCGCGGCCGCCCGGCAACTGGCGTCGGAGGGTTACCGCAATGTGCTGGTGCTGGATCGCTCGATGCCCCCCGTGGCCGATGGCTCCAGCTCTGATATCTCGCGCATGATCCGCTTCGATTATGCGGATGATGACTACCTGCGTATCTCCCACCAGGCCTACTTGGAATGGACCACGCCCAAGTACCGGGGAATCTTCTATCCCGCCCCCTTCATCCTGACAGGCAACACCAGTGCCCACGGCCAGGCCTGGATTGCCAGCACCACCGCAGCCCTAACCCGACGGCAGTTGCCCTTCACCCGGCTCGAGGATGTCCACGCCACCAAGCAGATTCACCCCGTCCTCAGTGGCCCGTTGGCCGCTCCCCCGTTCAATGGCTATCTCAACCCCCAGGCCGGCTGGGCCGATGCCAACAAGGCGATCAGTCAGATCCGCGACGACTGTCTCGAGCTGGGCGTCTCATTTCTGTGCGGTCGCCGAGGCACGGTCGTCGGGCTCGAGACCAACGATGCCAACGAGATCAAGGCCGTTCGGACCCTGGTTGGCAGTCCCATCGAGGGCGACTGCTTCCTCCTGACGGCCGGGGCTTGGGGGTCCAGCCTGGTCCCCATGTATAATTCCACCCTGACCACCGGACAGGTGGTCGCCTTCCTACGCCTGACCCCGGAGGAACTGGTCAAGTACAAGGATCTCCCCATGTATGCCAACTTCTCCACGGGCTGGTTTAATTTCCCTCCGCATGAGGAGACGGGCATCCTCAAATTCGCCGTCCATGGATGGGGCTACACCCGCATGCCGGGCCCGGACGAGGTCCTCTCCAACCAGGTGAATGTCTCGGCCCCCCCCTTGATTCCGCCCCGCGAGCGCCGCAACTTCGTGCCCGCCGATGGGGAGGCCCGGCTGCGTGACGGACTGCGCGAGATTCTCCCCGAGCTGGCCGATCGACCCTTTGAGAAGCTGGCCCTGTGTTGGTACACGGACACGCCCACCGGCGACTTCATCATGGACTACCACCCCGACTACAAGAATTTGTTTATTGGTGGCGCGGGCAGTGGGCAGTAAGTACTATTCCATCAACTAGGTCTGATAGCTAGGTGTAGGCTGACGATTTCAACTTCGTAGTGGATTCAAGTTCCTCCCTGTGCTCGGCGAGTATCTGTCGCTGGCGTTGAAGAAGGCTTTGCCGGCCGACTTGGCCCAGAAATGGCGATTCCGACTCGACTACGCCGCTCGCGATGATGTCTTCTTGGGCGACGGCAGTCGAGGCGGACCCGTGCGGCGTGAATTGAATGCCCAGGAGAGGGCAAAACTGTAGTTGACCTTGTTTTCTTTTGGTTACATCATCGGCAAGCACCTCAAGTATATTTTCGTATAAATTGAGGTTTTTGTAGGGAGAATATTGATTTCCACCTGGGTGGCTCCTGCCCCCCCGAAATGACGCATACCACAGTATACGCCCGACAGTCCAAAGACTGCATCCCTGCTAGCCCTGATGTATTATTAGCAAGTTGTCAGCATTGGGGACACTGAATTACAGGGCCGGACCTCCGACGGCAGTCCGGAGAGACAGTCACGTGATAAGGGATGCTCCCCCTCCTCCTCCCCCCTTCAAATGCTGCCTCCTCCTCCACCCAGGAGCCTGTCATACCTATGTCAATGATCCCCCTCAATTCTCATCGCTGAATATGGTTAGGCGACTCACTTCTTCAGCGGCGCTGGCTGCAGCCTACACAATGCGACCGACGGCAATTTCCATGAACGTTCATCGGCGGTCTCCAGAAGCAGGAGCAGGGGCAGGAGCAGGAGCCATCGATCAGCCTCGAATCACCATTGTGAATGCCAGTATTCTGATTCCGGGTGATGGGGATCCCCTCGAAAATGCGGCTTTGGTCATCAGTGACAAGATCATTGCCTTTGTGGGCCTGCAAGCCGACCTCCCCAAGAGATATCGGCGCGGACCGCACACGAGCCACACGGTAGCCGTCCTCATGCCTGGTCTGTGGGACTGCCACATACATTTTGGAGGCGAGGACCCATACTACAATGACTATACGGCCTTTCTTGCCACGCACCCGGCATCCTCGGGCGCCCGACTGGCGCGGGGCTGCTGGGAAGCCCTGCAGAGTGGCTATACCTCCTACCGCGACATGGCAGGCTATGGGTGCGAAGTCGCCCGAGCGATTGAGGATGACTCGATCGTCGGGCCCAACGTCTACGGCGCTGGGGCGGCGATCAGCCAGACGGCCGGCCATGGGGACATCTTCGGCCTGCCCGCGGGGGAGGTGCTGGGCAATTTCGGGGTGCAGAGTCCGCGCCCCGGCCACTGGGGGGCAGGGCCCGTGTGCATCGTGGACGGGCTCGAGGAGGCCCGACGCGCCGTGCGCCTGCAGATCCGCCGGGGGGCGAAGGTGATTAAAGTCATGGCCTCGGGCGGGGTCATGTCCCGCGATGATAACCCCAAATGCGCGCAGTTCTCCCCCGAGGAGCTGATGGTCATGGTGGAGGAAGCCGCCCGCCAGGACCGTATTGTCTCCGCGCATGTACACGGGAAAGCAGGCATTCTGGCAGCCATTCACGCGGGCTGCAAGAGTCTGGAGCATGTCTCCGAGGCAGACGAGGAGGTCTTTCAGCTGATGAAAGAGAAACGCGTCCTGTATGTGGCCACCCGGACGGTGACCGAAGTGGCCCTGGCCAACAATGGAGAAGGACTCCCCAAAGAGTCGTGGCGCAAGTTGCAGGCCCTGGCCGACTCGCATCTGAAAGCCTACCAAGGAGCGGTCAAGGCCGGTGTCACAATCGCCCTGGGAACCGACACAGCCCCCGGGGGGCCTAGTGCGTTGGAGCTCCAGTTGGCCGTCGAGAAGGCAGGCATGACGCCTCTCCAAGCCATCCAGGCTGCCACGGCCAACGCCCCGCTGTCAGTCGGCTCACAGGCTCCCTTGACGGGCCAGCTGAAGGAGGGTTATGAAGCCGATGTCATTGCGCTGGAAGAAAATCCCCTGGACGACATCCGAATCCTGCAAGACAATTCAGTGATCACCCATGTATGGAAAGGTGGCAGGTTCTTTAAAGGCCCGGGCGTGGGACCATGGGGAGAGACCCCGAATCCATTTCGCTGATGTCGTGGATGTCGTGGAATGGCGTTGTATTCTCGCTGGGAACCCCGCTCGCACAAAGCGTTACGCTTGAGATAGTGCCGTAGGAATGAGTAGACGGGTATCTACTTAAGCAATGCTCGAACCCATGATTCTATATCCGGTCCCGCGTGTGCCACCGAAGTACTGTAACAAGCCGTGCATACGATCAGTACGACGTGTACCAGCTCAAGGGGCTACCCGTCGGTCGTGACACATATACCAGATCCATGGGCTTTGTGTTCCATATTGGTCTCGTAGGAAACTCCGGACCGACCGATTGACGCCTGTGAACTGGACTAGTGCGTACGAACAACCCTATATATCTATATATCATCCATCACCAATCGTTCGAAGGACATTCCCGGTCGTCATCGTCGCGCTTGCTAAGCAAATAGGTCTGGAACGCCATCAGAATGATCATGAAACATCACCTCCTCACTATCCTGACGCTTGTTTCTACCTTGTTCAGCTCTGTTCTTGCTTTGCCTGGCGAACCGAGCGACCCGGACTCGGACGACATGGTTCCCCCTAGCGGAGGATTCCTCACCCTCGTCAAGACAATGCAAAGACTTGGAATAGCGGGCATCAAGCTTGACAGAACCCTCGAGATGTCGCAAATTACGCCCGAGGCTTTACAGACCATCCGGCAATTGACCCAGGACATCGAGAACATCGTGACCCAGGCAACGGCCGAGGCAGACACCCTGGAGGTTCTAGACCCCATCCGCAGCACCAAGCTGACCAAGAATGCCTTGCCCATGAAGCCCGTGTTTGGCCACTTGCTCAAGGTGATTTCGAACGAGGTGAGCGGATCGATGCCTTCGTGCGCTCGGGCAATGAGGATGTGGAACAAGACTGACGAACGAGCACAGAAAGAAGAACTATGCGCCGCTCAATTCTGCCACGAAATGCAGGACTTTCTGACGTGGATGCGGATTCGATGCCACGGACTCGCGGAGTCTCTGCGAGGCATCGTCGGATTTGGCGACGGAAAGCTGATTGAAGTCTGTGCAGACCTGATTGATAAGCAGTATGCCATGACAATCAACGATTATGAGAAGCTGATCCGAATTGGCTGCGACGAGGACCAGCCCGATGACCCAGGCTCTGACGTTGGATCGCCTGAGGAGGGCTCCCTGTACGGGTGAGGAACGATTGGGAAGGAAGTGATCATGAGATAACCTACCTAAGTAATGCGTTAGTTGCACGGAAAGACTTCTTTGTACTGTACCTTGTTTGCTTAGCAAGTGGTCCCGCCCCTACACGGCCAATGCCTGAATTCATAGAATGATACCCAGGCTATCTGCGTCCTGTGATCAAGATCTGATAGCATGGTATTGGACATACCCTTTGCATGTGTATAGGAAAAGTGTACCTCGTATCCACTACCCGGCGCGACGCCTGGCCACATCCGGACTGGCCGATGTGGTTGGGACTAATTTCTGCCTAAGATGTACATTGATCGCTTGACCTAGATGGAAGAACAATTTATAAGCCGTCCGGCAAACCGACTCACTTCATGGAGATATTGGTTTCCAAGGCCAGTAGACATGGGGGAGCCAAGGATATACAGTGGCAGGACACAGATACGGTTGGGACGATCAGTGAGTGATGTAAACCCTCACTGCCTCTCCAGGAATACCACCTGACTACCGTATTCGGTGTCGAAAGTAAACTGCAACCCCATATTCATCAGCGTGGCCCCCGAATACCTCGAATCCCCATCCACCAAATACTCCGCCGCCGGATCAAGCCCCTCCAGCCGCACCCACGGTACGGCATGGTTGACATTTGGCTGGAGCTGGAAGTAAAACAAGACCGCTTGAGCCCCGTCCTCCGCGATAAACAGTGCAGCCGGCCACTGCGAGTTCTCCGGTAGTCGCAAACGATACAGGTCCCCCGTTAAAACCAAGGGGTTGACCTTTTGAGCCAGCGCAAGCAACCCCGGAACTGCGGCATCATCCTGCACGGTTGCTGGATCAAGCTCCAGACCGAAGGAGCCGCCCATCATGGCCACGTGGGCGCGGAAGGTGAACGGGACCGTTCGGCCTGTCTGGGCATTGGGGACGGCGGAGAGGTGCGCACCCATTGCCGATGGTGGGTAGGCCAGCGAGGTTCCAAATTGGATGGTGATGCGGTCAACGCCATCGGTGTTGTCGGAGGTCCAGATCTGAGGGAAGTACTGCAGCATGCCAGCGTCGAAGCGACCGCCACCCGAGGCGCATCCTTCCCAGAGAACGTCGGGAAAGCGGCTGGTGAGGGTATCGAAGACGCGATACAACCCGAGCATGTATTTATGGTCATTGGATGGAGAGGGAGTCTCATGAAACCCGCGGTTGTTGTCCCATTTGATGTAGGAAATGCCGTCAATCTGCAACAGGTTGGTCATGAAGTCGATGATGAAGTCCTGCACCTCGGGGAGGGCCACGTTAAGCACGAGCTGGTTGCGGCGTTCCGTCTGGGGGTAGGGCCCCGCGTGTAGAACCCAGTCGGGGTGTTCGTGGTAGAGCGTGGAGTTGGGATTGACCATCTCGGGCTCGACCCAAATGCCAAAGCGTAGTATAGAGTCGGTCCCGTTGATGGTGAGGTTGGTGATATCCTGCACCACGGGCGACAGTCCCTCTGGAAAGCGAGCTGGGTTGGGGACCCAATCCCCCAGTCCAGCATTGTCGGATACACGGGGATACTTGTCACCAAACCAGCCGTCGTCCATGACGAAGAGGTGAATGCCCAGAGACGCCGATTCTTCCGCGAGAGTCTCAATGCTGGTTTGATTGTAGTCAAAGTAAACACCTTCCCAGCTGTTGAGGAGGATCGGACGATCTGCAGTGGCGAACCTGCTCTTCATCAGGTGGTTGCGATAGAGTCGGTGGAATTTGCGAGACATGCCTCCGATGCCATCCTTGGAGTAGATGGCCACGCACTCCGGGGAGGTGAGGGTCTCGTCCGGACCCAGCTCCCAGGAGAGCCGGTCCGGGTTCAATCCGAGCAATGCGCGAGTGAAGCCCTGGGAGCCCTTTTCGACGGCGGCGGAGAAAGACCCGGTGTAAATGAGGTTGAAGCCCCATGCCTCTCCCTGAGATTCGGTTGTGGACGGGTCGACAATGGCGAGGAAGGGGTTGTGTAGATGAGAGGAGGAACCCGTGTTACTCCCAAACCTGATAGCCTTCTGGTCAGCCTGCTGACAGCATGGATGACAATCAACCCTAATGACTCAGGATCCACTCACCCCTGGACACCATAGTCGACTTTTCTTCTCTGGACCTGCGCCTCTCGGGCCCAGTCACCTCGGAGGCTGATCATGTCGAGGTCCTCATATGGAAAGTCAATGCTTAGACTGGCCAGGGCCTCAATGGTGATGTTGGCCGAGCCCTGGTTGGTGATGTTAACACTCCTCACCACGGCGTCGTATTTGGGAAAGATGGAATACGACAGGTCCGCGGCGACGGAGCTATAGTTGTCGTACAAGTGCACGACCAGTGTGGTCACCTCCTGCGCGTTGCCAAAGGTTGAAGGTAGCCCTGGCAGAGCATTCTTGCCTGGGATCACCTCGTGAGAGGTGTATTGGAGATCGGACACGGTATAGCCGGGGGATTGGCGAATGCGCACGGCGGGAATGCGGAAATCGCCGCGGCCCTGGTCGGGGAATTCGCGCCGGATGCGACCGGCCATCCCCACCCAGCCATTGACGGCTGGCTCCTGGGGCGAGGGAATTGCGCCCGTGACGAGGCCTCCAAAATGGTCGGACACCAAATCGCCGGTGGTGTGGTTGACGTGAAATCGGTAGGAAGCTTGGTCGCCATTGAGGGCAAAGTTGGTGCCCTCCGCGACGATGGCTGGTAAGTCGGCTTATGTTAGGGTGTCTCTGTGATTCCTTGTATTCCTTCTACGAAAATGATGAGATCGATGGCACATTACAACACACCTTGTGAGCTTGGCGTAGTTTGCGCTTGGACTGTTGATGAAGTGCATGCCCACAGCGTGGCGAGACCCAGGGCCACGGCAGGACGGATCGACCTGACCATGATGCTGATGCGGAGGATGATATGGAAGCAGAAGATGCGGGGAAAGGGGTGATAATCCCTTGCTCAGTATTTATGTGCTGATGCCTGCACTGATGCCTGCATTGATGTCCGGGGAAATGTCGGTCAATGCTGCTGCTTGTTGCTTGGCATCCCCCCGCCGCATTCCATTTCTGGTTGGGATCATCATGCTTGCTTCGTTGAGACTGCCCGAGCAGGGCAAATAGTCGAGAGATGAATCAAGGTAGGGGCAATCCTGGCCTACTGTCGCTGGCTGGCTCACAGTCCTCGCATACGATTTAATTTAATAGGGACAGTCGGACAGTCGGACAATCAGACAATGGGGGTTATTGAGGGCTTCTGTCTGGAACAATGTTCTTCCAGCCGGCCCCAGCCCCCCTCCCCAGAGTGATAGTTGACTGTCGATGGTAGATGGTTGTCGTAGGCTAATGATAATGCTGATGATAATGATACTGGCAATGATAATAAAATTAGAGTGGTCCATGCCACCTAGACACGCATCTGGTCTTTATAGGCAACATACCACTTCGGCGACGTTCGATCGCACCCATTGAACAAGTGATAGAAGAACGGCTTCTCGCGCTCCTCAGATGGCAGCCATTTCAGCATGGCCGGGGTGATGTCGGGAATATCGCTGCTCCAAGTGTCGACCAGCCACTGATTCCAGCCCCAGGTGGTCCACCCGGACAAGGCCCATTCGTCGTTCACGTCCTGGGCCCGCCACCAGCGCACGATAGGGCTGATATAATCTCCATCTAGGAGATCATCGGGGTCATCGAAGTCGTAGATGTCGGACGCAGAGCGACCAATACAAGCCAGCCCGAAGTCAATGATCACCACCCGCCGCGTCTCAGTAAGTATGACATTCCGGGGGAACAAGTCTTTATGGCGCAGGTCCAGGGTGTAGAAGCGCGACTCGGCTTCTACAACCTGCCGCAACAAATCCTTGCGTTGGTTGGGCGAGAAGTCCGACGGCCGCAGATGCGCCATATCCGTTCCCTCGATGTACTCGATCAAGACCAGCCGGACTGATCGCTGCCGACCTTGGGTGTCCACAATAATCGTAGACCACGAGCCATAGAACCTTGGAATATGCTGATCCAGGCCATGGCGGATGAGATAACGGTAGGCTGAACTTTCCCGTATATACTGGTGATTTGCATAGCTGGGCGGGTGGTCGTAAGGGTCAAGGTATTTGGCATCAAACAGCTTGGCAACCATCTTTGGGCCCAGCCGGCCCTCGCGAGCATGGCTCGGGTCGAGCACCTCTTGAACCAGCATCACCTGAGAGGCAAGTGCAGCCCCGACCTGCAGCTCGTGGGCCACCCGCAACCGGAGGGTCCTGGTTCCATAGTCGGAGGGTGGCCGGTGCTCCTGCGCCGTGAATTCGAAGCCTTCGTGGTAGGGCGTCATGATATCGGTGCTGATGTGTTCTGCAGCTTGGGGTCAAGGCCATGGATGTAGTATTCATGTCTTGCGACTGTCGGCTCAACTATATACTGGCAGGTAGGTAAAGTGATTCCTCGACGCTGCGTCTTTACTAGTGAACTCACCTCTTCGCAACAACAATGACAAGGCAGATAGTGGTTCTTCTTTATGACTGCTGCTCGATTGTTGTACGTACTTGAATGCTGTGATTTGCACTGAGATTGACAAAGAGTCCCTTGTCTATAAGCCTGCAATGCGAAATATTCCGTGGACTTCTGAAGGAGAGATTCATGACCGATCATTATCTCAGAATGAAGATACTCAGGGAGAAAGCCGATAAGACCAGGTCAAAGGATCTTGATGGAGAGTATGCAGATCTCGTCCACTATCGCAAGCGCTGATGTGGAGTATATAAAGCCCCTCTTGAGCTTCCTATGTGCACATCATCACCATTGTCATCAATCGTCAACAACCTTGGAATCGCCGACCCCGACATACTGTTCAGCATCATCCAACCGTCAGCACAACACCCTTCACCTAAAGATGGCTTCACCCTACTCCCTACAGCTACTGCGACAGCGTGTCTATGAGCCGGTTCGAGCCCTCTTGTCTCTCCAGAGGAGCCAGAGCCGTGAATGGTGTGGCCTGTGTGAGACAGAGCTCCTTGGCCGTGCCCGTGTGCAGGTGTATAAGTGTACACACTGTGAGCGGTGTTACCACCAGGATTGCATCGAACAGCTCCGGAGCCAGGAGGCCAGCCGTGGAATTCCCCTACCTTTCGGCTGCCCGGGCTGCGGCACCCCTTGGTATGCGACTTCTCGTCCCCGGTTCAGGGAAGAAAGAACCTCGGGACGTTATCGATACCGGATGGACGGTCGAACATTCATCTGCGAAGGGGGCGTCTTGCCTAATGGGCAGCAGTGCGCCTACACGACAACCAATCACTCCAGCTTGTACCGCCACTATAGTAGTGTACATGAGAACCAGCACCTGCAGGCATTGGGTACTTGCTTCTGCTGCCCCTACTGCGGCCATAGCTTACCGAGTGAACAGCGATTAATTAGACACTTCCAAGCGGCGCATCCTGACCGGGAACGACCTACTGTTGGCACCTCCCACCATCACGACAGCAGCAGTTCCTATCGTCAGCGAGATGATCCTCAGTCCGCGGCTAGGGACTCTCATAGTCCCCGAAATTCCGGGAGTACATACCAGTCGGCCGAGGATGGTGAGTACTACTGCCCTCTCTGCGCCGCCGGACCCTTTGACTACTCGCGAGTCTTGAATCATCTGACAATTCATCACCACGATGAGCAGCCATTCTGTGGGCTTTGTCGCCGGTCTTTTTATGCCTGGCGTTATCTGCTTCGCCACCTACGCGAGGACCATTGAATGCACTCCCTAGCGGCTCTTGCTGCTGACATTGACTAATTAGATGTGCTTCAGACACGGAGCCGACTCCCTAGTCAATGCTCCTCTGAAGACTATAGGGTATTTATAAAACAAGAAAAAAAGAAAGTATGAGGTGCTGCGTAAGTGCCTTTGAAATTATAAGGACTAGATGGTGAAATAGTGTAATGAATAAATAGCTCTTGCAAGGCCTAAGATGCCAATATAGTATTTTAAAATATTATTATTAATTTATTTAATTTATAGAACAGTTGCTGTTTTTATAGGCAGCTGCAGGCGGCTTATTTAACTATTATATAGCTACTATTTTACATTATTTATATAGATTCTTTTTATAAATATCTATAAATATTAAAAGAACTGTTAAGGCTTTTATAACTCCTTTTTTTCTATATAAGAAAATGACAAGTTTAAGTGTTCAATAAGATAAGAGATATTTGTTACAGGATAGATGGATTGTGCTAATCAAACTGTGCCTTGGAATAAGAAGAAATACCCGGAGAGCTATTTTATCTGTTTGTATAAAATTCTTTTATATATACTAAGCTAGTGTAAACAGGTGCCAACCACACTTCTGGCTAGCCCCTATGTGCGTGTTGGAGAAATATAAGTGTATATAATAAAAGCTGTATATAAGATCTGTACCTGTATACTGCAGTACCTGTCACAGTGCAGACCTGATATTGTCACGGGGCGGGCTGGCGTCTGGTCCTTAGTCTGGCTGGGTAGTAGAAATAACAGCTTCTAGCTAAATAATTTTCTATAACTGGTTTTCTAGATTTTTTACTAGCTACTGGATTAGGCTATTTTTAGATTTATAAATAAAATATAGCTTAAAAAACTATAAATAGGATTAAAAGCAGACAGGCAGGTAAAAAGATTTTAAATTATATATAAAACAGTTAAAAAAACAGTTAAATTATTAAAATAAATTAAATTAAATAAATTAAATAGATTAAATAAGTAGAATAGGTAGAATAGATATATTAAATCTATACTATAACAATATGCCCTTTTTTTAAAGCTAAACTTTATTAAAATATAGATTATAGTTTATTAAAATAATAATAGTAGAAGTTTTTAATTATTTACTAGGTATTTTTTAAATATTAAACTAGTTTAGCAGTTAGATTTAAATATTTAATTTATTTTATAATATATATTAGTTGGGGGCGGCTGTATTCTTTATAGTTTTATATAAAATTTAAAATATTTTTAATTTTTTATTTTTTTAAACTGTTAACTTTTATATATAGTAGTAGAGGTTAGTATTAGCCTGGGACTAGTTTTTTACTAATAAAAATAAATAAACTAATATTAGATATGAAATATATTTTTATACTAGAAAGTAGGGCTAGCTGGTAGATATATAAACTAATAATCTTTTTAATTTTATCTATATAGGGAATCAGCATATATTTTCGGACTTGAAAAATAGGATATTAGCAATTTCTTTTTAATATTCAGATAAAGAAAATTATTCTTATTCCAGAACTATAAAAATTAAATCTATAATTTCTATATTGGGCTAGTAATAGCTTACTAAATATTATAGTTAAATATTACTATATTTAAATATAGGTAGTAATAAATTCTATATTAGAATATATACTAAGCCTTTTTATTCTGTAACCCTATCTGTAAGGGCCCAAACAGCCCTTCCAACCTTCGCGGATATCCGCAAAGGGAAATATATATAGACAACCTAAGGCGGCGGTTATATAACAACTAAGTAAAACAGCTGCAGCCACCTCTAAAAACAGCAGCTATTTTATAAGTTAAATAAAATAGTAATAATATTTTAAAATAATATATTAGTATTTTTAGCTTTGTAAAAGCTATTTATTTATTATACTATTTTACTTTTTAGCTTTTATAATCTTATTACTTAATATTCTGTAGAATAGTCCGGTAAGTAATAGCTAATTATAATATATAAAATTAAACTAAAAATAACTTTTTTAATCTAATTATAAAAAACTATATATTAACTGCAGAAGATAAATTATCTATATTAAAAAAAAAGTATAAATTCTAATCTAAAATTTTTATAAATATTTATATTTATTTAAATAAATTACTAAGCTATAAAAACAGCTAGAAATTAGTACTATAAAAAAGTATTTATATAAAAATTAAAAAACTTTAATTCTAGTACTGCAGAAACTAAAAAAACTAGTATATATATTAATCTATTTATAAATAAAAAATAATACAGTATCTGTAATTATACTATTTACTGTATATTTATTACTAAATAAAAATTAACTGTAAAAATTAATAACTAAAATAAAAACTAAAAAATATATATTATAATAGTCTATTTAGATTATATTTTAAATAATTTATAAAAAGGTAAGGCAGCTAAATCCTACTATAAAAAAATAAACTAGTTTTTATAAGTTTTTTAAAATACAGCTAAAAAATTCTATAAATAGATAATAAAAAGTCTATTTAAAATGTTTAAAACTAAGTCTTATAAAAAAAAAACAGAGTTTATCTATTTATAAAAATAAAAAAAAATAAAAACTAAATTAAATTATAAAATATAGAATATTAATACTATATAGCTGTATTTATTTTTTATATTTTTTTTTATAGTTTAAAAAAAGGTCTATAAGTAGCAGATCTTTTCTATAACTAAATAAAACCTTATTATACTACTTATAAGATTATATCCAGTACTAAATTAATAATATAAATAAATAAAAAATAAAATATTTTATAAATAAATTTTAAAAAAAAGTTGCAGATCTACTGTTTTTATAAATAAAATTTAAAAACTAAAGATTTAAACTAATAGTTTTATAAAAAGGGTTTAAAAACTAAAGTAATTTTTTTTAATACTATAAGTATTTATAAAGGCCCCCGGATTAAAAGCTTACTATAATTATAAATAAATAGATTACTAAATAAAAAATTATTAGTTAATTAAACTACTTATAAAATAATTAGTAAATAGAATTATAATATCTGCTTTAAACTAAATTAAAATTATAATCTACTCTAATTTAAAACTAAAAAAGTAGCTGATTTTTTATAAAAAAAATATTTTATAAAAATAAAAATTATTATAAATAGTAAAGTAGAGGTAAATCTAGTATTTATAATATTTACTAAATAAATAAAATAATTAACTATTTTAGTAAAAATAATTATAGAAAAAGTTAAATAAAAAAATATACAGTTAAAAAAAACTATAGTATTTACAGTATATTTAAAAAATATCTAAAAATACTGTAAAAACTAAATAGATTTTATAATTATAATACTAAAAATAGATAAAATAGTTCTAGGAATACTTTAAATAAGATAGTAAAAATCTACTATAAAATTTAATAAGTATAAACTCTAGTTTTATAAATACTTTATACTAAAAGTACTATAAATTACAGTAAAAAAAATTATACTAAAAAATCTTATAAAAGTAAATTTTTATTTAGTAATAATATAAAAGATTTATAAAATAACTATTAACTAAAAAATACTAGTATAGTACTATAAATATAAAATAGTATTTATAAAAAAAAAAGCTGTAAGCTTACTCATATAAAAACTAAAAATAAACCTAGAAATTAATTTCTATAAAAAATTTTAGCTAAAGCTAGGGTAAGTATATAAAATATTATTTATAAAAAAAATTTTATAAAACTACTTATAAAAAATACTTAAAAAAATAAATCTAGTATTCTAAGTTACTAGTAGATATATTAGTTCTATTTATAAATAAAGAAAATAAAAGTCTATAAATATATATAAACTACTATAAATTAAATAAATAAATAGTAAAAAATATTTATCTACTACTATAAATTAATAAATATATTAATTAATTTA